CTAGTTTGAAATTCTTGACCCCAATCTATGAGCCGCGGTGGTATTGATTTTCCTTTAATTTTAAACTGTACATTGACCTTACAAGAAGGCTTATGACGTCATTTGATTCTGTTGTGCTTTTAAGATGAGTTTTAAGCTAATGGTTGACGATGATCGTAACAAACAATGATTATATTACATTAAATATGCTCCAAAATTATTATTAAAAGTTATCTTAGTTACACAACTCCTACTATTTTCTTATTTTAAAGTCCAATACTACATCTACTTTCAACGTTGTAGATACATTGTCAGACACAGATGTTCAAAAATTGAAGTGCATAATAGAAGATACTGGGTAAGTTTTTGGCCCTGCCGTTGACCTTTACCCTAAACCTCTTCACCATATAACCACCGGCTATATTATAGTATTCATTCATTAGATTTCGAGTTACAATTTTATGCCCATTAACTCGTCGAGTACCGGTTTTGTAGACACAATTATAGAACAATAGGTTGCGGTCACCGGTGACCGCTTGGTGTTCGCCAGTTTAAATGACCAAACTAACCCTAAGTCTCGGTATTCAAGCAGTACATAAAAAATAATTCAAAATAGAACCGAAATCGTCAGTTGTAAACTTTAAATTCGTCAGAATAATTCACTAAGATTGAATAGAGAGCAAAAATTACAATGTGCATGTTAATAATACAACAACAACATATTCCCTACTACTACGGGGAATAACTGACGTCACGATATAAATAATCATTTACATATGAGTAAATAACATTATCGGGAATCGGGATCTATAATAACATCACCATTGGCCCATTATCTTGCAACTATGTAACCAAATAAACAAGTTACGAGGAACATGACGTTACTATATTTATTGCTATCAATATTGTGACGTGCATGACACTAGAAAATAATATTCAACACTAGCTGTGCCCGCGACTTCGTTCGCGTGGAATAGTGACGTTGGATAGTTCTCCACAGCTCCTCCTCCTCTTGTGATACCGTAATATTATGTGGCCTATATGTTGACCTGACCTGTTAGTAATATTCATGCAAAATTTGAAGTAAATCCATGTGATACTTTTTAACTTTAACCCGCACAGACAAACAGACAATTCTGAAAACTATATTTTTGGCTTTGATGTCGAATGCAGTTCACGCCCCAAATATTCTTCAAAAAAAATATCAATGTACAGATTTGACTTTCCTACGATTTCATAATTATATGTATAGATACACGTGTCCGCTTCTGTGCGTGGTCTTTGCTCAATTGTACAGAACTACTGAAAGCATGTACATTATCTTAGTGTTGATTAAATTGATCAACATACGTCATCTTGTCCATTGTCACAATCATATTATGATGATTGTTTTTCCACCATTTCTTGATAATCATTTTAATCTGTCTTTAAAGCTGTAACTATTTTCTTTTCAATAACGTTATGTTTGTATTTCAGTGTCGTATGATAACAATTCGTATTATGTTAATCTAATATTATTGTGTGCAAATGGTGCATTAAACTACATCAAATTAACTGTTGATTATCATGAATGCCTACTCCTTACAGAGAGGAATAAAATTGTACGTTTACTTTCTTAACGCTGAGGTGAATTATGACAAAAATGTTTATGATTGAAGGTCACAGTATTAATAGAACAACATAAACTTACAACACATAATCCTATTGCTTTTCACCTTTGTACAATATGTAAATATATGTAGGTATTAAGTACACGTATGTAAATAATTTGTCTAAAAGCACATACATACATCTAACTAAACAAGTACTTTATTAGAAAAGTTCTCATATTACCAAACACAAATAACATGATTAAATAGGTTCCTTATTAAGTTCTGTTTAACAGCTGTGCCATCTATAACATTGTATGTATTTTGACCTAAATAGGCTCATTAAGGAATCTAGATTCAAGACAAGTACTCAGGTCTAAAAATGCGCGGACTAACCTCGGTTGAACCGTTAGGGGATAGCCGAAATAGTTGCTAATTAGATAATAGAACATGATAGGATGTAGGAAATGACATGGAATGCATATCATAGTAGCTTGAGGTGCCTGAGTTGACTCCAAGGCTATCTCGCCAGTCTGCTCGCCGTCTAGATAAATACATTGTTGCTCATATAAATATTCATTACTGTTTATGCTACTATTGCGTACGTTTCGTAGTGAATGCTATGAATACACGTTATCCGTGACTGGTACATATCATTCATAAAAACGTAGTCCTATCTCATAAGTTTAATTAGTGTTATGTTGCGAATTTTGTTTCACGAATTACAACCTTTATTGATTTCATTTTTATGACTGTGATTTCTGCTAGTAGGAATAATGTAGACAACTATGAGAATTAAAAGTCTAACAACCAAACGTTTGGCGCAGGAAAGAAGATACATTTTCAATAAATTTTGTCTACTTTGAACTATAACTAAGTACTACTAATTTCCATTGTTTAATAAACAAAATACATTAAAATCTGAGGACAGAGAATCTTGATATTTGTCTTCTTGATAATGATATTGCACAATGCATCTCCGAATAAATTCTTCATACTGTGACTTTCCGAAAGTGATATTGTGACATTATGGTGACGGCGTGACATTGTCAACACATGTCAGGAGTTCAATGGTGTTATGCTGATGAAATATCTCGAACCATTATATTTACATAATAGCGTTTTAATTATTTATCATTTCCAAGTTAAATATCTACTTCAAACATGAGAAAGTATCGACTGCTAAGTTGTACTCATTTGAACTACAATGTGTTGTTCAGGTATGGTAATTTCAAATGGAATTAGGTGCACTACATATTTGTATGTGTTTGATGGTCCTGTGTGAGGCCAGATCACTATCACAAATGACAGGGGCACCCAGCGAACCGAATCGGAATCTCTGCACCGACTGTTTTATTATAACGAGCCTGAAAACACCTCCATTGAGAACACCATGAATTCGCATTCACAATTAATTCAATGCTAATAAAATGACAACTAGTCATCACAATATAAATGGTTGTTTTATATCGTTTTTCGTTTTTTCGTTTTTCATTTGTTTGTATAATGCTAAATTTAATTTCATTTGATTATGCTGGCCGGTCTTATAGTGATTTCATTTTATTTTCATTTAATTTGTAAAAGTCTCAACATGTTTTTTTTTCTCTCTTTTCTGAACCATATATAACCACAAAAAATTATATTATTTATCATACTTTGCCTTTCCCCTCAGGGATCAAAAGTCGTAATGTTATTTATGTTTTCTTAGTATATTTTATTAGTTATATAAGTTTGTGTGATGGTGTTTATGATTTAATTTATATTCTGTGGAAAACGCCGTTGGTTACACATTTATTGGAACTACCTATGTATTGTGTCATAATGTATCATGTAATGTGTCGCTGTTTGTTTTCCCAAATAAATAAAATAAAATAAAAAATAAAATATATATTGTTAACGGCATAAAGTCGTAAAATTTTATTCTTTTGTTGTTACGGAATCTGCTCGAAGCACCATATTTTATTACTAATAGGGCATTGTTTAATTTTAATTGATAGAGGAAATGGAACTTGTGTATGGAGAGATTTGGAGAAAACATCAATCAGTCAATGTAGGCAACGGCCCAAGCATTAGGGTCTAGGCGAATTCCTGTACAAACCCTCGCGACCTTGTGTACTAATTAATGATTATTCTGCGAACAGTTGGTGCGCCCACTCGCTGCTCTGGCCAATCGACGCAGGTGGCTCACAATTTGTTGTGCATTGACCTCGCTCCTATAGTACCCATCATAGATATCTACATCAATTAATCTTAGACTGTTAATCTCGTCGTCGTAATTAATGTAGCCACGAGTAACGCACGAGTTGACAACAATCCATCCATTGAGTAGTATCGACTTAGTACTTACCTACGGCAACATTATGCACGTATTTATATTATGTCTGGCTCACTAATGCATTTATCGAGTAGATGTTACTTTCATTTCGTTATCTAGTTAACTGATTATTATGAGCAGTTATGAGGAAGACATTTGATCTGATTTAAACGTTTCTGCATTGAAAGGATCGTTGTTGGTTACAGCGAAGTGTTCCCCTCTGTCGTTATCGCAACATCGGACCACATAACGTATTCTTAATTAATGCCTTTATTGATCGCGTGCAAAACATAGCTAGCGCCGCGGCCTCACGTGACCACCTACTGCATACTACACTGTACCACAGCTTTTAGAATAAATATAATATTTGTTAAAAGCTTGCTAAAACCTTGTTGTGCCTCCTACTTTTTTATTATGTTAGCAAATAAGCGTAGATAAATTAAACTAAATGTGGTAACAAATAAAAAAAAGTAAGAATAGAGTAATAAACCAACAACATGTATGACCGTGTCAACTCCAACATGTTAAAATTAATTGAAAAGCTTTCGAAGTATGTAACTTACATTTCAGTCGTCCCACGTACCTCTTAGACGGAACGATGTCAAGGTGTCGCCCCCTAGCGGCGGACGCGAGACACGTCAATACCTATTAAATATATAATAACGACCGGTAGGAATACAGACGTGGTGCCTATTTCATAAAATCGATTGTCCACCACTCACGCAGTTCCATTGAGCGGCCACAATTAGAATTTATGTTACGACCTATGTAGACGTGCCGTTGTCAACCCACTGTAAAACTGGTAGACAATAAATGCTACTATTTAGTAAATTACTTTTTGGAGTCTTCTTTTTTACTAACCGATGTCGGTGTCATCTGTATGTGAGATGCCAGGTAATTATCTTAGTGGACTTGACTAATGAATTTTCCACCTCGTTTCGGTGTTATTTTCCCCGATGTGGAAACATTTGGCTCTTCCTGATAATACCTCTAAATATTAGGATATGTAGCAGATTGCAGGATTAAAATATTTCAGTAATTATATAGTCATGAATTTTATTTCTTCTGTCTACAGCAGTCGTTAGATGTTACTTTCAATATTCTTTTTTTTTTCGTAGCCATGCAGAAGTCATGCAAACCAGCGATGCTGGGTCGCATGTGGCAGGCGAGCCGGCGCTCGCTGAACCTCGACCATGCGCCGGCGCACCATTTCGCCTGCAGCCAATGGCAGTCTAGTCCACATCCCTCCACTACATACCTAATATACAGGTAAGTTATAAATAGTAAAGCTTAAGCTCTAAAGCAATGTTATAGATAATTATTTTCAGATATTTGACCTTAAATTGTTCACTAATGTGTTTTTAATATTATGCTACCTCACGTGCACACAGATACAGCTTTATTAGCACAACAGTGTACCTATACATTTCGTCTCTGTTCTTTTATGAAAGGACAGATAAACATATTTATTAGTATGGAATTAAATCAATGGCACATCGATAGGTATAAACAACTTAATAAAACGAGAATATTTGTAAGTCATTCACAGCAATAATAGTATACCTACTATATCTATTTTATGTGAATACAGTAAAAGTTTATCTCTATACGAATATCCGATATATGTGGCATATACATGTATATAATATTCAATATTAATTAGTAAGTATATTAATCACTGATTGGACAGTAGCAATAAAGAGGTTGATTTTTTGCGGGAGATTAAGGCAAATCCTCTCTATAGATGAGACCCACAGTCCAATAGCCAACATACTATATACTGTATACTAACTGAACTTCGGAGTCGCTGAGAACCTAACGGGTAACCGGGGCTCCGGCTCGACGTGCAGGAGAAAGAACGGGGCGGTTTTTAGTCAGTAAGAGTCTGACACTCCCTCCCGCCGCACCCAGGCGGGAGCAGTCATTCGATGATTTTCCCCCCTTAAAAAAAATACTAACTGAACTATCACAGGCTGTTATGGTGGAATAGAAGTAGGCTCAGTCCAACATGGGACGTTTTTTGATGGGCCGACGTTTGACCACTATCTCGCCTGTTGGTAAGCGATGATGATGTCTACGATGGAGCGCGTTGTCCCCTAAGCAACCTATTCACTCGGGCCTTGAAGACACCCAGGTTACACCCTTCAGGAAATACAGACTATGGCAAATAATTCCACTCCTTAGCAGTACGCACAAGGAAGTTTGATGCGCAGCGCTTCGTGCTTGTGGCTAAGACATCTACCATGAATCGGTGACGCTTCGCCGATTGTCTTGTGGTACGATGATGGAAAGAATCTATCAAGGAGTCATCGGACCACCACAGATGGGTTTCAATAGGGCTGATGCCGATGCGAAGCCGCAGAGAACGTAACGGGTCGCCGGGGGTCCAGCTCGGTGGGGAAGGAACAGGATGGTTTTTAGTCATTAAGATTCTGACACACCCTCCCGCCTCACCCAGGCAGGAGAAGCAATTCGATGATTTTCCCCTCTAAAAAAATGGGAGCTTTTAGTCGGGATTAAAAGTCCTATCACTTAAGTCAGCCCGTACCATACCTGTATAAGTACCAAATTTTATCAAAATCCGTTGAGTAGTTTCAGCGTGATTGACGAACAAACATCCAAATAAAGAAACTCACATTTGTAATATTACTGTGATAGTTCAATTGCTCAAAGTTGATGTGGCAAGAATAACAGGGAAACAAAAACGATTAAAATTATGAAAACCAATTTTTTGTCTGCGTTTTCGGTAGCGTTCCGTTTACACCATGTATATTATATTACTAGCTACTTCCGCGCGGTTTCACACGCTCTGCTCAGTTCCTATTGGTCATAGCGTGATGTTTTATAGCCTATAGCTATCCTCGATAAATGTGCTATCCAACACAAAAAGAATTATTCAAATCAGACTTGTAGTTACGGAGATTAGCGCGTTCAAACAAACAAACAAAAAAACAAATGCTTCCGCTTTATATCATAGTATAAGATAATATTTTTCTCTTTGCTTTTTGTTCACAGATGGCTACTATTCATCTCGGTGATATCGACTGGCATTGCAAGCTTCGCGTGCCAACATCTGCCGAGGCAGTATGATGGACCTATCAGGGAGCTGAACTATATGAAGTGGTTCATATACTTCACCAACTGGGGCTACCTGCTCATCGCACTGCAGTCAGCACTCGCCCTAGCCGTCGTAATCAGATACAGATCACAAAAATGTAATTCTAGTAAGTTTCTTATGGCTATCTTATAAAAACGTCGCTATTAATACCTACTTAATGATGTTAACAGGTTACAACCTGTATTCTTTTACGGGCGATATTGCATCAGTTAATTCTTAACTGTAGAATAAAATATACATTTGACAGTTTTAGTATGGAAGTATTGTCAAATATTCAAAGTTATAAAATTTATCTGGCGTTGGATAAATTGGTCCTTTTGTGTCATAAAATAAACATAATAATCGTATACCTAAAGGGAGCTTGGTATAGAACGATTTGTCAATTTTCGATGATTCGATGATTTGGACCAATCATCGATAAGGATTTAAAATATTTCATTATTAAATTGGACAGTCAAGTCATCTGTAAAAACTTACAAAATCCAATTGAATACGTCCTTCCGTTTTAGATAGAAACACGGAGCTTCAAATTCAATGATATTACTTAACGTTTATAACTGCATGCAGTAATGTAAGTCTTAAGTTGGACACAAAAAAATAAAAGTCCATTTTGCAATCAATTCAATTAGTTACATTGTAAGGCCAAGTTCAATGACTCAGTCTAGACTTGCAGCCACTGAGCTGACGAGATAGCGTACGGGACAAGATGACGTAAATCTATTTTGATCTTATGTATAATCTTCCGTTCCGTATAAAAATATCAATCAAATTCCCCAATTCAATGGAGGAAAACCTAATGAACCCGTTTCAGACACATGTATTTTTAGTCTTCCTATTTTTACAAATAGGTTTAATGATGTTGCATGCTATTTCTTTTTTATTCATTTTATAAACGTTGCCCCACACTAGGATTTTCTCCTGTTTCGTAGGTGCGTTTACAAACATACAATTTCACATACACATGTCACACAGACCCAGAAAAAGAACTTGTGGAGCACATAAAGATTTGTTCCGTGCGTGAATCGAAACCGCCAGTACTACTTTGCCCGACCCGGGAATCGAACCCGAGACCCCTTGCCCGGCAGTCGCACCTGCGTAAAAAAATTGTAAAACTCGTACTGAAATTCCTGGTACCGATTTAATTTTCTAAATATATACAATACTAGCTTTTGCACGCGGCTTCGCTCGCGTTCCCATGTGATAATACGCAGCCTATGTGTTATTCCAGATCATAATCTATCCCTATTCCAAATTTGATCCCGTTCCCTTCAGACGTTTATAGGTAGGTTGAGTAACAAACAGACACATAAACTTACAAACTTCCGCATTTATAATATTAGTAAGATAATTAATTAGACTAAGATCTTTTTCGACAGTGGCGCCACCAGAAGTGTGAAAACAATAGCCTTTTTAACATGAACAGTGTCGTAGCTATATTGAAGAGTGCGGCAGGCAACCGCGTAGGTGCATGGGTATTTGGTAAACACTCAGCTGTACAGAAAACTTCCGTCTCGGGATCTGACACGTGTAGTGCAGATTGTGAATGTTGCCCGTTACCTTATTAACAACAATATGACATCATCAATTGTTTTCCCAAGTTCATGAGTTATTTAATTGCCGCAAAAATGTAGAAAAATTGTACGCGCTAACCGCAAATCTAATTCCATTCACAATTTTGATCCTGAAATTGTTGAAATAAGTTTGCTGAGCTTCGTATACGTACGGAATGAGATTTCGTGCTCCGGAGCCATTAAACTATGTTGACACAATTACGGTCCAGCAACCCAGATTAAAACTAGTTTGGCGCTCATTGTCTTGTCAAAGCTAACATAGAAAGTGATCGGCAAATTGTTGACAGGTCGAGCTCTACAATGTCAAGTGTGTTGCGTGGGTCCGTTTATTACACAAAACGGTTTCCTTGGACGACGTAATTCCTCACGCGAATCAATTAATCTAAATCATTGAATCGCATGTCGTACACATAAACATCTCCGCTGGGGATCGATGGAACACGTGTTTTGTCTTTTTCGTGCCGTCAATAAAAACGGTATGCGCTGACATGTCTAGACTGTTCATCAATTTAGATGAAAACTTTTAATAACGTCATTATTGGTTGGCTTTCGATACTTGGCTTATTTGTTCGTATCGATGCTGTCAAGGGCATTTATATTCAAATAAAGACATTTGGATAACATTTTGATGCATGCTATCGACAGAGGTCACGAACTCTTGATTGGTAACAATTTCGCGTCAATTAAGATCAGAGCGGAGCGGGTCCGCTGTCCATTGTGCTTCAAATTATCCTTATTGGTTCCTCATTCCATCGGAGCCAAGCTCACAGGGAGTGGGTATTATTCCGCAGCTATTGTTGAAAATTGGAGACGTTCTCGTTGTCCACTTGAACGGCAAGTGGCGGACAATTGTGCGACATAAAAGGATTTAATATACAACGTTCGCTTTCGTTAACACGTCCGGACACTCGGCTGAGGGTATTTGAGATGTATTGACGGCAAATAGACCAGACGTCATACAGCCATATTGTGTATTTATTATGATTGACAGGAACACACATTGACTTCAACTGTCCCTTTTTAACTCCAGTTACAAACATGTTAATGTACAACTGTAGTTAACATTTGCTACTAAACTGAGTATGTTTTTAGTTAAATAATAATATAATAAGTTATTTGAAAGAATATACAGTATGAAACAATAAAATTATCTATTAAGAAATGTTTTATATAATTTATATTATGTCTTTTGTATTTATTTGTATTTTTTAAAAACGTTGCCCTACACTTAGATTTTCTCCTGTGTCGTGGATGCGTTTACAAACATACAAGTTCACATATACATGTACCCAGACACGGAACATACATTTTTTAGCGTGTTACGTAGTCGGGTATTGACATTTTAACTAAATTTTTAACTATTTTCCGTACAAAACCCTAAAAATACAATAATTGCATGCAAACGAAGATGAATTATGTACGAGTATACATATACTCCTAAATAATTCATAGAAATTTGATGACATCCAATGAATTATCATTTATTGGATGTCATATAAAATGTACCGATTTATTGAATTTTAACATTAATGTTATGTTAATTTTGTAATCTGATTAACAACGTAGTCTGACATTTATTTTCAAAGCCTTATGTTACTTTTTACAGCGTATGAAGAGGATGAGTTCCCGATTCCATTGGGGCGGCGCGTGCGCACCCCGCTGCTGTGCCGCGCCTATTGGCTGTCACATAACATCGCCACCGACCTCGCTTTCGTCATCTCACTCGTCTACTGGACTCTGGTCCATGACCCTAGTAAGTAATTTTGATATTTAATTTTCTTTAAAAAATAAAAAGCCATAACCTAAATATAACAAACACTTCTGAAAACTGCATCAAAATCGGATTAGCCAATCGCGAGATATACAAACAGAGATAGAGACAAAGAGAGAGATCGATCGATAGAGAGATATCGAATAAACATACAGTCAATACCGTTTATAACGACATCGAAGGGACCGATTATAATGATCGCTATAACCAATATCTTTATGCTTTATAAGACACTAGACTGGGCCTCAAAATTTCGTCGTTGTACCAGAGGGCCAAGCACGAATAACTATCGCATTCGTATCGTAACAGTATCGAGCGAGTTAAGCGTTCTGATTGGTTGGTTCACTTGAGCCGGCCAATCAGAGCGCCGAACGCGCTCGATACTATTACGTTACGAATGCGATAGTTATTCGTGCTTGGCACTCTGATTCGTCTTTATAAACGATGACGTTGTAAGCGGTTTTGACTGTACATACGAATAGGACACACTGAGAACCTTATTCTTTTTTTGAAATCGGTCATATCTTCTTTTTTGTGTAATGAAGGATTAAAATGAGCACTAAGGTGAACCTTTTATTTTAATAGTAGCAATTCTACATTGAATTTAAATATAAGCGCCTTGTAAAAATAGTATAGCATCGTGACACCACAATGTACTAAGCAACCAATTGCTACAAGGGTCTCTTTTAATAAGACATATTACCTATTATAATTTAAGAACTAATTTAACTCGTCGAATACCGTCATTATAGACACAATTAAAGAACAATAGGTTGGGGTCACCGGTGTCCTCGCGGTGTTTGACAGTTTTCGTTGCCGCCAACAAATCTAGATTAAAAATCCCAATAATCTTATCGGTCAGATCTTCTCTTATCGATTCGAGGTCAAAGAAGCAGCAGTCCATGCTGTACATTCACTTAGATTTTCAATTCTAACATACATAACATAACACGCCTTTTATCCCCGAAGGGATAGGTAGAGGTGCACATTATGCCACTGTACAATGTAACACTCACTTTTCACTATTTGTGTTATGAGTCCCATGTAATAGGGGGTGAGCCTATTGCCATATACCGGGCACAATTCCAGACTCCGTGTTACTACTGAGAATTTTTTCAAAACCAGTAATACTTTGCCCGACCCGGGAATTGAACCCGAGACCCTCATTTTCAATTCTATACAAAAAAATAAGTCATAAAATATTGCTATTAAAAAATCTTCTATTTTCAGGAATCCACGAGATCAATGCTATCAACGTGCTCGTCCACGGTGGTAACTCGTTGGTGATGGTGATAGAACTGTTAGTGACGTCACACCCTGTGCGCGCTGCGCATGCGCTGTACAGTGCCGGTGCGGGACTCGCGTATGGTGTCTTCAGTGCCTTCTATTGGGCTGTGGGTGGCACTGACAGGATTGGGTTGCCAGCTATCTACCCAGTTTTGGATTGGAATAAGCCTGGTGAGTTTGAAAAATGATTAAGAATAGCGATGCATTTACCTAACCTACAACTGTAGAATGGATCAAAAACGCATTATACAACAAACTACGTCTTCTTTTCTATTGATTTCGATTTCGATTCATTCATGCCATTTGTATATTCTACTCTATATATTCTAGTTCTACTGAAACCGATTCAATGAAGTAGTCACTTCACACCCGAATACTGATACGCTACTCAATTTTTAAGGTATATATAAATATCGTGCCATCTCGATCTCTGTCATTTTACATACAATTTTTAGTGACAGAACTATAAAATCGAGAAAATGTTAATAAATTAAACACATATTTCGTATTTTGTTGCCAGGATCTGCATTCGGGTTCGTATCACTGTGTGCGGTGGTAATGGTGTTTGCGCACGCGCTGGCAACGTGCGTGGCTGCAGTGCGCATGCGCGTGGCACTCCGCCTGCGCGCACGCCCCCACGCCGACCGTCTCGCACTCCCGACTCACTGATCACACGGGAAACTGCTCTAGCATCTCTTGTTACCTCTTGGGCCACGCCTTGATTTCAAAAGGAGTTCTAAGAAAGTGCAACGTAAACAGAAACAGCGATGGCGTCGATCAGTTATCTCAAACGCAGTTTACGGTCATTTCCAATAACTCGACTAGATGTTTTGCCCACAGATTTGCTTCAATTTCTATCATTCAATATAAATAATTTGCACAATCGTGTTTATGACCACTCTGTTATGTTTTAGTTCACGGATTGAAACCATAGAAACTTACTAGTATTTCATGAAAAATAAAGAAAATCTGCGGGTCTGAAACAAGAGGTAACAAACTAAACTTGAGTGGCAATGGACCTTTTAATATAAGACGATGTTTGAGTAGTTCTCGTGTCAATTTACAAGTTTATAAATGCAAGTATTTGGTTGTCGTGTCCTTCCAGATACGTTGTAGGAAGGGTAGATAATCCCGTAGTTTTGTAAACGGCGAGCATAATATTAATGGTATCATCATTCCCAAAACACCATTTAGGCTTAAGTGGTTTACCTTATTGCAGTAAAGAAAAGCTTTGTCTAAGGGTGCGTCCATCTAGCGACTGCGCAGCGAATGTGCCGTGTGCCGTTTGCGAGCTGCGCGCGATCATTTAAAATATTATTTATACGAGGCTTGAATGAGTTTAAGCACTAAACCTTTGCCGTAACTTTACTCGCGTAGCTCCCCGGCAAAAGATTCGCCAGTGTGGATGTATCCTCAAAAAAACAATTGTTTTAAACAATTTAGTGCTTGCTCAGTGACAACATTCCTTCCTTAAATGGTTCTTGAAATTCGCAAAAATAACTGTTTATGTTACGTAAAAATGAAGGGCAAATATGTGTATGTATCTAATCCATATATAGAGGTATATATATTCACAGATAGACAAAAGTACATAACGGTAATAGCTTGGAATTGAACGTCAAATACAGCACGTACATCTGGTTTTCTTCAGAAAATCTGAAACAAGAAAGAGGAATCGGTAATCATTTTGCACTTTTGAGAATTTACTAAATCTTATATGTATATATACCGCGACAAAAACATAGATTCTGAAGATACGTACACCCTGTGTTTTGAAATATTAAAGCACAATAGCTTGAATGGAAGTATGGTACCATGTTAGTGTTATTAGGTACATAAAAATATAGAAGTTGCAGCTGTATTGATGTTTATCACATTAAATAAATGGAATGAGTAAGCAATGATATTCTCAGCGTAGACTACGCAGCAATAATAATGCAATTATTAGCATAGCGTTTGTGAGAACATCTAGCGAATTAATAGTTTATTTTGCATGTATTTAAATGGGTGACTTACAAAGCATTCCTATTTTTCCCAAAGAAATAGCTTTTTAGATGTAAGTCCATATACCTATTAGGCCCATAGCACACTGTGGTTCATACGAAATTCGAACGCAACGTCGCCGAAGACATGCGTTCCTAAAACACTTTTCCTGACGCATATAAAAGTACGCCGTGTGCTATGGGCATTATATTTTATGTATTAAAAATGCACTTTATACATAGGTCGACCATGATGGTATTTATGGATCTATCTGTTATATACACCGTGATTTGTTCTAATGTTTTTTTTTTTCTTGAAATATTTTTGATTTATTATTCAGAGGCTAACTTAGGTACTTACCATCACAGGCGCTACTGGAGAAGAAGCTCTCTTAAACAAAATATGATTTGAAAATGTCAAGTCATCAGACAGTTAAAACAATAAGTGGACGAACAGGATCTTATTCTATAGTAGCGCCATCTAGTTAGTTTATAAATGACAAACTACTGTGTGATGCGTGTATTAATTTATCAGTCTACTTACTACATGGCTGTTTTTGTTGGTAAAAAGAAACGAAACGATAATTATTTATTTTCTACTTCATTAAAATCACGGTGTATATTTAAATGTATTATTTTGTGTAAGAGGTTAATGATTTAACCTTATTGTTTTAAACTCGGGGTGCATGATTGATTTATACGTAAAAATAACAGAATAAAATGACGACAAACCTATACATTGGTATTAAACACGTTTAAAAACAATTCATCTTGAATTTTCATAATAACAAAATAGATTATACACTTCTACAAATAAAAATGTGCCATAAACAGTACAAAATAAGAACTGCTATTAAATATAACTCTTATGCTCATTCTGTTGTCGCAGAGAACCTAACGGGTTACCGGGGCTCCGGCTCGACGTGCAGGAGAAGGAACGAGGTGGTTTTTAGTCAGTAAGAGTCTGACACTCCCTCCCGCCTCACCCAGGCGGGAGGAGTCATTCGATGATTTCCCCCCCTTAAAAAAATGCTTATTCTGTTAATTTTCAAAATATGATTGGTTGTGCACCCCGATCGGTGGCGGCTGGACAAACATACAATGCAGACATTGTTATAAGAATTTGCTCGAATTGTGATATTTATGTATTTATCAATCGAATATTCAGACTTTTTATGAATAATAGGACATATTGTTAAATGTCTGAAATTATTTAAATGACTTTGAAAAAGTGAATAGTGTCAGTTTAATTCATATCGCTGAATCCTAATACGATCTAAGACTTCATTTTGGCTTGAATTTAAAAAGATTAATGTCCAAATACTCAAACACCACTCAATTTTATATCGTGCTTATGTATAGTTCTGTCTCTACAATTTCTTTGTTAAATTACACAGATGGCACGATATTTAAGTATAATTTTAAATTGAGTAGCCTTTCAGTATTCGGTCGTTAGTATAGCCAATATTCTTATTAATAGGGAACGTCGTATTTTATTCATTGTTGATGTAACTTGAAGATTATAAACCTTTACCTATAATATTTAAGAAGTGTAAATTGAACTATCAAAATTATTATCACCTTGGCCCGTCAATTGTTAAATATGACTTTATGGTTGTATGTATTAATGTATTGAATACTGTTTTATATATTATGTGTCCTTGTTCACCATACTCGATTTATTGCATTTTCTAATGAGATATAATAACTCGACTGTACCTATGTTCAGTTAACAGCATGCAGGTACATTTCAATGTAGTGAATTTAACTTTTAAGTAGTCGCGAGTTACGGCTGAACACATTCCTGCCTTGCTCCAAACTTAAGCAAGCTCAGCATTTATATAAGCAAATATCTACGTAGAGAATAATTTAGGACTTATTATAGTGATATGAATCGTTCCTAGCCCTAATTTAAAATTGGACAAAAAGCTGTGATGCGATGTTTCTTTTAAAGTATTATTGTTAATAAACTAATAAGCAATAATAGACTTGTAATCGCAATGACATTTGTAAGCAATATGCAATTATAATGGACTGTAATCTCACTTTAAATATTATATCTTAAGTATTAATGTATGAGATCCCTAGTATTTTGGTCTATTTCTAAAATTGGCCGTGAATTTATTTATTAAATTAATGTAGTTCGCAATTTTAAATCTCAGTGTAATTAATCGTGATAATGAATAAAATATTAATTTTCATTCGTATTTTTTGTTCATAAATAAAAATAATGATTACCTTGAAATGTTTGAAATTGAATAAAAAGTGTGATCGGAATCATTGATGATGCGTGAAGGATAATTTGAGGCGGTAAGTTAAGCGTGATCTGCGGCGCTGACGGTGGCCGCAGTTGACCTCACATGCGTACGCGCACAGCGCAGCATCCCGCGCGCGCGCACTATCAGAACATTAGTCGCGCGGCACTCGCGCGCAGCTACACGCGCTGCGTGCTACCTTATTTATATTTCACTATAGAACCGCGCAAACTTATGAACATAATCGTAAAAGCGCGAAGTTCATTGAAATATATTTTATTTATATTTGAAGTGAATAGTGTGTGCTAGAAATAAAGTATAAGTGGTATGTACCTATTGTAATTAACTAACAATAATTGATTTAAGCACGCACCCGTACTATTTTCTCTTTCATGGAATAATGAGTGCAGTCTTGAAAAAAAAACAGTATTTACATAAGCCAATCCGCAGTATTTATAGGTACTGTTGCTACCTCAATATTTTTTTTCCTACACAAAAAATGTAATTTATTAAACCCTAGGTAATAGATAATACCTACGATTTTTATAATAACTATCATGAGACATACTAAATTACTTAAGACAATATTGTAACTATATAAACAATTATTTATATATCCTGTTTGTTTGAACATAATTTAATATTTAACGCGATGGAATTTTAATTGCCTTTATTGTTGTAGGTTGATAGATATAGAATCTAACACTAAACAAATCCAAAAGATCAAAAAAGTTCTTAATGTAACTAGATTCTATTAAACTAAACGAATATTTATTGAGTAGTAAATAATTTCACAAAATAGAGGTAGTTATTTTAAGTAGTTAGTAAAACTAAACTAAAATATAAATACAACACATGTGTAATAAAATGATTTTTTACACTTTTTCAATTTTTATATCGACTGTTTAACCCGTTTTATCCCGGAACACAGTTCTACGCGAAACAGAATATGTTTCTCTATTGTGTCTCATACATTTACACACTGACATTCAAGTGGTTAAATTGTATTTAACTAACACAAGTGTGTTTCTTACAAGACCAGTCGTACCATACAATTATGCAAAAAAAACAAAGATCGCCGATGGCAATATGCAAAATATATATTTACAAGTAAGTACGAAGTATAAAATTCCTATAAAATCTACATAATTATATTATAATTCACAAAAACACGATTACAATATTATTTAAACTCTTCACAGACAGGCGACAATTACAAAGAAAATAAAATATCATTATCTATACTAATATTATAGAGAGGAAAGATTTGTACCTATTATTGTATGTTTGTAATGAATAAGCTCAAAAAGTACTAGGCCGATTTAAAAAAATCTTTCACCAATAGAATGCTACATTCTTCCAATTTGACATACGCCACATTTCATTTTGAAAAATATTAGGGATCCTTGGTAATATTTGAACAATGTAACCGAAGGTGTAGAAAAATGAGTCTTAAAATGTCTTTTGTCGAATGCGCTGCCAAAACTATTAGCGATAGAATAAAATAATGTACAACAATATTGAAGAACAGCATAATGTCTATAAAAAACTCTGCGGTAGCATATGTCCAACTATCGTAGTTATGTCAATACAACAATCCAAATTTCCAAAAATAAATAATTGTCTACCCCGTGCGAAGCCGGGACGGGCTGCTAGTAGCATATAATTTTAATAACACTCATTGTTATATCTACGATAAATTTTTCATAGACAGACATATCGTTTCAATTATAAATACTTACTTACATACCTGCTCAAAAACTTAAAAACTCATCGAACTATTATGACGTCAATTTACTTGGAAAAACCATTTTCCACAACTACGTAAGTACCTACTCATAATAAGTATTTAGGCACACACTGCATTTATTAGTACTATACTCATTCTCATTTACAAGCAGATTATTACATATTTACTTCGTCAGGTAGGTACCTAAATAATATATGCACTTATGATTTTTTCCTCCCATATAAGACTGGATATTTTCCCTCTCATTACTTACTTTTACCCAGCAAAAACAAGCTAAATTTCATAATTTTCGAACCATTTAGTATGCGTTGTCTGTCAAGGAAGAAATATAAATCTGGTGAAATTTAATATACTTATCTAACAAATTAAGTAATAAACACATAAATTCATTTAAACCCCAATTTTGTTAACACGTTTTAGAATTAGATAGTTTGTGTTACTGGTAATTCGATTGAGTATCGGTCGAATATTTATCGATGGGTCGACAGGTACATAAAGAACTACTAGACTTAACTAGACCCGGTACACAGGCATGTAAAGGATTTCCACTATCACTTAGGTACTATTGGAAGGTTACATGCCCTTTAAAGGGAATCAATCGACGGTTCTAGGAAGCTCTTATACTTGCTATATTAGATAGTATTTAATAAATGTTTTAGTGTATTAGTTAAAATCATGTACCTATATAGTGGAGTTAATCATGATAACATTTCGGGCTCAAAATTAGAGAGGAGCAAAGCATTATTACTTTAAACAACCACAATAAAATTACTGGCGTAAATCGTTTTCTAACTTTACCAGCTCTTGTGTACCTTTTGAAAAAATATCTAGTGTGATTTGTTTAAATGTACCTACTCTATAAAAGCTTAGGTCACGATTAAAATTGCGACAAAGGTAGGTCAGGACTCAGTCACCGCAACTGGTTTCACACCACGTGCTCTGACTATTTATTCACAAAAAAGAACATAAATACCAACAGTATAATATGGCAAACTATATCCGGAACTGTTTCTATTGCCGGTCCTAGGATTTTGGCGCATCTCCCACTGACGCGCCTAGATATTGGCTGACAGCCCCAAATAGTCTGCAACTTTGTCAGTCTGCACATAACTCGACCATAAAGATCGTTTTAATATAAACTGCACACAACTATTGGGTCATGTAACCTTACCATTATATTAACATTAATACATACCTAAGTTTCTAAAGTGCGTGAGGGTGAAAAGCCCTGGCTTCAATACTTAAACACGGGAAATCAATTAAGAGTAAAGGAAATTAGTTAAGTGTTCTAAACACGAGATCGCGACTCGATGAATCCTTGAAAGTGATGCGAAGTACACAACGGTAACTGTGCTACAAAATTATTTCATAAAGAAAAATACAAAAGTACTTAGACCTCTTTCTCAAACTTGGTGATTTCACGTCACGGTGTGCGTCTATGGGTGTTACATGTACTTGGTTGATATAATCAGTTACAAGTAACTTATAATAAAGGCAATTCACATAGTAAATCGGATGTTTAGTAACACGCGAGCACCGGCAGACAGTTATAGCTGGTAGTGGCATATCCTTATGTTATTACAAATCCAGTTATCGTGACTGGTGCGCATCCTTAAAGGTTAGGATAATGAGCGAGCGTTTTCCTCAGTTTCTAATGCCCTTGAAATGATTTTTCCACGTATTGTGCTCCTTGGCTGCCTTATAGGAGGTTGTAGGTCGACGACGACGTAAATAACAAACAATCGAACACAAATAAAGTTTTACGAGTTGCCGACAAGGCGGCTCAACTTAACAAAACTAACGCTGGCCTGATTGTGCTAACATTTGCAAAATACTAAGAGTTCAGTTACATGGTATTGTTCGTGAATACGTTTCGTGTCGTATTATTAATTTTGACAAAAACAAAACAATACCGCGTGTATTGTGGCCGCAGTCGCAACGTCAAAACAAAAGGTGATTTACTATACAACTTACTTTTGTATAAGAAACGTACAAATGTTGTAAATCTGTACTTAGTACTTGCTTACGGCTTATGAAGTAATGCATTTAACTTCAAATACTTGGTTTTAATTAATTTATAATAGATAGGTACGATTTTTTCTTTAAAGGTAAGTACGATAACATTAAAAATGCTTATTACTTTAGATTAGATGTCTAATTATACTTGTCCAATTTTCTTTGCAATAATCTATGTTAACAAGTATAAGTTTTTGACAAATAGTTTAAGTACATTAGCGGTCACTCAAGACTGCGTCAGTTCTGTTAGTAAACATAAAAACCATCACTTAACATACACTTGACCCTGCAAGCACTGCTTAACCTTGCAAATTGATTGGTACCGAGCAGAAATCTAAATAACAACCTTTCAAACACGTGTCGCTGAATATCTAATAATTTTTATTAAAAAATATAGTTTCTAAAATCTTGACCAGTCCAACTACCAATAAAAATAGCAAATAAGTGTTTGCCAAAAATAACTTTTAGTAATTTGCTTGCCAATTGCAAATATTAACGTTCCAAACGTTTGACTGTTTTACTAATTCCTAATAATAATGTGTACATGAGGTTTGTTAATGTATTTAGGCAGTGTATTTACAATCAGGAAGTTAATGGACTTTTCCGTGTATTTGTGAACCTTACAAATACATTAATATAGGCACTGAAAGCACTGTTTTGGTTATGACAACCCAATTGTATGTTTGCAGTAAACATCTCAAAAATTTGACTACAATAAACCTTCATCAAATTTTTTAATTTATTGTAAATTAACCTTTATACAAACTAATTAAGTTTCAAATTAGGTATGTCTGTCGCATTCATTGAAAGACAAAAATTAAAATACGTATATGACCTTAAACTTACCAAACTGTATTGCATATTTTACAACGATAATACGCTTATTTAATAAACGTAATTCCATAAAAGTGTCGCATCCGAACAGAGTCGTTCGACATACTTAACACGTCTATATACTTGAGCTATGTAGGTCAACATCAACAGCTGTGTACAAATACAAATACAATCCGCTGAACTTGAACTTGGCTTGTGTTTATTTATAAATTAAGGTAAAAGAATTTAAGTACTCATAATACATAATATTTAGTGTCCTCTTACGTTATCTATGACGATTGACGAGGCATTGTCATAGCTATAAGTACAGTAATCGCTTTAAAATTACAGTTCTCATTAAAATGCATATAAATTCTTTTTTAATGACAGCACACAAATTATTCGAGTACGTCAATTTTAACTTCCATTGGCATTAATCACGCTAAGCATATATTAGAGGCATTTATTTTATTTTTAAAAGGTTTTTGTTATACGTAGGTACATACGCATACGTATTAGTTAGACTTAGACCTGTCACTGGTTTTGTGTGACCTATGTACTTGCGATTATTATGAGTTTTCCATGTTTACACGCCAGAATCAACATTTTTTTTTATTATTTGAATAGAAAAAATATGTTGAATATTTTTTTTTTTTTGTTAATCGTAATTCCTACATGATGTTTGTAGATGTATATAGATGCTTACGTGCGTAAGTACATACCTACGTAATATAAAACTTTTTTTAGTGTTTAGTGTAAGTAAATTAGCAATAACTCGTTGACACCTCTTCTCCACGTTCACTCAAACCTTTATTTACTAAACTAAACAACACTTTTATATTGAATGGCAAAAATCAATTAACAATTACACGATAAACGAAAAACACGAAAACTATTAATATTGAACTTATATTCACTAATACTTCACCTTGACTTTTACGTTTTTTCGTGATTATCAATAATGCAATCAGTCGTTTATTGTATTTAGTAAAGTACATGACCAAATTATTTTTAATTTGCGTAGGTACGTAGTTACGTACCTTCAACATTCCATTAGTTTTGGTTTTATACGGTGCGCTCCGTATAATCTCATTAGGTACCAAAGTATTTTTACTGCTAATGAACAATCAATACATTATTGTATATTTATGAAGCAAGGAAGGAATTTCTATTACATTCGCAGTTTGTGTGATAAGTTTGTGATAATTCTTAGTATTTACACATGTCCATCTTGTCAAAATTATCGGTTTCTAGAGGTATATCCAATAATGTGTGTAATCCTAATATCAGTACTACTGAGTCACGTGTAGTTTACTCCAGCCAATTAACAGATGTTAGCATTTGAACGAGATAATAATGTAAATATCTTAATTTTAACTCACGAAGTCAATGCCAACATCACTCTAAGTTCTAGCAAAATAAAACAAAATATAAACAAATATGTACTTCCTATTCGTTAATTTCCACGACAAACAACATCACATCGTCCGCCAAAATATCTTTTCAACAGAAAATTACTTTATAGCTCACTTAATATTCCTATTTTCTGTCCTTGTTCACAGCTAAACAAACACTGGAGGCGCACTTGAGATGTTATGAGTAAACAGCCCAAGCATTACTAAGTATAAATTATCTATCAACTGAGACTACAAAGAAGTAACGATGCAGTGGTCGTGGAGACAAGCCTTTTTTTGTATCACGGGGATCCTCGGGAGTGAGAAGAATGAGTCGTGTGAGCCATTCACGAGGTCATGTTGCGGCAGAGTATCGCCACTGTACTGGAGGGTGCCTATCCTCGTGTGGGCGCTGTTCGTGCTCATCTGGTCTATGTCGTTCTTCTGGGGCCCGACACAGATGTTCTTCCTGTACATGACACATTGGGGCCTGGCTTTCATTGTACTGGAGTCGTCGTTCGGAATATTCGTGGCCATAGGACGCAGAGGTTTGACAGGTAGGTTGCATTTAATCACTGGGCTAATCAAGTGATAATAGTCGTGTTCCGAGCCAGCCGGTGGCGCGTCACTAATGGCGGTGGTTGCTCCACCTGTGTTTCACATAGCATCCTGGCTGCGGCTGCGGATGGTGCAGCGGTAGCTGGTGCAAGAACTCCCCCCGGTACTTTTATACTCGTTAGCCTGACAACTGCGGCATTCCTGTTTCGTATAATAGATTCACGCCACCGACTTAGTCAGTTTAGTCACGCGTGCATGAATCTTTCGCAAAGGAAAACTAATAAAACCAGATTTTTAGATAATTATTAGTGTTGCCTATCAACCTGACAACATACTAGGTACATACATATTTACTATATCATTTTCACACATATTGTAAGTTTTTCGTTTTCATATTAACTAATAAGTTGTCTAAATATAAATGAAACGTCCAGAAATATACGCAGTTAGGTACTTGCACATTTCGTAATATTTTCCTGGGCTGCTTTACTTATGACTGTATTTAATTACAAAAAATAGTCTGTAGGTAATTATGCTATTGTTAGAGGTGAACTAAGACCGTGGGAAGGTTAAGGCTTGATTAAATATAAGATAAGCACGTTTACCTACTTCCACAATAGATAAAACTCGTGCAACTCAGTCACCAAAACAAATCTTGTCATAGTAACTAGTACCCACCATCAAACAGAGACACAAAGATTTTGAACCTGCCAAAAATATTGTCGTCGTTACTCTTACAAACTGATGACAGCGTAACGTAAAGATGCTTACTCACAAGACCTTTATTTGTCTGTCACATGCCATCGTTATCTAACAGGTAAAATTCTACCAAAATTATAAATAGGGTAGGTATAACACACACGTCTAGCTAGTACCTACCACCAATACAACAGTAACACGAACTACATTTATCATTAACAGCGCGTTTAACAGTTGCACACGATGTCTTCACGATAAACAACAACAGTGCTTCGTGCAAATAAGACAGCGAAGTATAAATAAAAATGGAAATCGCAAGAAACGATTAAAAATCCATGTCGCAAGACCTTGACGATACAAAGGAACAAGTTCATTACAGAAAGAGTGTTGTTACAAGATCGAGCCGTCACGTCGTCGTCGCGTCGTCCTCACGCTTCACTGCTTGCAGTACATTTTCACTGCTTAGTTGATCACTAACTATGTACACGATCGGTACTATTTCATGCTACAAATAAAGATCCGATAAAATTAAGGTTATCATCGGAATCTAGTGAAGGATAATGTGATCACGCGTGGAACAAAGAACGTTTGGAAATGCAGTTGCACAGTGATTGTGTTCAGTATTCTTTGTTAGTGTTAATGTTCGGTGGTAGTGCATTGTGGACACGATGCTGTGTGTCGGGTGTGCGCGGGCCGAGTGTCGCTGGCGCATGTGTCTGCTGGAGCACCCGTCCCCCAGCAACTTCTACGTGAGCTGTTGGCAAAGTAACCGCTCGGCCGCGCCGCTGTTACTGCTCCGGAGTTTCCTCTTCCTGTTCACGACGTGCGTTCTGCTCGCGTCTATCGCTGTGCCCTTGACATTGAACAAACATTTCGGCCATTGGTTCATATACCTAACACATTGGGGTTTCCTACTAATCGTTCTCACCACGGGCTTCGGTACTTCGGTTTCCGCATACGCTTTCTATAAGAAGCCAATTGGTACGCTTGTTTTCTTACATATTATCATTTAACACGTGTGTAACATATCGATTGATAAGAATTGCACGTACTTTTCTTATCAAAATGTGTATGTACCTAGTCCTACTAATAACAATAGTATAGGTAATAATCCGCATTAATTTCTACGTCTACTGATTAGTTCCAAGTCTACGAAGTTGTTGATAGTCAGACGAGGCAGTATGTTGTGGAGATGATGGATGCAGTCTAAAAAAGGATGTATGGATGGACAATATGGTCATGTTCGAGGGTCACGTCGGAGTATAGCAGTGGCACGTGCTGCGAGGAGCACGTATGAACGTGGTCGGCTGACCTCGCCACGCCGCACCGGTCGTGTCCGACACCTGAGGTCTTGTACTACCTCTGCATTATCTCATCTATCACTCGCTACACCCATATCTTACTATCTCTCTGCATTTAAATAACCAGTTCTATAATACATGTTAACTAATACATTTACTATTGCAAATGTGTTTAACAATTTTTATGGAGGTCGTGTATAATATTATAGTGCGGGGGAACGGATGCATTAGTTCTGTTTCACATCGACCAATGTTAGCGGAAGCTGTGAACGTTACATTCACAAAATTATACATTAGATTGTGATTATGCGTAGATTTCCCATTGATGGGCGGTTGGAAAAAAAAACAATCAGAATCTATGCAAGAGTGTAGCGAACGTGGTCTAGTGAAGTAATGAGTTTTGTAGAAAATTTTATAAGCATCGTAAGTTTATAATATTTACATTTGACTACATAATAAGAAAGAGCGTAGTGTCTATGTACTTACAATAAATTTAAAGCTTCTATTAAAAAGGTAGGTGCAGTCTGACATTGAAGCAGCTGTAGACATTGAAAAGTCTGTCTAATCTGTGTTCAGGGCTAGTATCGGAAACATTGGAATGTATCAAATATTAAAGTGAGCTACCTACAAATTTTGATTTATCCACAGACGCTACGTTTGGCCTGCCATGGTACGTGAAGACATATTGGATTCTGTACAACATCACAATTCCTGTCTCCTTCCTCATCACGGTCTTCTACTGGGGAATCTTGAAGACCTGTAAGTACTTGATCCCTATTAGTATTACCAAATATTGTTTAACTCTTATTTCATTTCTTATTGTCAACATTTAATATGAATATTGCATTCGAATTCGATATATGGCATTACTGAATGCTGACAAGAGTATTACATGGGACTTAACAGCTACTGGTGAGAACCTGTGACAAAGGAGACGTAATCGAACAAAAAGTAAACTAAATATAAAAACTTTCTGCTGTTTAAAAATTACTATTGCACAGTACCGAAACAATTTGGTAACTCATTTACTTTTTATGGCCATAACAAGTTAGTCTTCTGAATTAATTTAAGTGTTAATTACTTAGAATGACCTACTAATAGTTTATTGACTGCTCGAAAGACCCTAAAGTTGTAAACAAGTTTAACGGGTTTCAGGTACTTCGTTTGCAACATTTTATTTTTCTAAATCACCGATTGCCTCCACAAACAAGCGTTCGTAATTAGATTAGTTCCGATAGATTCCTTGTTAAAGAATTACCAAATATTGCCATATTTTTAATTACTATTGTTTTTAGTTAGGGTTACTTAGATACAAGTTAAGAACAATATTTTTTCTCTGTTGTGTCCATGATGGTACCTAATTTTAATTTCAATGTCCGTCTGGTAGATTAAGTATTTTAAATCACTAGACTCGAATTTTTTATTTTCTTACAGAAACGAATACTTTCGACGATATATTGATTTGAAATGTCACGGGACGTCCCTTGTATGTACATTTTATACGTAGAAATAACGTTTTACCCCCCCACTCCTAAACTTTGATTCGTTTTAAGTATTATTTCATAATAAGACAAAATATAAAAATACGTATCTAATATTTTATCATTACCTAACTGACGGACAAATTAGATTTTTAATTTTCATACCCCGTCATCGTCCCAATTACAACTGTCAACCGAACTAAAGATTTTTAGCTCAATTTAGAGTTACGCAGTAACGGTCGATAAACCATAAATAAGTAAAATTAAAAAAAACACCCAGATTGAAATTGTACTTTTATAATATAAACGAATCATTAATTAATATGTATTACACACTGTTACTTAGATTACCGCTACTAAGATATAAATTGTCAAACTGTCAAGCTTTACCTAATTACAATTAAAATAATTAAGCAACTGCATTACTTACAAAGCAACATAGAAACGTGGGCGCTCCTAAAAACAAATCACTGTAGGGCACTCTAACAACTCAGTGAACTTACTTTCACTGGAAACCCAATGACGGACAACCCTACTCTCAAACACACGTTATCTTACGAAACTATGACCCTGAATACTTCACACTACAAAGCCCTTAGAATATGGAGGTCAATATCAAAAGGGCTATCTTAAAACACAGTAATAATAGAACTTAGTAACTAGTAAGACATTACTTATGATGTTCATGGCGTAATCATTTCGCATTGTAATGATACTTTAATAACATGTACTGGCAATATTTTTGTGGACTAACAATATCTATATATACCACATCCTAAAATTGACTAGTTTTCTATTTTTTAAATAAATTCTTTCAACTTTTCAATGCAATAAATAATTAAAAAATATTCATACTCTCATCCATTGATTTGACAATTTACCTACTTTTGGATTTTTTCTCACTAATTTTAAGGAAATAAGTAATCATACTTCATCAGACGTCATCATATTTCTGTGTCAAACTGATGTTTGACACAGAAATATGATGACGTCATAAGCAGCGATCTAATACGAAATTCATAGAAAAGTATCGTTTTGGATCAATCAAATTTCAATAAAAGTATTAGTATATTGAAATTGACTATTTCTGTCAACTACCTTATTGACGTAAACCGAAGTTTTTATTTTTTGTTTACGTTAACTCGTCGAGTACCGGTTTTGTAGACACAATTATAGAACAATAGGTTGCGGTCACCGGTGACCGCTTGGTGTTTGACAGTTTTAACGGCCAAGTATCAAACTTAATTGTTATAAGCTGACACTAGTTTCGAGAAAAATAAATTGGATTCAAATACAGCTAAAGTACCTACATCTAAGCTATTGATACGTTTATGACACCTGCTCGCTCGTCGTTCATTAAAAATATATATCACTACTAAAAATCCGATGAAAAAATGTACTAAGCAAATAATTTTCACATTTTCACAATATTGTGGTTGGTTCCAGCTGCCAACACGGTAAACTTCGCACCGAATCCAGTGCTGGACATCATGTTGCACGGCGTGAACTCGGCGGTAATGCTGGTGGAACTGATCTGCTCAGCACACCCCAGCCGGCTGATGCATGTGATGCAACCGCTGTACTTCGCCGGAGCCTATATGCTCTTCAGTGTCATCTACTTTTTCGCTGGCGGACTGGACCCGTAAGTAGGCCAAATAATGTCTATTGTACCTATAAATAATAAAAAATTGTATGATGGCAAGGCGGGCAAAAAGCCAAGGAGTTCAATAAAATCTTTGATTGCTTCATTGTCGAGTAGTTGCAAACTACACCGTCTGTGATCGAACAAAATTAAATAAAAAGAAAAATATAATTATACATTTAACGTAGTAGCTGATCTATTGGTCCGCATAATATATATATAAGCAACATATCTCAGTGCTGATCACCTCGAAATTAATTTAGTCTAGTCTAGACAAAAATATTGCATGGATCAACTTTTATTTTTATAAGTGAATTTAAACATATTCATAAATAAACAAAACTATTTACTATTCATATTTATTGTGCATTACATTCTATTATAAAAAGAGATTTCGCAAATATAATTAAAATATGATAATAAGTTAAGTTTAATGTCAAGACGTTAAAATTGTATTTATTAACATGAATTCAAAGTTGTTAATCTTGCTCTAATATATCCTTCACACCAATTACTATATCAATGTCAACAGACAGACAGACATTTATCAAAGACCTTAGCAAGTATTCGACAAACATTTTTACATGTGAAAAATCCAGGACGATTCGAATTAGCATCTCAATTCGAGCTTAAAATGTTAATTAACATTGTAAATACGTGCATCTGATACCATTAAGTATCTATTTATACATAACATTTATAAATAGAGTTATATATTATACTAGCGACCCGCCCCGGCTTCGCACGGGTGCAATATGTATATACATACAAACCTTCCTTAACAATCACTCTATCTATTAAAAAAAACCGCATCAAAATCCGCTGCGTACTTTTAAAGATCTAAGCATACATACGGACATACAGCGAAAGCGACTTTGTTTTATACTATGTATTGATAATGATTATAATCCATAGATTATATTATCTAAATAGGTACTCAATATACAAATGAGACATTTTCGCAACGCGCCAATGCTTGCATCAATATAAAAGTTCAAGATCAAAAATGTAATGATCTAATTGATTGTTCCGCGCGGCGAATCGGAAATTGTATTCGTTGTATGTAATGTCGTAACGTTAGAGCCTCGACATCTGAATGACACACGACCAATACACCGAGAGGTCGATGTACAGTCGCACGCGCAAATTCAAGTTCATAAGTATTACGTCTGTGGATCGTAACAACTGTTTGAAAGAAAAAAAAAGATTTGTTAGTAGACTTTCTCCCACTTCGCCTGCATAGAATTAAATATTCCTCCCGATTGGATGCCGATACTTTAGGAATATTAAAATAGTAAAAATATTTATTTTATACTTTATAATATATATTTTATACTTATTACCCCCTTAATTTTAGGTTGTGTCTGAGTACGGTATTTTACAACTAATCAAATTCAATACTTTTATCGAAACGTCAAAAACGATATTGTTCTATGAATTTTGTACCAAAACCTAACTTATGACGTCATCATATTTTCGTGTCAAACACTTATTTCTGAAAAAAATAAATTATTAGAATAAATCGAAAATTAAGTATATAGTCAATTATATGAATGAAATTGTAATTATTTTTGAATATATAAATAATTGGATTAAAAAATCAATATAATTTATTTTTGACCCAGGAAAGTATCCAATTTACTAAGTACTACTGAATATTCCAATTATTTACGAATTCCTAATATGTACTGAACTGTTTTAAATTTTTGAGTAAGTTTTAATCAACCTAATTAAACGGAACACCACTTTCGAACAAGAAAGCTTGCAATAGATTTAAAAAAGAAATATCGCTCAAAAACTTCGTATGTTATGTACGTTTGACGTAGCTAGCTCCATGGATGTCATTGAGCAAAGCCCAAATAAGCCGAAAATTAGGCCTCTTCTGAGGTCTATTACGTATATAGAATGCCCTTGATTATATAGCAGGTCATATGCCACATATTCTGGGGACACGAACAAAATATATCGCTATTAAACGCAAGGTTAGCAGCAGAGATGATGCGTTCGTACGAGTCTAGTACTCATAGAACCTTATTAAGGAGTTTTACCTCGTTTCGGAACTCGGGGACAATAAAACAAGGAAACAAACAATTCCAAAAACATTTCGTCCCATTGGAAGAATAAAGTGTTATGATCACATGTGTCGAAATTCATATTATGTTAAATTCGTCATCCTTATAATGTAAACTATCGATTAATACTATTTTTATATATTTTTATCAATTAATTCAAAAGATACAATGCTAGAATAAAGTTTTATTCGCGCCGACTACGTAAAATAACTATGCATGATCACATACAACAATATTCTCCGCCTTGCTCCTGCGCAATTAGCTGCGCGTGCCGTATCGCTTCATCCTAAGTAACGTTGTTCGACGAAGTAGCAGTGAGTGGTGTTTGTTACAATGAATACCCAAAATTTGATAAAATATGCTGTATATAATGGTTTGATACAATTTACACTACGTTTTATAAATTTCCCACAAAGACAGTATTTATAATCACATAAAACATTTTTTTACGAAATACCAAAGCTTACTTATTAGATCTTAAATCTGAACTAAATACTTTAATAATAACTTATATAACATAACGGTATCTAATAGCACTTGTCTTATTTTTTCCCCTATTTTTCCAGTTTCTTATAAACCTAGTACATTTTACTACGTAAAATTTTATATTTTTTTCGTCCGCAAGTACGCATAAAACATTATTCTACAAAAAAAATAATTAAAGTGAGTGCCGTATATGCAAATGACACTTCTTTTTACCAACGGTTTTATTATAAAACAATATTCGAAATCTTAAAATTGCTATAAAATGGTTAAATTTAATTTAAAATATGAACAGCTTATTCAATAATCTATTAACAACTAAATGTACTAGGTAGGTATAGCAAAAAAGTAACTAATGTAAGTTTACATTGAAAACACCAATGGACCTAAACACAAGAGTGCACGCCTCCCTTTTTGACATGTTTGCTTTTTGTATTAGAAAAATCGAAATAGTTTATTTTTTAAACTCCCAGTTTAGAGCAAAAAAAAAATAAAACAGTGACACGTGAAAAAGTGAGTGCGTACTACCACAGTAGACCACTCGAGCGCTCATCAAATTACATATATCTAAGTTATGTACATACATTTACTTTACTAATTTTTTTTAAACTATTATGTTATGCATATACTCCTTGTTACTTTTACAGAATCAAAGGAAAAATAATTATATCCAATATAATTTTATTATTACATTTTTTCAATGATGATTTCTCAAACGATGGGGAAAGAGCAGGTCAGGCTCAATTGGTGAGTTTGTGGTACCAGTGGAATAGACGATCTTTGAGTTAGAATTTGCATTAAATAGGGAATATGAAATAAAGTACACCACCAAGACGAAAAACAGATGTTTGAATCAGGATACACCAAAGAATTGCAATTTTATTTATACATATTATAACGAGCAAGCGACGCAATACGCTACAAAACTATAGTTAAAACTACATGAGATAAGTACTGCAACAGCACTGTCGTAGAAGACGATTACAGAGACCGCCACAAAAATTAAAAAAAGGTAATCGTAGAAGACATGATCACTAGCGGTTGTGACCAAGTGAACTCATTTGCATCTATCCAATCACATTATTTAAGTAAAACACGACGTAATGATATCTAGACGGTATTGTCCGAATGTACAAATTTCAACAGAGTTGCACTCAAATAGGTTCAGTATTTTAAGCCATAGATTGTCCCAGTGATTGTTTCAGTGCCAGTGAACCGTAAACCAAATTTCAATCAAATACGTTCAGTGGTTTAAAAGATAGAGTCCTGAGATATAGCACATATTCTAATTCTGGGACTTCCGGGTTATTACTTTGGTACTAATAATGTGGCCTGATTTGTACCGGTAAGACGCTACTTCTAATACTATTACCTAAAGGAGACGGGCAAACATTCATGGTAAATTTGACCTCGATGGACTAAAAATTACTTAAAACAAATGAAATGCTACGGGTTTTCAAGGACTAATACTACTATGTAACTGCATTAGGATCAGGGATTTTCTAATTCAATTAAATGAATACGTTATTTTAATGGATTAGCTTCTGCCCAAGGCTTCGTTCGCGCTCTTTTAAAGGATTGGGGATAGGAATTCAAAAGAATACAAAAGCATTTGCTTTTACAGTTTTCTATTAGTAGTCAATAGATTAAGCAATATTTATGGTTGATTTTTCACAAATCGGGTTACATTTTCGAAATTTTAACACGGTTCCTATCTTTTTCTTATAAGGGGTGTAGTATGTAAGATTCCAACGCTAAAAGAATTTTTGAAATCCGTTCCGTAGTTTCGGAGCCTTTTTCAATTCAAACAAACAAAAATTTAAATCTTTCCTCTTTAGTAGACTAGTAGTTAGTATATTGTTTGTTCTTTAGTTTAGTGTTTTCATAATTGTTTTCTATGTTTGAGACTAATTTTTTATTTTTAATATTTTTTTAATATATTCACAATGGTGCCATAATTATTTATTGTGTTTTTATTATTAAGCTAACTTTATATTACAATTATATAGGACTGATTTATTCATGAGAATAACCACAGAAAGAAATAAGTCAATAGTTAGTTTTAAGTGATCTATAATATTTTTTTCTTATGGATCGCCATGTATTTATTTTGTAAGAATTGTAAGAGCATTATTCTGTTTTTCTGTCGCCTCTTTTAATAATTTTATAATAAATATCTTGATTAGGTTATTCCTCATAGTGTATGTAATCAGTTTGTATTTATTTTTAATTTACTCGTATATTGATTACTACATTGACTAATAAATTGATTAAGAAAACACCAACGTTTTTAAATATATAAAAATACTCAGTAATAATGATGAATTTAAAACCAATTCTACTTTCTTAGTATTACAGTTTCATATAAAACACGGATAAAACCGCCAAAATTCGTAAAATAATGTTTGATATGCCGATGTATCGTGAATAGTTTCGTCGAATATTGTTTTATGTATCCTTAAGACATCTCATTCAATATTTTTTTTGGCAAAAGAACGTTGTATGTGCACATGCGACCCATTATACTTGAAAAGGCATAGTTTATAAAACAAATAATTATATTATCATAAACGGTACTAACTTCTGAGCATACTGTACAAATATTAAGTAGCTAGTATCATTTATAACAGATTTATAAGCAAATATGTGCGCGCGAAATTTATAATCGCTCTACTGAAAAGTCGACAATTTGCAAATAGAACATTATTCTACTAATGGGACGATTTGATTAGTATGCAGAACTTGTGTTTACGCATGACGCATGACGTGGCACTACGCATATTTGTTTTTACTTTATCGTCTAAGGACATGCATACATCATGCATGATGTTACCGAATACCTTGCCCGTTGAAACATAAGTAGAACCATAAATTACAATTTTATATTTAGCTGCAGGCTGCCTCGTTGGCCAAGTGTTCACAAGTGCGACTGGTGGGCAAGATCTTGGGTTCGATTCCCGGGTCGCGCAAAGTATTAATTTAAAAAAAAAACCTTAGTAGTAGCACGAAGTCTGAAATTGTGCCCGGTATATGACAACAGGCTCACTCACTATTACATGGTAGTCATGACATATGTAGGTGTTACATTGTACAGTGGCATTAAGTGCCGTAGGGATTCGGGGATGAAAGACGCGCTGTTATGTTATATTTAACTGCGTTAATATTGAGTTCTTTGATTTCCAAAACTACTATAACTAGTTACTTAGGGATTAGGAACTATTCTTAGCTCGCTTACAAATAACGGATATGGTTTTCTATTACCCAACAGTATAGGCAAGCAGTTTTATAGTGGCACAACATAAACATTTCACAGGTTGCGCTAACTTGATTGATAATAAAATGCAATCGCTTTTTTATGTACTGAAAACGTAATTGTTATGGGGACAATAAAATGTGCAAAATACACGTGCACAATGCATATCTGAAACGTGTAAATGTTATATATGAGATACGGGACATTTTTATTCTGTGTAAAGGTATAAGTATACATACCCAATACTTACATAGAATAGGGGGATAAACGAAAATTCCTTGCCTGACAGTCGTAATTGGCACTGATACCAAAACACACAATGATCATTGTGCTTACTCTAAAGTTTTGTCGTGTATTTCCTAACGTCCCAACATAAGACATAATTTCTGAATAGATGAATAACAATGAATATGAGTACCCATTTGATTGTTTATATCCCACGCATATCATAAAGTAGTGGAGTGTGAAACTGAGAACAAAACATTATTTGTAATCAAGATTTTTTTGTTTGCGTGTCCGTTTAAATACTTTAAATGCACTAACATTGAACTTGATTATTTTAACTACAAAACGATTTGTGGTTTGGAAAATGTAGGTCAAAGAATTATTGCATTTCCTTGAAGGTTATAAGAGAGTTATTTATAATATTCGCTATTTATATCAAGGTCAGTCATCAGTAATGCCAACAAATATTGTCTTATACAAACCATGGACTAAATCAAATTCATTATTAATCCATGATAGTCTTTGAATAGTCTTTCAAATTCAATAAAATTCGTTTTAAAGCTTAATAAACAGCTTCGCATAAATATTTGATATGGTACCTACTTACATACATAATAATATGTATGTATGTAAAATGTGAACGACCGCACTTGTATCGTACGGCAAAGACGCGCAAGTACAGCCTTGGCTATATTTAACAAACCAGCAAACATCCAATAAGTACATAAGGCATTATGTACTCAGAATTGTTTATTAAATACTAACTGCCCTTTTGCAAATGGACACTAACGCAGTCAATAACGTTATGGTGGAAGTAAATATAAATTAAGCATCTACCAGTTGCTACTAGCTAAGTCTTTTATCTTCATGGAGAATAACTAGCAGTGATGAAACTATACCCATCGGGGCCTGTGGCAAATTCATTGGATGGGTAAAAAACAGATGTTTCCAGTAAAAACAGATAAGTTCTGATGAAAACATGTGAATGGGGCTCTGAACCTCTGAACCCCTTCCAGCTGAAGGCCCGTGGCATATTCCCGACTTGCCACCCTGTAGCTAAGCCATTAATGACTAGGTTCTACCACAATCTGCTACAGGATACGGTCTATCGGGTCTATCACTGCATTTTCCATCCAAATTATTTAGTCAATTGGCAATTTAAACTGTCAAACACCAAGCGGTCACCGGTGACCGCAACCTATTGTTCTATAATTGTGTCTACAAAACCGGTACTCGACGAGTTAAATATAAGCATGGTTAGATAACAGTAATAGCAAAAATTTATTCAAAAAAATTTTTTTTTTTATCGCGACCCACTTTGCGGTTGCATATTTCAGTTAGACAAACATATGACAATTTACTTGGGGCGACAACCTGTACTTAAAATGATGTTTAAAAAGTATTCTGTTTTTTTTAATATAGGTACATTTTTTACTTTAAAATATTCCACAAGAGTATCTAAGTTATATTTAGTATTAGTAATTGCTAAATACGAACCTAAACATTAGACTTCTTTTCATTTAACACCTTCTGTAAAAATCCTTGAGAGCCTGAACGAACGCTATTTAATAAACAAAAGAACTAGATGCAGGGTGTTGCAAAACAGCGCATATTGTAGGTAGGTAGGTACTGTGCTACAAAAGAGATAAAATAAATCACTCCGTGAGAATGACCTCGTGGGACTTACTGTTGTACGAAATCTTTGGAACGTTTATGTGAATTTGTTGACAAAGCTTTCATACTTGACGCAGAATAAAAAATATAGATAAATCAAGTAAACCTTTAGCTAAGAAACCGTTGTTTATCATAACAACTTAGGAGTACAGCAATCAATGCCAAATGAAATCATATATATATAATGCATCTGTAGCTTATGTAGTCTAGTCATCGTTTATTAACTCTAAAGTTAAAGCAGTCGGCCTATCTTTGGGGATTTTCCTGATCATGAGATATACAATAAGATATCCAGTTGAAACATTAGTATTTGCCATGGTTTTTCCCATTGCGAAACTAAATATTAGTACCATGGCGCAATGGAGTCTAGAATTATACGCAGAATTTAACAATGGACTGATAACATTCTGAGTGTGCTTTGACAATGGTTGTAAAAAGTACAGCAGGACGCAAAAACATACCCTAAATTACTAAATTATGGACATTATTAAAATCACACTAATATTATAAATGTAAAAGTTTCTTTATTTGGATGTTTGTCCGTTAATCACGCTGAAACTACTGAACGGATTTTGATGAAGTTTGGTATACAGGCAGGGTATCGGCTGAGTTAGGGGATAGGCTATTGTCTTCCCGATTAAATGCTCCCATGGGATAAAACAGGAATCCGTAAATAAAGCTCAAATTTGGAAAACTGCACATATATAGGACTGTAATAGTGAGTTGGAAGAAATTAATTAGAAGTAACTGACAAGGCCACATTCGTGTGATATTTCACAAAGTACCATGGGTACCTTGAGTGGTTTGATGTCTTGCTTGTGCAATTAAAGTTCTTAGTTTCGGTTGTTATAACTATTTTATTTTACCTTGATTACGGTATTAAGAAAATGTATTTGCGGATAAATTAATTTTCTGTGTGGAAATCTGGCAGTAAAGAATCTGATAATTAAAAGGTACAATTAAAGTACTGATCATGCAAAAACTACATTAAACTCACACGTTTTAATAATGTCTGAATTATTTGATAAATAATCGCCGGTTAAAACCTACGATAAAATTCTAGAGAGCTAAGTTAGTCTATTACTACCTACTCTGAACTCTCCATCCTCATTTTCACATGCCACGACTCTTATAACTCATTTTAAATTAAAAACACCCTGTATTAAATAAATAGATTTAGATATCATGTTTTACAGGAGACTATGTCCAACCCAGTTAAACCATATCTTGAATCCCCATTTCTGTTGACTATAATACTGATTATAAATATCTTTCCCTGTCTAACACTAAGTATAAATTTTCCAGATGGGGTAACCCGTTTATCTACCCGGTGGTGGACTGGTCGAAGCCTGAGCAGACGATGGTGGTGATCACACTGACAGCATTGTTCCTGGCGCTGATGCACGTGCTGACTGTTGGTATAGCGACCGTGAGAGATGCGATCGCCAAGAGACGCGACTCGTTAACCACAGGAGTCTACAACGATGCATTCACACCTTGACAAGCAATTGCGGATCAAAAATGCGAGAAACCCGTAGCAAGGTTCATTGAGGTACCGAAATTAGATTAAAGCTGGCCTGAGTTTTGTTATACAGCGCCCTATTATGGTTGGGTCTTCTTTTACTGGGGGCCCAAGTTCGCTGGTGCCGGCCGTCCTAAACAATTGATATTCTTGCTACGTGGTTCATCCGACACTATTGACTAGTGTTGACAAAATGTGTGTATCAGTTCTATTCACTAGAACTGATCCTTCTAGTAACGGCCATGAAATGATGACACCTACCAAGGATAGGCTGCGACTCCCCTTGGTAAGGGAGTGATTGTGAATAAACTGTTCTGGGTTCAGGTGTATAGTGTACACAAATGTGATATTATTTAACGAAATCTAACCTTATGGTGCCTACCGACACAAGTCTGTCAACCTACTCGAAAGCGTATTTGTTGAATAGATCTTCAACTGTAAACCTTTTGTAACTAAATCGAAAATCGTTTGTAAAAAATTGTAGTAGGTTGATATGCTGACGTCTATACTATTCAAGCAACCGATGTACTTTAGAAGCGCTAAACATTTTTTGTAAACGAAAGTTATTTGTGAATATTTAACTTAGCAAAAGATGATGTTTGTATGATCTTATACCTCTACTTTTATTAATAGTAAAATACATACCATTATTTTACTTTAATATCGCAAAAGCGCACTGTGATTTTAGTTTTTAAGGTGTTGTAAGTACCTAGCTGTATTTTCTTTTATAGAAAGGGTTTGTACATAAGTAAGCACAGGGATTGAATCTCTTTACAATGTGTTATGAAATGTATTCGTAAATAAACGTTTCTGTGTATTTGGTATCTTTTTCAATCAATGAGTGCACCTGCAAAGTAAATAATATCTGTTTCTGTCTGTGTGTGTATCGTCATCGTCACATATTTTAGAGATAAGTTGTCTGGTTATTCGTTCATTTCGCAGATAACCCTGATTTTTGCTATCTAGAAATGCTATAAAAATTAATGTCCTTGTCAAGTACATAGTTCATGCGTATCTACAGCTAGTATTATAAAAAAATATGATCTACAGTTGTGCTATTGACAAGGGAATACTCCGCGACAATGACGAACGGCGAAGGAAATCCAAGAGCGTGTTCCATTCATTATTTTCCGACACTTGTTAACTAAGTAAGGTTTTTTTAATGGAATCAAGTCATTGTTCTATTGTTATCTACTAAAATGTATGGATCATCGTCCATCGAAGGCACACAATCACGAAGTACTTATCAGAGATAACGAAGTCAGCCGGCAGTCGACAGCCGTCACGCTCGCTCGCAATACACTCGACAAAATAAAATAATAAACACTCGAAATGGAGAAAACTAAAAAATATTTAAAAAAGGAGTTCCAACCACAAATGTTTAATATGACTCATGAGGACCTAAGTGACTTTTACCTTAGCGCGTTTCAGAAAGATGTGGCTATTTGGCCACTATTTCTGTTTAGACTAGTGTTATTTTGTGGTGCTTTGGCTACAGTGATAGCTTCAATGATCATCATGTCCCAGGACATGGAAATCAAACATTGGTTTATTTTCATGACACATTGGGGACTCCTTTTTAATGCATTGGCCACTGGACTGGCGTGCGCTGTGTCTGGTGTAAAACTTTTCACTGGATTGGGTAAGTTCCTTTTACTGTTTCCTAATAAACCTGATACAGTAATCAACATGTCGATCTACTCCTTTATTAGATGTATTCCTATAACACATTTTCAACCTTATTGTTTTGAAGTAAAGTCTAAAATCCATGCAAATTAATTACAGATTGAAACAGATTGACCTGCTAACCACTATGAATAAGCCATTTAGATAATTTCAATATTGGATCAAGTCATACAAGATTTGTAATTAGATTTATAGTTAAACAAATAAAAAGTAGCAACCTCCCTAACTTTAAACGTATTTTTCCTATTTCGTAACCAGTGTTTGGTGAGATAATCCATCCATACAATGATAATGTATTAAACTAGAATACTAAGGAAGTATTGAAATAAATATAAAAACAGGATTATCTTAAATTATTTCGTATATGAATCATATCTGTGTAAATAAATATCAAGCTATATCGTTTATCCATAGTGTTCCGGGGCTTAGTAATCAGATAGCAGCTGTGTAGTCATTTGGACAACACTTTAATAGAACTATTTATTGTAATATAGTTACCAGTATTAATAGATGGACAATATTTGCCAAAAAATATTTTCATTTTTAAACACATTAGTTAAACGCCGTGGGGGTCACCGGTGACGGGTGACTGGAGTTGATGGCAAATCCTCCGCTAGCGTACGGACGTTAGCAGTTAACATTAACCCGTAGGTAAAACGGGGTGAATAGAATTCGAGGGGTGAATAGATATAGAAGAGGGGTGAATAAATGTTGGGAAAATACTCTAACATTTATTCACCCCATTCCTGTATCTATTCACCCCGGGAACGTAGATTTACGAGAGACACGAGAATGTATTTTCTATTGTGTCTCATATACCGGCATTCAAGAGGTTAACACTTTTCTATTGGCAGTCAAAACCCTAAACGCTATTTACCTCTATTTATAAGTTAGGAAAAATTGTACGTACGTACGTGACCAACCATTTCGGGGAAAACCATCCAAAAGTATGTTATTATAAATGTGTATATATACAATACACACATATACATTACACACATATACATTACACATGTATTATTTGCACTTCGATAATTTATATAATTAGTGCGATAATAATTTGGTTAATCATTATGAATCATATAATGAACTTTAGTCTTTAAGTAGTAGATAAGGCAGTGGGACGTGATGATTGATTATAACAAAGTCCTAGAATGATACCAACGTGTTTCTTCTCTAATACTTATATTCTTGGTAACCCCTTTCTTACTCTAATGATCAATTGTGTTTATTACCAGCCATGAATACGCATTGTGACATTTTTTTTGACCGAGTAAATTATCCAATGACTTCACCCCCGCCTGGGTGAGGCGAGAGGGAGTGTCAGACACCTACTGACTTAAACCATCCTGTTTCTACTCCTGCTTTCAAAACGGACCTCGGCAACCCACCTTTCACACCTACATGTTAGTAGCACCTGAAGAAAGGACAAGAATGTGTTTATTACTCGCAGTACAATGTAATTTGAATAGGTCTACGGAAAATACTATATTTTATTTCATAACTTGTGCTTGTATCTAATGAACTATAGTTTCAATTGTGAAGACAAATACAAAACTGGTTCTGCGTAAAACAATGTGTTTAAGTTCACAGCGTTGTAGAGAAGTTCTATCTATATGTAAAGTAAAGATCTATACATATGTATAGACCAGCCATGGACTATGAGAGGTTATTGATGATGTAAATGAATCATAATGTAAGAAATTGAACAAAAATCAATACTCCAATATCTAATCAATACACCTGACCCATGTTACCTACCTACATATTATCATGAACAATTATATTACCTGAATTTCATGAATCAACGGGAAATCGCAAATACAATTTCGGTGTAAATAAGGCTGTTGTTCTATGAACTTTAATAACTTATATCAATACGCACCAATATAGATAAAGCTGAAGAGTTTGTTTGGTCGTGCTAATATCTGAAACTAGTGGATTTGGATTCATTGTGCACTTGATTTTTGATAGCATAGTTGTTGAGGATGGGTATGATATCAGTAAAAATGTGCTGCACAAATACATTGACCTAGCAACGGCGAGTTTAAATCAAATCAAATCAAATCGTCTTTATTGTGGACTATAGGTATGCATATGCAAGTACAGCTATGTCCCGCCGTTGAGGCATACAATAATAATATACAAAACAGAATTTAAATACAATTAGTCATAATGTTTAGTCTCAATACAATTTTAAAATACTTCAAATACATACAAATTCAATATAAAGTCATAAAAGGTAAAATATATTATAATTCATTATTAAAAAATTTCAAATCACATTCTTACATAAATATTAAAAAGTGGAAAGACAAGCAAATTAAATGTCAACTACAGTTCAATATATTATTATACACATACATATTCACTTTTCTTGTCATTGGAAGACAATATTTTTGTCACACAAGTAATCTTTAACATCAGTAATGTAATTATAATAAGATAACTAAAAACGTATTAACCCGTCGTGTGGAATACAGATCCACGCGAGTGACAATGTATTTTCTATTGTGTCCTATAAACCGGCAGTCAAGAGGTTAATGGCCGTTTTGATCAATCTTACCTTTAATAATAGTGGACATAAACTTCAAGTAAATGGAGATCATTAGCTTTATTCACAACAACAACTAGTTCATGTCTAGCTCTTTGTTAAATATTGGAAAATCTCATTCAAGCCGTAAGGTGAGCAGTGAAAGCATGAAGGGATATTCAAAATGATAGAACTATAAATAAATAAATAGATTGCTTTGCAATTGCTTACCGAGGTGATCCATCTGATATTTTGCTGCTTATCCCATAAAAAAAATATTATCTGATACGGAAAATACACCGAATCGAGATATTGCATTGTTAGTACCTACTTGCCTATAACAACCATCATACTCAGTTCCTATGTGTCATAGCGTGAATTTAAATACGCAGTGCCTATGCTAAGACCTATAAAATACATTACGTGATTAACTCATTATCCAAATCTGCTTTACAGTTTTGGTGATCATCCCGTTCAAGCAGACAAACAGTCTTTTGCTTCATTAGACTTATTAGCAGAGATAACTTTATCAATACGTATGTGGCACATGCCCGTGAATTGTAATAAATTACATGCTTTAAGTACCTAAACGATAAAAATCGATAACTCAATAATGAGTTACTATGTATCGGTCACATAGAGACGGGATGACATACAGATTTTGAATCCTATACGACTATGTGCTTATTGAGCCGCGGAGGACTTAACGGGCTACCGGGGTTACGGCTCGAAGGGCAGGAGTAGGAACGGGGTGGTTTTTAGTCTGTAAGAGTCTGACACTCGCTCCCGCCTCACCCAGGCGGGAACAGTAATTGGATGATTTACCCCCTTAAAAAAAATACCCTGCTTATTACTTTAGGAAGTTCTTAAAAAATGACAATTCTACGGCAACTTCTAGCAAATAGAATGAATGACATCAAATTGATGGTTTGCCAACAGTCCCTTTACTGGAGATCCTTTTACTATTCCTTAATTCTCAATAAAGAATACATACGCCAAGATTTAACTTAGTTTGACCAGCCGTTTTGGCTGCACATTGTGAGTCAACGATGAGAGCGTCTGTTAAGGGTCCTAGAGACTATCACTAAGCAAAAACGCTAGCACAAGCTAGCTGCGGTGAAGCCGGTGGTATACGAAGCCACCAGTTTTGCAACACAAACTAACTGTTTGGCATGAAAATTTATAGCGGTGGCAAATCATGCAATTGCAATGTGTATTTTATAAAAGAGTTAATTACATTCCTCTATATCCTTAATGCACACGATACATTTAAAAATACATCATATGAGTTAATCTCGAATAATATCATTAAAATAATAATCTTTAAACGCAAACGAATTATTTCTTGATAAAAATCCAACATAACCAGAAATAAGCTTATTATCTAAATTATCGATTGAAAAGATAAATGAAATGACTCATGGAGATTCGTATATTCTCATAGTATTCAATTTCCTTAAAGTATGACGAACTCTAGTAGAAAATGTAATTTACTTATAATTATTATGACCTATTTAATGTACAGGTCGTAGATCTGCTACGCGCTACGCTTGCTCGTAGCAAAGGTGCTACGATTTTCAAACGAGACCCTTTTATTTGCATTTATACTGGTAAATATAGTGTAAATTGAACAAATAAAAATGCACAGGTTTTTTCCTCTATGGATACAGATTCGTTTATATCATACTCAGAGTTGTATATGTGTCTCGGTGGTTAAGTACATTGACTCGCTTAATGTCCAACTCGATAAAAATAAAATTAATGTAGATTTTTTGAAAAAAAATATCAGATTTTCAGCTAAATAGTATAGAGTCTGGAATATATTATCCGATATGAACACTTGAGATCTCCCCAAGGTGTTTGTAATGTATTTTTTAATGTTTACATACTCAGACACTCCTTAAAAAATACGTGAATTCATCCGTAATCCGTACAAAATGCACACTAGCACAGACTTTTGTACATAATAATATACATATCTAAAGAGTCCCATTTTCTTCTTTCAGACTCAAGCATAAGTACACTTGTGAAGGTGTACTGGGTGTCCTTCAACTCCACCATCACCATAGCATTCTTCATCACGGCGTTCTACTGGACACTGCTCAGCGATGATGGTAATTGCTATTTTATTTATGACTAGCGACCCGCCCCGGCTTCGCACGGGTGCAATATGCATGTATTATACACACAAACCTTCCTTAAGAATCACTTTATCTATTAAAAAAAACCGCATCAAAATCCGTTGCGTAGTTTTAAAGATCTAAGCATACATACGGACATACAGCGAAAGCGACTTTGTTTTATACTATGTATTGATTATGACATATCAACTATTAACACAAAAGTTTTAATAGAACAGACTTATAAGGCGATTTTTCAATCGTCAATTAATTCTTAACTGTAGAAAAAAATTACAGTTGAGAGGTTTTAGTATGGAAGCATTATCAAATTTAACTGAGCACTGAAAAATCGGCCATTAGTTATAAGGCGATTTTTCTAACGCCAGATAAATTTTAACTGAGGAATAATTTTACAATTGACAATTCTTCCATACTAAAACTGTCACAGGTTAATTTTTTCTACAATTAAAAATCAACTGATTATACATAATATGTTACCGGTAATCTGTGTGATGTTTGATTCGATATTCAAATAAAATCTATACTCGGAATTTTAAGTGGAATTTTAATTCGATTCCAGATTTGACAATTTCAGTGTTGCAACGTTATGACAAGTACTAAATAGTGACGTTGCGAAATTATTCGATATGGAAATGCAAAATTTCTGGATCGATTCTTCTCGTTTATAATTTTACTCTCGTAAACTAAGTATATCAGGAAATTAAATATTTCTGAACCGATAATTTAGTTTTAACGATTAATAAACGATCTGAGACTTTTCTTTTATAAGTGTGTGTGAAATAAATAAAAAAATTAATCATGAAGGAACATGACAAATAAAACAGATATATGTATTATGGTAATAAGTTATTTTATAAATTGTCGCCGTCATCGCTATCGCTATCCTGTCAGTTGCTGTAACATTTATTATAAAACACACACACTGATTGTTTACCGATAGCATGGAGTCTCGGGTTCGATTCCCGGATCGGGCAAAGTATTATTGGGTTTTAAAAAATTCTCAGTAGTAGCACGGAGTCTGGAAATATGCCCGATATATGGTAATAGGCTCACCCCCTATTACATGGGACTCATAACATAAATAGTGAAAAGTGGGTGTTACATTACAGTGTCATAATGTACACCTCTGCCTACTCCTTCGCGGATAAAAGGCGTGATGTTAGGTTATGTTAAAATCACATTTCTTGTTTGTTTAAAGAAATATTTAGTTCTTTTACAAAATACAAAAGTATAATGATCTGTAAAAAAAATCAACTATATTACTGTCGCGGTTCACGACATGGCTAGTGACAGGGAATCAGACAGATGTATAGAACCCATGAATATAATATTAAAGCATGTTGCCTTGATAAAATCGTAATTATAATTATTATATTGAGAGTGCGTATGAAGAAATAGTTGAGAGCATTTGAGCAACCCAATTTAATGCTCAAGCGGTTTAATATATTAAGTATTGTGCAATTATCATGGTGTAGTGTTGTATTCATTAATGAAAACGTTTATAAACTAACTACATATCAACCCGTGGCTTTACCTACATGGAATTAACTTTATAGACTAGGAATATTGGAATAAAAACTTGTTACTCTTTGAAAAGTAACCTTTATAATAGTTATAGAAATTTTTGAATCGCCTCAGTAGTTTCGGAATCTATTCAATGCAACAAAAATACTAAGGTAGTGTCCACGACTCGATAAGCGAACGATATTAATTTTCACTGAAATTATCACATAGCTTCACTAGTGGTGCTTCAGACTCAGACTATCATCTATTCTTGATCTTACATGTCTAGAGGTTTAAACCCACAGATTTAATTTGACATTTCAGAATAATTTACTTACAAACATACAACATCTGAACTTTTGCATTTGTAAAATTAGTATAGTTAAATATTGCGTTAGGTAAGGTCTGGTCATGTTTTTTGCAAAGGTCACATCACACCAACCACAAACAGAAACTTGAATTAGTAGGTTACAAGAAAAAACTGTCTGTATCAGTTGTACGACTAGAAAAAAATAACTACCTATACTTGCCTAAGTACATACAATTTATTTCCATCGACATAATACATTAGTGATGTAGTTAGTTGCTAGACTGCCTCATTGGCCGAGGGGTCGCAAGTACGACTTAAAAAAATCTCAGTAGTAGCACGGGGTAATGGAATTGTACCCGGTATATAGCAATAGGCTCACCCCCTATAACATGGGATTCATAACATAAAAAAACCAACTTCAAAAAACCAAAAACTAATAACAAACAAAAAGTAAAAACTAAAAAGCAAAAAATAACTATTATTAGTACTGATAGGTAAGAAGTCAGGCGCCATAAGTTCTATACAAAATTATTCATTAAAACCTTAATATGTAGATACCTAATTTACAATTTTGTGGCCATTAAGTTAAATCATTATGATATGAGCTTATGGCACTAACATACGCTCATTTTCGATCGATCGCCAATGCGACTGCAGTGCAACAGCACAGAGGTCTCGGGTTTGATTCCCGGGTCGAATGAATAATTGTGCGTAGCAATAGCAATAGGTTCACTCCCTATTACATTATAAAGAAACTCTAGTAATTAAAAAGGTGTGACATTGTATACGTATTGTATACTTTTGCCTACCCTATCGAGAATTAAAATTATTTTTATGAGCGGGATAAAATCATCCAATGTCTCCTTCTGCCTAGAGTGAGGCGAGAGGGAGTATCAGACTCTTACTGACTAAAAACCACCCCATATCTACTCCTGCTTCAAGCCCGCCTTTTCACTCATTCATACTAATGTATGAATGTGTTAATAATATCTAAAATATTCGTGTTACAGATTTACTAGCAGATTACGCATTCGATCCCGTTCTGGACATATTCGTACACGGCATCAACTCAGTGGTGATGTTCTGTCTGCTCGTGACCTCCCGACAACCCACCAGGATCCTCCACTTCTACGTACCACTAGCCCTCGGCATTGTGTACATGGTGTTCAGTCTTCTATACTACTTCCTTGGTGGATTAAGTCCGTAAGTACAATTTTTTCGCTCCTCACACGTTACAACTGTTTTAGATTATCTATGGAAAGGACGGTAAACGAGGTGACCTTAAAACTCATTGAATTGTTCTGTTATCTATTTACAGCTTTGGCACAGTGTGGATCTACCCAATGCTGGACTGGTCGGACCCTGGCTCCACAATAGTTCTGGTGATAATCTCAGCGCTACTGATGATCGTGCTCCACTTCGTCGTGGTCTCCATGACCCTCATCAGGGATGCCGTTACCAAGTCATGCAAACAGTCCACAGTTCTTCCCATTTGTGAAGAAGACAATGGAATATCCAGAAACCTTTACTCGTAGAATAATAGACCGACAACAGACTGAACGTGGACCACACTTCGCTATAGTGAAGTCTAGCGATGTTGTGACCCACTCCCTCTCTTACTTATAAAATAGCTTTAACATTTTACGTTTAATGATAATTTACTTTAAGTACATTATCGAAATAAATTATTTATGTTATAAATGTGTTACGTTCATTTACTCTATGCCTATAGGAAGGAAACATACAATTCTGATAAAAAGTCCTTTATCAGCTACCGGCTGAAGTTTTCGCTTCTAATTAATGTTTCTCAATTTTTACCGCACTTTATGAGTCGTGCGTTCGCAAAGAGCAGTTCACGCCCAAATCAGTGACAGTACTTACCTAGGTAGACGCGATAACTTTATATTTTGGCAGCTCGTTTAGATAATATAGTGAGTGATAAACGCCTACAAGGTATTGATTATCAGTTCCGTGTTATCGGCAGAGTTGGGCGCGCTGCTTTACTATCTGACATAACATACAGAGATGAGTGCCGTAAAGTCATATTTCGTACAAGAATGGAAGGCGAGTATGCTCACGTTGGAGCATCCGAAACCATCTGACTTCTATACAAGTTGTTGGCAAACGACGCGGTCGTCCGTACCATTTTTGTTTTGGCGCGCGATTCTCTTCCTCACCTCTCTAGGAATAGTGTTAACCTCTATGATAATTTACATACAGAACGGAAGTTTTGGATACTGGTTTATTTATCTAACTCACTGGGGATTGACAAGCATCCTCTTCGCTACTGGATTCGCTACTGCAGTGTCAGTACGCTGTTACCTTTACGGACCAATCAGTAAGTACCTAGACATTATAAATTAATATTTTGAGTAAAAATTGATACAATTTAATGTTTTATGACTTACTTCATTACCTATGTTACAAAATTTAACAGTCAAGGACAAATTCCATTTATGTCCCGTGTCGATATCTAATCAATAGCAAATTATTATTACATATTATGATATTAACATGCTTGACCTTGTTGCATTGAGGAAGTGGTCCGTTAATGAATTTATTTTAACGCCTGTGCAAATACAGACTTTAAATATTTACCTACGTTTTGTGTTTAATGTTCGACAGGCACCGAGTTCAAATTGCCATGGTACGTGAAGATTTATTGGACGTTGTTCAATATAGCAACTCCTCTAGCATTTTTAATAACAATATTCTACTGGACCGTACTCTACGAAGGTTGGTTATATTTTTTTAATTCAATATCTACCTAATTAGTTTAATTCTAAGAAACATTATCAAGAGATAACATGTTGAGTGTTGTGACCGCCTGAACAAATCCCTTTAGCAGAATGTCTCGATTTAGACTTCCTTTTAGATTAAAAAAATTATAGATACTTCTTTTTGATAGTCCTACTTTCCTGCTTACAATTTAATTACTAAAGTACCTATGCACCAATAACAATTACAGGTATATACCTATAATTATGTACATAGGTAATATAATAAATAGTGTCTATGTAGACACTATTATCATAAGCAATAAAAAGATGGAACGCTGGAACTACATGGAAACAATTCCACAGAAAATATAGTTAAAGAAGTTAATATTAAATTCAATAAGACTCTTAACTAATGAAGGTGTTATATGTCTATTACACCTTTTTTTATTGCCGGGAAAAAACCTTCTAAGGGTGCCTTTTTCTCCAAAAAAATGTCTTTTTCCCCAAAAAACTAGGCATAGTTTTTTGGGGAAAAGACATTTTTTACACCTGGTGAGCCAAACGAAAGAAAAAGAGAAAAAACATTTATTCAAACCCACGATGCTTATTAATTACAAACATTATAATACGACCTACTTTTAATTCTTCAGCGGGAATCGAAGAGGAGTTGAACCATGGTCTAGACGTGGCAGTTCATGGACTGAACTCGCTAGTGATGTTCCTGCTCCTCTGCAGCAGTGCCCACCCTGGCCGGTTGCTGCACATCTACCAGCCTCTTGTTTTCGCTACCATATACATGCTGTTCAGCGTCATCTACCACGCCGCTGGTGGTACCGACCAGTAAGTTATCATATAGGTATAACATTTTACACCACATTATCATCATACCGTCACGCATCCATCAGATTTACCCCAGTGACTTACAGAGGCCTTAGTACGAGTTTGATTTACGTTTAAAGTATTCACGATTAAACGAGACCGCGTTCGGCACTCTGATTGGTCGACTCCTATGAACCAACCAATCAGAGCGTCGAACGCATACTCGTTTCGATTACTTTGAACGTAACACATACTCGTACTAAGGCCTGGGCAACCAGCTGCTGCATAATGTGGTGCGAGTTCGGCTACCGTACGGAACTACTCTTTATGTGAGTCACGAGTGGTTGTCCTGGCTCCAGGTATAAAATTAAAGTTAGTTAAAATGGGTACTCGTACTTTATTTAAAAGGTAATGTTCACTCACAATATTCACTATGACTGCCTCATTGGCCGAGTGGTCGCAAGTGCGACTGCCGGGCAAGGGGTCTCGGGTTCGATGCCCAGGTCGGGAAAAATATTACTGGATTTTTAAAAAAATTCACAGTAGCAGCACGGAGTCTGAAATTATGCCCGGTATATGGCAATAGGCTCACCCCCCATTTACATGGGACTCATAACATAAATAGTGAAAAGTGGGTGTTACATTGTACAGTGGCATAATGTACACCTCTGCCTACCCCTTCAGGAATAAAAAAGGCGTGATGTTATGTTATGTTATTCACTCAACTATGAAATTATGGGCATCACATAGGCATATAGAGGTACATTGATATATCAAACGTTTCTTTAATTTGTACAAGTGATAGTGATAGTTGATTGAAAGGCTTTGAGGAAAATATAAGAGTATCTCAGACCTTCTTATGTCATAAGTTAAAACCTGAGTTCCTAAGAATAGCATGATTCAACAAATGAGATGGTGGCCTTAAGTAGTAGAAACCGGTTCTTAGATGGTCTAGGTCCAAAGAACACGTGTTGATTAATAATATAATTAATGCAAATATATCGAACAAAGGAACAGATTACTGTAATAATAACTGTCAACTATTATTGTAATTATTATCTATGTAATGTACTTACTTAAGTAAACACTTCCGATATAATAATATTATGAAGTAGAGACGGTCTGTCGGTGTGTCAATAATGGCAAAATAATCGTGTTTGTTTAGTTCAAATACGTATTTGTCTTAAGTATTCAAAATATGATAAAGAAATCTTTTTTTTTTTTTTTTTTAAATTGAAGTCTAAAAAGAAAAAATTACAAAGTTCCATAGTTACTGTTTCTGTGAAGTTCTTTATGTTTTAAAGTACACACATACAGTCGGTTAGTCTAGATTTATTTAGTTAGGAGGAGAAAGAGGAATCAGGAAATAAATTAACCTTACATACTGCCTCGCTGGCCGAGTGGTCGCAAGTGCGACGGCCGGGCAAACCGGCCTGGTATCGGGTTCGATCCCCGGGTCGGGCAAAGTACTAATGAGTTTTTTAAATAATTCTCAGTAGTAGCACGGAGTCAGGAATTGTCTGGTATATGGCAATAGGCTCACCCCCTATTACATGGGACTCGTAACATAAATAGTGTAAAGTGGGCGTTACATTGTACAGCTCTCCCTACCTATAATATAATAAATGGGAAAGTTTGTATGTTTGTTTTTTATGCCTTCACGTCAAAACGGCTGTAGAGATCGGGTGGATCGGATGTAATTTGGAACAGGAGAAAGTTATGGTCTGGAATAATAGACAGGCCACCGGACATGGAATAAATCCGACGGAAAAAGCTAGTATAAGTATAGGTTAAATTACTTTCTTCTATGTTGACAATAACAAGTGAGCCTGTCATCATTCCATTAATCGCATTATTTTCAAACAAAAGCATTTTATTAGCTTTCCCATACATACATTACCTCACTATATTGATAATTTCTGTAAGTATAACACGTAACAACTATTCATCGATGTATAATATTTAAACTATCACGGTTCCTGATACTTTATTATGAACTTATATGAAAACTACATTGTGCTTGACGGTTGATCATCTTGTTGTTTAAATAAAATAATCATCAAGAACCCACCATTCCATAACAGTCAGAGTACTCAGTACATCGCTGTTTAGTCAAATTAAAAATATTATTTCTTATGGCATGGGTGGCCAACCAGTCGATCGCGATTATAATTCCAGGCGATCGTGGCAATTAAAAAAAATTAAATACGTACATAGAACACATTGCACAATGATATTACCATCGGCAATAATATTACCAAGAATAATTTGTAGTTTTATATTTTCCCTCATAATTAAATAAAAGTACTAAATAATTGTGTACGAATTATGCTGTTTCATTTCAGATTTTAAGCAATAATGTAATTGGTAGATCGTACTAGGTGTCGTCAGGGAAAAATCGATCTGGGGTCTAAACAAGTTGGCCATCCCTGTCTTATGGGATAAGCCGGCAAGCGAGCAGACGGATCACCTGATGGCAAGCAATCGGCGCCGCCCATGGACACCTGGAATACCAGAGGCGTTAAAAGTGCATTACCGGCCCTACGGGGTTTACGAAATTGAGGAGGGGATTCAGGGATTGGGGAGATTGCGGAGGGGGGAATAATTGGCCCTCCGGTAACCTCACTGTCACGACGAAAGACAACACAAGCGTTGTTTCTCGTCGGTTTTTTTTATGAAGCTGTGGTATCATCCGGTCGAGCTGGCCCATTCGTGCCGAAGCATAGTTCTCCCACACTTGTCTAGTAAAACATACAAGCATGTCGATAAAGAGTAGGTACCCTCTTATATTTGGCGGAGGACCTACTTCACACTAATATGATAGACGGCCAATACTCGAAATATAGTATAAGTGGATACTTATATTTGGCGGAATACCTACTTTACACTAATTACATACATAGATGGTCGGGTCAAATATGAACTTACTTCTTTCCTTGTCTTCCAATATCTGTCTTCTACCAAAGAGCAAAAAGAAGATAGGCATGAGGTGGTTTTTTTTTAAGATGGGAAATCCTTCGAATGACTTCTCCCGCCTAGGTGAGGCGGAAGGGAGTGTCAGACTCTTACTGACTAAAAACCACCCCGTTCCTTCTCCTGCACGTCGAGCCGGAGCCCCGATAACCCATTAGGTCCTCCGCGACAGGCATGAGGACTTAGAGTGTTACCATATTTACTGTGCCTTCCATAGCACTGTTTTCATCCATCCCTTCAACATTACAGCAGAAATTTTACATTTCTAAGCCGGTTTTCTGATCTGAGTAATTACAAGAAAGGTTTTATCAGTAAAATACACTACATCTGCTGAAGAGAAACGTACCACATTACTAAAAGGTACATATGGTAGCATATTATGGGGCAGCCCTTACTACAGATTAACGAATTATAAAAAAGGAGAAAAATACAGTCAAAAGATAGTTTGCCTTGATAACATGTTTGTGTTTTTGATACCAGGAAATCTTATTGCCTTATTTATGACGTCAACAATGAAGCCACCTCCACCTGTATACTTTAGTACCTACTTACAAACAAACGACTTATTGGAATTGACATTCTACGTGGGAGGCCTCTTGCAATTCCTCATATTTTTAGTAAAGAAGGAAGTTCAATAAAATGATTAGTGAATTCAGGTACAAATACTGCTGTAAAATTATCGTTAAATCAAAGAGATTGTATACTAATCTACACCTATTTCATTCGAGGTAGAAGTGATATAAACTTTGTACATAATATGTAAATGATAATATCATTTACCTATTTATGAGTCTCGGTTGAAAAACTATCATTTATCAGACGTGTATATAGCATACCTACCAGTTTACAGTAAAGACGTCTAAATAACATGTCAATTTGCGGCGAATACGGTAATTTATCGTCTTAATGTTTGTGACAGTATACTTATGTTCATGTAGAGTGTACTTATGTTCTTCCTTAAATGATTTCATAGCTCATTTAAAAAGATTAAGTAGGATTCGGAGTTAGCAGCGTAAGAATACATTTAATATTTATGTATTTTTTTATTATTTTCTAATTAACGAAGAAAAAATTCTGCTCTGGTCCCAATCTACTTAGGGTTAGCGGTTAGAAATGCTTCTTATTGTTCCATTCCCCTATCAGACGTCGTCCAAATCACAAACTTTTTTCTTTCCAATATCCTTCTTTTCACACAATAATTTATTCATTGTTTATTTGGTCATCCTCGTTGTTTTCCATCCTTCCACAATCAACCACTTCGGCATATTTTTCTCTTCTTATTATTACATGTCAATATTGTGCCTATTCTTCACTATTGTACTTATGAGCATTATTATTGGAAAACGTACTACGAGCTACGGTGGGAACTAATAAAGTTATATAAACATTTCCCTTGTAGTTCCCTACAAGCTATGTGTCTTGTTTTCTTTGTTAGGATTCTTTAAATGTTTTATTTTTCTACCTCTAAATAAAACGTAACGATAATAATGTTACTAATATCTTCTGTAGGTAAAGTAACATTAGTTGGTTGGTTTAAGTCGGTGGTCCGTCATGGACCCTTAGTCAAGTATTTCATACCTTGTCATAATGGGGATGATGACAGGGTATGAAAATTAAAAATCTAATTAGTCCGTAAGGTAGGTAATTAAAAAATATTAGACACGTATTTTTTTTATTTTGTCATATAATAAAACAATACTTAGATAAAACGAATCAAAGTTTAGGAGTGGGGGCTAAAACGTCATTTCTTAGTATAAAATGTACTGAGAAGTGACGTCACGCGACATTTCAAACCAATATATCTTCGAAACTATTCGTTTCCGTAAGAAAATAAAAAATACGTGTCCAATGTTTTTAAATAATCTACCAGACGGATATTAAAATAAAAATTAGTCGTCTACCCTATTAATACTTACAATTATACATAATAATGCTATATTATATGTACGAATCTTCAAGCAAGCATGGCCATTTGTAAACTTATCTTTTTATTTTATATTTTGCTCGTGCGTAATGGCCATTTAAGTAGTCACGCCAAGGACGACTTGAGTATTGCAGAAGTTTTTATATATAAACTATTGTCGGCGTCCGTGGTACTGGTGTCGTGAGGCTTAGTAACTCCTTACTAAGTTCATCGCAATTATAGTTCTTTAATTCGCGTTTGACTTAAGTCTCTGGTAAATTGTTCAATAACTTTCAGGTCCTATCCTAATACAACAACATAATAGTTAATGAACTCTAATTACATAGGTATTACGATAATTGGGTACCTATTAAAGTTCTTCATTCATAATTAATTCTTGCTAGGCTAGTCACAGTCATTAAACAACAATTTTGACTACTACTTATAATATATAATAGGTGTCGCGGAGAACCTAACGGGCTACCGGGGCTGCGGCCCGACGTGCAGGAGAAGGAACGGGATGGTTTTTAGTCAGTAAGAGTCTGACACTCCCTTCCGCCTCACCCAGGCGGGAACAGCCATTCGATGATTTTCCCCCCTTAAAAATAAATATAATAAATACTAAAGAAATCTGAATAGTCATCAAATACCTAAACGTAGCGGAAATAATTTGATTTTTGACATTTGAAATCAAACATTAATTTTGTTATATTTTCTGATTTGAAAAGGGTTTAACAAAAGTCTTCTTTATTCTTTCAGAAAAGGTAACGCCTACATCTACCCAGTGGTGAACTGGTCGGAGCCAGGAACAACGGTGCTAGTCGTATTCATCACCGGCTTATTACTGGTAGTGCTGCACCTGCTGACTCTTGGCCTGTCAGCCCTACGAGATCTGGTCGCTGCACGCTTAATAGATCGTGGAGCCCCTGCCAACCCTAACGAAGGAATGCCATTGAGACAACCGGTCTATGCGTGAAGAGTGAAAAATGTATTGACGTAAAACTCTTCCACAAAGATCGCCTTAAAAGGTGATCCTAGATAAGTGGTTAGTTTTGCCACCAAAACTAATTAAATGTCAGTCGTATGAAAAAAATTGTTGTAAGATATGTGCGAACAAAATCATATTGGTCTTCAAAAGACAATAAATTACTTAAATGTTATTAATTTAGTTCAGTAGGGTGTCGACGTATTTATTTATTCGTACAATTATATTGTAGTACTTCTGTGAAGTTTTACAAATAAGTACTTGTTGAAGAAGGAATCCTTCGGTGCTATTTTTATGGGTAGTCATTAGTAATTACATTTAGATGCATTTTTGTTGAATGTCACTTTGTTGACCTCGAAGAGTCTGTAATGTAAAGATAATTGTTATTGTATCTAACCTTAGAATAAACTGGTTTTGCGTACAATGTACAACGTACCTAATATTTCGCGTGATCGGAATTCTGTCGATCAATGTTGTTAGGTTGTTACCGTTTCAGTTTCAAACATCATAAATACAAACTTTTGATTATTAAAAATATTGATATTTAACGTTGTTTCTTTATTTCCTTTTTGCATAAAAATGAGTGTGTCCATGTATGGAAACCTGGTAACCTTCAAGACATCCTGTCTTTAAACTGGCGATGCATGATACTGAGGTTAAAATAATTACAAGTAGTTCGTTTCTCATTAGCTTACGATTGCCCTACCGCAGTAAAGCCTTGAACCTTTGGTAAATCATCCATGGAACCAAAATAAAGAATCATCTCATAATTCTTTATTCGGTTTTGAATCATGTGATGGTAAGTGGACCATGGACGCAACACTAGAATAATCAAAAATATTTATAAGGGAGTTATGTTCTTAACTGAAGGCCTTATAGACCAGTTAAGATACTACAGTAGATACCTGCGTACACCATGTTCTATCTGTAATGTGTTATGAAAATTGCAAAACTCCTAAAAGAATGAGAAGTCCGGATGTCTAGGAACCTGTACTTGCGGTAAATGGGTAACTAAGCTGTCCAAAAAGGCAAGCAGTCTGATTCATAAATCGCTGATCGACGTGATAAGTACCTAATTCATTCTTAACTTGCTTGTAAGCAACCTTGAATCGAGTACTTGATGAACACCTGCTCACCTACTCATTGCAATGTACGTGAGTTATATACTCTTTTTATCTGACTGTTTCAAAGAGTTTTTATGGTCGACATATGTCAATAACACGTCAAATTGATAGATCTGGGAGATTTTTCAATAACTTGTCGAGTTTAATGTTTATTTATTTAAGAAAATTGTGTACTTACATTTTAAAATTAAGTATATAGGTATCTGTGTAAATGTTCATTTCCAATTGTTTACTATGACTGATATTGATGATTTTCTTGGGTAAGTACTAAATTGCCTACGCCAATACGAAGAGAATATAAAGTAGAGAAAAATACTTAGAGATAATCTTCCTTCAGCATGAGTTCTTCTCTGCTTGTTCAGCAGAACGAAGAACAAAGCTTACGATTATTTGTTAATGTTAAACAACATATTCCAAAATGAATTATTGTATTCATGCAACTACAACATATAAGACACGATGAATGATCGGAAGAAAATAGTAAATATACCAACTGGCCTTCGACACTTGATTAGTAGTACCAGGAATCGAATGACCAAGTAAATAAACGAAATATTGACTCAGTCACATTCCAGAAATGACTATCGAAAATTTATATACGTGGAGTCTGTAGGCATGTGCAGTAGATATGTGCCTCTGCAATACTTCAGTCATGATAATTTATTAAATATATATTATACATTCTTAAAGAAATTGTTACTTTGTACTCCGATTCTGTGTGTTGTAACTTCTAAGAGGAGGTGATAATTATGTCCCTTAAGATACATGTTATCAATAGCACCTACTTATATTTTTATTCAGCTGGTGGTGTCCATAGACCAGCATGATCTATCTATATCTATACATATAATAAAATCGTAGGAAAGTGAAAACGGTACAGTGAATATATTTGTAAATAAAAGAATGGTTGAAACGTGATCTACGATCGATATCGAAGACAAAAATATGGTTTTTAGATTTTTTGTCTGTTTGTCTGTATGTATGTCCGGGTTAAACTCAAAAAGAACTATATGTATTGACATCAAATTTTGCATGAATATTACTAACAGGTCGGTTCAACATATAGACTACATATTATCACGCTGCAATCTACGGGGGAGGAGCTGTAAATCACTATTCCACGCGGACGAAGTCGCGAGCACAGCTAGTAAAAAGATAAATCTTCAACATAACTTTAATTGAGTAATCGATTTACCTAATTACTTAGATACCCATAATTAGAATGCAAATAACCATTCGACGTTTTGGAAGCTAAATAAGTTATTTAATAAAAAATAATGGAATGTGGTTAATTATAAAATAATGAATCTAACCGTGTAGGTACGTAACGGACATAAAAAACAACTTGCCTCAGACGTCATCACAATTAATAACTCGAAATAATATAATTTATTTTAAACGTTATTTGCTATTATTTACTGTAGGTATGTACATGTTTATTCCACGAAACTTTTTTAAGATTTTTATTAAATGTTTTAAAGCAAAGATCACTTGTATGTTTACGTCGACATCACAATTTGTAGGTAGCTTAAGGTCCTAGTTAAAAATATATCCCTGCCGATGTCGATTGAGGGATAACTTAACAGTGAGTTTAGCCAGGAATGGGCCTACTGTTTTTGATACCCATCTATCTAACATCATGAAAATTTAAATTAAGGACTTTGTTACTAGTTACCTACTATTTAAATTTTTTCCTGAAAGTGAAAAGTAAAACGAACGATTGTATTAAATTCCTGAAACACACGCAAGCAAAACGGTTACAACGTATACGTTACAATAGGTTTATTTATCATACGTACTTAAAAAAGATTGTAAATGAATCGAACAGTATAATATGAATGGAATTCCAAGTTATGATGATGATTTTAATGTTACTTTTTAATTTCTCTCATTAATGAATTGGGCAATCGTAAAGATCGATTCAAGATTCTATTCAAACGATCGAATCGCAGCGCGAGTTGTCCCAATACAACCTAGTTTGGGTTTAGAAAACAAGTAATTACATAAGTGAGGTTATAGTTTACGCAAGTTTAGTGGCGGTGTTGTAGCTGCGCCCGCGCCACCATCGTCGTAGCACCAGTCTGCATCTGTACCTGAGTCTGCGCGTCGGCTCTGCGCTCGCGCAACCGCACCAACCACGCGCACGAAACTTTTAATCCGTTATTTTAATATCTGTTTTTAAATATAAAGCTTATTTAAATAAAAACAATTTAAGGGATGTGACTTACACTAATCTTATTTGTCTATATATAATAGGTAACTCTTAAGCGTGTAGTTTACCGATAGGATAAGATTAGTAGCGAGATAACGGCCCTAAAACAACAGCTCAAACTCTTGAGACAGAGTGATACGCGATCAACAAATATCATAAGGAATTGAACTTATCTACAGTGTAAGCGGTTGTAAAACACGGTTGAAAATCAAGAAATGTATACAAAACTAAAATAATTGTTATAAAAAGTGTCTGTGTTAATAGAAGTGTTAAAAATGGTGAAAATTTATAGGAAAAGTGTTTCCCTGTCAGCCCTATGGGTGTCTTCAAACGAGAGGCTAAGCGATTTTTACGCGTCGTCATGGCAACGAGGCGAGTGCCCGATACCGATGCTGGTGTTGAGGGTGCTGTTTACTGGAGTGGCGCTGGCGATCCTCATATGGTCACTGATTGAGGCTCCAACCCCTTACTGGCTGATCTACCTCACAAACTGGGGCCTGATGCTGGTGACGAGCCTATTCATGTGCGGTATTTTAGTGTCTTCCATGGCAATGTACAACAAATCCTACGGTAAGATATTTTAACTATCTGAAATCGTTACCCGCGTCATAACAGTAGAACATAAGTAATATATTAACCTTATTTATGGATATCTGCTTCTGCCCGCGACTTCGTACGCGCAATCCCGTTTTCTCCCGTTCCCGTACGATTTTCAGGATTTTTTCTGTCATAAGAACCTTCTCCTAATAATAACAAAAATTAGTGAAACCGGTCAAGCCATTCACGCGTGATGCCGTGACCAGGAGAAAAAGGATTCATTTTTATAAATATAGATAAATTATCATGTACAACGTACACCTATCATTCATCATATACATAAATATATAAGTAGATACTCAGGTACAAAAGCACACACACACACAGCTTGATATCATGGTCACATTATAGATGCTTTTTATATTCTATTATAGAGGCTTATTTATTTATCTACTTAAGTATAAATCAGCTAGGCTCTTCTGGAACTTTCAATCTGAAAGATCGAAGTGAACTCGATCGCAGTCCGCCATGTCATTGATAGTTGCAGAATAGCCCAGCTGTAGGTCTGTTGACTTGAAAAATTGACAGACTTAAAACAATTAGGACATCGAACTCGATAAGTAGTAAAGGAACGAAATATTGAGAGGTACTAGAAGAAATTAGTTCTAAACTTTATGCAATAACAAAATTAAAGACCAAATTACTCCAAAAGTCAAAATCATTTATTTCAATTAGACCAGAAAGGTACTTTTGAACGTCATCAGACAATTAAAAGTGATTTTTTCATTCCAAGGTGTAGATTCCTATGGAGAAGAACGAGCAAGAAACTCCATAGGTTACTCTTTCTCAATCAGGTTCACAATACAATTCTCTACTTACATAGTTTTGTTGGTTCGATTGTGCGAGAACAATGTATCACTAAAATCCAGTCAAAGAGATCGAAAAAGAAAAAAACTTAAGGACAATACATTAAATACTACTAACTATCCAATACAAAAGATCAATTTATCGATTAGAATCCCCATTATTTTTCAGTAATAAAACCTTATTCTTTATAAACCTATTGCATGAAACTACTTTTAGCCCTAATAGGTACCTTAGGTATCGACATGCCATAGAGTTAGAATAGCCATTAAGGAAATTAGCTGTAACTAAAAGTTTTAAAACCTTTCTATAATTAAAACAAACAGTCAAATGGATTAAGTACTATGTTTTTCGCCTTACTCTCGTAACTGTTTAATAAAGAACTCGACTAGTTTCAAGCCAGACTAGGGACTCATGTTCTCACGTAATATGTCTCACGAAAGATGTAATATAAACAAAAATAAAATGGATCATAAATGTTTACACTAAATATATTTAGTACTTAGGTATAATACAAGTGTTTTATCTGTCACAACATAGTAAATACTTCAAGTTGTAAGATTACTATTAACGACAGTAACCAGTATCTAACTAATAAATTAAACCGACATTGTTATTGACAATAACAATAACAATGTTGGTTTGTTTATGTCATTATGTTATTGCTTTTATTTAAAACTAGCTTCAGCCAAAGGCTTCGTTTGTGTTCCCGTGGGATAGATAGTATCCTATGTGTTATTGCAGACCATAATCTACCCCCGTTCCAAATTCAAATTCATCCGGATCCGTTCAGTCGTTTTGTTGTAAATGAGTAACATACAAACCTTCGAATTTATAATATTAGTAGGACTATTTGGCAGTAAGATGTTAAACACATATTTCTTCGACTTTATGCCGTTTACCGAAGGCATAAAATAAATTCAATATATTCATTCAAATTGTTCATATAAAACAGTAAATTGAACTTCCCAAGTTCACATCTTATTACTTTAAAAACCTTCAATTATTAGATAAAGGAACACGTTAACAATGTTCTACAAACCTAGTAAGCCCTTTTATAGCCGCTTGCTCAATAACACGATACATATTTTGACGGCCAACAGGTATGTACTAATTACAATCAAATAGATAGAAAAACATCCTTGTTCCTTAGTTAATTACTAGTGCCTAAGTTGTTAAGTCCTATATACACAAAGCCAATTGTTTGTTTTACAAGTGAACATCTGTATTAAATCATAATATTATTCATTCATAAAATACGGTAGTTCCCTAAATTTGATTTTAATGTCCGTCTGGTAGATTATTTTAAATATTAGACACTTATTTTTTCTTTTCTCACAAATTTCAATACTTTCAACGATATATTCATTTGAAATATCATGTGACGTCACAGCGTGGTACATTTTACAGCACGTTGTTACGTAACGACCTCCCACTTCTAAACTTCATCATTTTATCTAAATATTGTAGCTTTATACAAGAATATAAAAAAATGTGTGTTTAATATTTTTTCATTATCTAAATGACGGACTAATTAGATTTTTAATTTTCTTACCCTGGCTACAAACCAATTGCAATCACCCGATAATAAATCTGTGATAAAACCTGTTAGATCACATAATAAATGATTTCCAAAAATCTATTAGTTGTAGGTAATGGCACCTATTTTATCGTCTCACTTTTGCTCTCGTTTATTTTGGACAAAACCTGTCAACACGTCATTAAAACCGGTGGCGATTGAATCAGCTGATGAAATTACATTAGCCAACAACACTTTCTAGGCGTCTCCGTCATGTGCTGTAGTTTATTTGTGTCGCGGTAACCTTTTCTTGAGATCCGCGTCCATACAATAGAAAAAAGGCAAAGACGGCATATAGGTACCTAATTCTTGGATCCAAAACTTGAGTTATGGAACATCTTCAAAAAGAATAGCTTGGCAACTGATACCTATTTATAGGTTCTTAATAGGTGTGTTTATGTACAACCTCGTCCGCGACCGCGACTTAATTCATTTGATTCGGTTTTATTATTCTTATATTAATTTTGAGAATAGTTTATTGATAACATAACATACAAAACAATAGTGTTCTGCCAGTAAGTGGGAACTCTATTTAAATTGAATGCTGACTTAAGGATAATGCCCTTTGTTATAGAATATTACAAAGGGCGGACTTCATAATATAAGTGTAGTGTATAACTTATGATAATTAAAATACAATAGTCATAAACGTGTTCGCCATTGTATTTTTTTTTCTAAGTAGTAAATAATTTTTATTTACATATCTAATAATATACGTGTAGGTATCTACCTACATGCTTATCGTACTATACAACGTCCTAAGCCTCTACTCGTGCTGAGGTAGTACAGACACAATAACCCTATTTTCTGTTGGTAATATCACCATTACAAAACTAAGCCGGTAGACGTTAATGTCGTAATTTCCACTATGCGATGTCGACGTCGTCATCGGCTGGGACGATCCCATACGCAACATCAACAAAGCATTATGACACAGCGCACACCTATCAAATACCATTAAGTTACCTACCAACGTAACATTACGTACGTTGAAATTGAAGTTGTAAATTAACATTTACACCTGACCTTGCTCCTTGAAATCGTTTTTGTAATTTGACACAGTTTTTACTTTTCATACTGCTACATCGATCGCCAGTTTTACACGTAGGTAAAGTAGGTAATGCAAGTGCCTATGTTTATCTTACTGAGAACTTAATATCCGTCAGTTGCCGACAAAGTAAAAGGAGTTTCGATAGTGCAGCGTTAGTAGAGCACAGCATGATACATTATTCGTAATTGTGGCTCGCTAACACAATTCCTAATGTTACGTAAACACCTAATTAGCAATAGGTAATTGACACTTCTTGCAGATAAATTTCTTAAACAATTTTACAATGGAACCCAAACAATCGATACGTCTTCATAAAACTCGATCCAAAGACTAAGTTTATTGTAATATCGTGCGCTGGAACTGCCATTGTTCATATCGTTAACTTCAACATGTTTTATTGCCACCAGTTGTAACGAGAATGTCTTAAACCATTGCAAAATCTTTTTAGGCAAAATCTTCTAAAACCGTAGTTGCCCTTTCTCAAAATTAAAAGAGTGGTACACTCTTTTCTTTTTTGAAAAGTTGTAAAGAAAAGAGTACTCTTTTCCCGAGTTGAATCTTAAAAAATGCTAACAATAAAATCCCCTCGTGAGGCGCGCCCGCTCGGTTAAGACTTCTTGTTTTTAGTACTGAAGGACAGAATTGGATTCGATATTGCCAAAAATAGATCCACTTATAAAATAATTGTTTCTTCTCAAAACAATTCTCAATATGTTGTAGGTACCTACACAATGTAAGTAGTGACTGTATCTGTCTAACAAACCCATAATGTGTTTTCAGAGACAAAGGAACTGCCATGGTACGCCAGCCTGTACTGGGCGGTATTTAACATCAGCATAACTATCTCCATCATGATCACTGCGCTTTACTGGCTACTATTATACAACACTGGTATGTTTGGACACCTTGTTTTCAAAACTAAATGAACTTTACCTTTGCTAAGTACGTCTCTCACAAAGCAATAATTATCGTTCGCTTACCATTGCCGTCCACATTTCCTGTTGTCATCAATTGTATAATTAACATCCATTAACATCGGAAAATTGAGTAGTTTGGACACTTATTACTGTATTGTGTCCGTCTTCTGTACCTAAGTTAGATGGTAGCCAGATTCAAGTTTCACGTTCCTTGTTCAGTTCCCGCCTAATCTTAACTTTTTAAACTGCAATGGCAATGTCCTACCCCATTGCCAAGCATGGAGATTATGGCAAGCTCTCTTAATATGTGAAGAAGGCAGATGCAGGCCCCAGCAGCGGACGATCACAGAATGTTATTGTTGACATACACACATTAGGTACAAAGTTACAAACACGTGTACTAGCAGCCTGTTTGCAACAGCGCAGGTTATAAAGGAAGCGCTGTTGGCGCAGTGGCTGGCCAACTGGCTGACGGGCAACATGGCGCGGGTTCGATTCCCGCACGAAACAATATTTGTATGATCCACCAACTGTTATTACGGGTCTGGGTTTCATGTATGTGTGTGTGTGTGCCATCGCGAAGGACACACCGGGCGTCGGGGATCGCGGGACGATCTCTGGCCACCGTAAGCGCTGGCCTGCGGACGGCGAGCATGGGTGGCTCCCCGTTCGACCTGAAACAGACCCGAGCGTACGGCGCGTCGCGTTCCGCGCGCGCCTCAAAGAGCCATCAGACCACCACAGATGGGGCCCAATAGGGCCGATGCCGATTCGGAGTCGCGGAGAACCTAACGGGTAACCGGGGCTCCGGCTCGACGTGCAGGAGAAGGAACGGGGTGGTTTTTAGTCAGTAAGAGTCTGACACTCCCTCCCGCCTCACCCAGGCGGGAGCAGTCATTCGATGATTATCCCCCCTTAAAAAAAAAATAAAAAAATGTGTGTGTGTGTAAACGCAACCACGACACAGAAGAAAAATCTAGTGACATCGCTTAAAAAATCTGGCGCAATGTATTACCTAAGTAGGTACTTACCTACTAGTAAGTAAGGTACTCGCCTTACTTCATTTTGCTACGTACCGTAAAATGGGGTGAATAGGGATCGAGAGGTGAATAGGGACAGAAGAGGGATGAATAGATATGTATAAGGAAATTATTCATAGTATCGATTCACCCCTCTTCTGTCCCTTTTCGCCGCTCAAGCCCTATTTACCCCATTTTACCGTACCTTACTTAATTCACGATTATCGCTTGGAACTTATAAAATATGTTCGTAGTAGTAAAATTCTAGACTTTAAGTAGCTATGATTAAAACTTTCAGGCGTGGAAGATGAGACGGATGAGCGTGCGTTTTGGCTGGACGTGTCGACACACGGTATCACGTCATGCCTAGCAGTTGTCGAGCTTTTGTCGTCGCGGACTCCGGTTCGCTTCCTACACGTGTACCAGCCGCTCAGTATGGGGCTTTGGTACGTTGTCTTTTCCGGCATCTACCACGTGGCCGGAGGCACCGATGTGTAAGTAACCATTCAGAGAGAACTATGAAAAATCATGAAAAAATCAATAACATCTTACCTATACCTACATGTAGGTTACAATCACTGTTGCAATGTATTAATCATGATAATTAGCTATTGTACTTTGATTTTAATCAGTTTGCTTACATAAGTATTGGAATGGTATCAAGGTGCCTGCACATAATACTATGTCATAACCTGTACATAGGTAACTAGGTATATCATATGCATTTAATTTATCTGCCCGAGATACTCCGAGGACCTTACAGTAGTAGCGTCAAAATGAATTCAAATGACTCTTGATTAGATGATGCATACTTGAATCTCAAGCTTCCATTGAAAGTTGAAATAGCATAAAGAATACCTATATCCTGGATTGAACATGAACATTTATATTTCAGAAATGGGAATCCGTTTATCTACGAAATACTGGACTGGTCACAGAGCAAACGTGCGGGTATCATAGTCGCAGCGTCTATGGTAGGTCTCATCATAGTGTATGCCTTCATTTGGGGCATCGCTTTGTGTAGAGATAAGGTGTCCACATACTTAATACGTACGACGAGCCACGACTTGCCTGCTGCACCGCCCGACAGACACACAAGAATCGTCTGAAGTAATTTTAACAACATACTTAAGGGAGTCAAGATACAAACCTCGTTGAATGCAACCCACAACGCTATGTGATAACAGAAATATGCATTTCGTGGGAATTCAATAGCTGAAATTTTATATTCTCGCTGCTAGAGGCGTTGTTGTATTTATTAACATATCTATGACATGTTTTTCTCTCAGTGAGTGGTTTTCGAATAAGGTGCCTTATCAGATGTAATATTTTATTAATCATATTATTAGCTAATATTATGTTTAGGTACTTTTTCATAGAAGCTTAACTAATAGGTTACAAAAATGTACAAATCTATTTGAAACTTCCAAGAGATGTTATTATATTTTATGTAAAAGCAAATCGTTTACCCATGTCAGAATAAACTAAAATTTTCGGCAATCATTTTATTCAACAAAATGTACATTTATATTATATACTTAAAAGTCTGACGTGGGTAAACCGACTGGGTGCAGTACTTAATTTTTCGAACAGACCTTTCGTTCAATTTTGTTGAAAATTGAACTGAAAGGTTAATGTGTTTCAAACACGTATCACGAAATATTGTATATTGTAGGTAGTAGGTAGTATTAGTAGGTAGTATACTTAATGATTTAATGTTCTATGTAAATATGTTTTATAAGAGATACCTACATACTCGTATTAAATCCTGTTTGCGTGTGAAACTGTGCATTATTCTTTGGGTTCGAGTTATAAATAAAACATCAGATGTATTACAAAAAAAAAACATTTATTAGGTACTAATATATAGCAAAATCTACAATTAAACACAAAGCAACCAATTAAAACTATGATTAATATAACAAACTAATATTGATATGTGATTAATTTAATTTGACTTAGTACATCTATACTGTGCAGACTGTGATAGCAATATTACACTTATTCCAGACGTATTTAATTAATTAAACAAAACAAATATTAACAACCAAAATAAAAACTCGTTTATAAAAATAAATTTTGAATACATCTACATCCAAGTATACAAATTTCAACAAAACGATATCATGATCATAATTTGGACAACAGTCTCAAAAAATAAGCAATCTCACATTTACCTTGTATATCCAAAAATATAACTTCTTATATACAATCAGTAGGTACGTTGTTACGCTAAATATGAGCTATGATCACTCCACAAGACACTGGTCTGTTCCCTGGGGGCCGGTCGCTCGCATTACCCTACTCCTACCTACTCTCTTATCACCAGCAACTACTCGTCTACATCACCACGGTAACAAGTCTTACTTTCTAAGTAACATGCTTCAATCAACAACACAGAGTTCTTAACCCAACGCCAAGCGAATCTATTGTTTCCAACCAACTGTCCCTTTGCACAGTAATTTATTGTTATTACATAAACAAACACACGGTATTACAAACATCCAGTTATATTAATATCCTACTCAAATCTTAAATCTAAAAGGCATTTCCAGAGATCATAACTTACTATCGAAAAGAGTGAGCAAAAATTACCCAATAAGTAGTTAAAAATTGTAATATCGTAACACATTCTTATAAGTAGATACATTAATGGAGTATATAATTAAGAAAAGATATAGTAACTACAGAATTTATTACTAATTAACACTTTTGTGATGTATTATCGCTAAATATGTGGATCGGTCAACGGACTAGGTATTATTGCTGGCTAGTCCGAGGCCACATATTTAGCAAACATCGTCTAACACGTTACGTACGAACAATAATATTGTACATTTGATCCTCAAATTACTAACTAATTTGTAAATTGTCCGGAAGCCAATCGAATGTTAAGAACATAGAGCCTAGTGGCCCGAACTCAACAAATACACACTACAAATATTGGTATTAAGACAAAGTATTATATAGATAGTATTGCACCTTAAGACTAAAAATCATGTCTTTCGTATATAATACACCATAACAACACTTTTCTGGTATACTTTAACATTTTTGAGATCATCGAATAGTTGACAAATACATATATTCAGACTTTGCACCACAACTTTCAAAGAGATACTTACGTCTTATATTTTGAAGTAATCTTTTATGCAGTTTTGTAGTAAATTTTTGTTGATAACAAAGTACTGATTCAGTATAAACTCCGATGAAATACTTACTGAAATGTACCTGACAACATTATCACTCACAGTGATATAAAAATAACTTACGCGGGCGATTTTATGAAGATGCCACATGCTGAGCTACAGTAGTAATCTACTGGAGAACCAGGCAGAAAATTACGCGATAACCCTTGTTTCTATACATTAACGATGGTACCAAGGTGTTTTTGAACATAGACTGGTGAGTCACAACAACATATTTCCTAACGCAGTACCTTAAAATATGCCGTCTGTGCCGCAACAGTACAAACACAATACATAAACAAGTACTACCCGCCCAGTACGTGGCATGTCCATACAGCGCCCTTCTATAACAACGCGTCGCCTGCAGCCCCAACAAGTCAACTTACGTAAGGTTACAGTTATGTGAGCTCCTCGCCGTTCATTAGGAACACCCGGAACGAGGACTCGTCATTAGCGTCTTCGTACATCAGCTCCTCCTAAAGATTAAAATAATTATTTAGTGGTCTCATTCTAGCATTCTAACTGGATCAACGCACGTGATCATCACCATCATAATATCATCAGCCACAAGACGTTCACAGCTACTCATGGGCCTTGCTAACCAGTGGCTTGCAGATCCACATGATCAAAATAGTAAATCATGCCCCAAACTTTCCTTAGGAATGACAATACATGTATTGGAGCAAATAGTACAATAATCTGCCCGGTTCAAAGGTACCTTATTATAACATATAAGGAATATCAATAGCATTCAATGCGCGATAGTATACTTTTACCGTGTAATAATTTTATCATCAATAAATAATAAAATACTATTAAGAAGATAATATGAGACTGTTTGCCAACATACCTGCATGAGATCAATGGTAGGATGTGAGTCGATCAAGTAGAGATCTGTGTCTAGAGTCCCTGTCTCGCTGCTTGATAACGCCGTGCTGACGATTTGCCTACAAATATACACAATTCTCGTGAAATGAACAGTTAATTCAGAAGTTCTATCTTGTTAATAAATCTCCTGATAGATTTCGATCACGGTGGCCAGTCTAGACTAGCTAATTATGTAGGAGCACAAGTATATGCGCAAACACAAATGCACTCTCTGAACCCGATCGGACGGCAGACCGAAACAACCGGAGAGTGATCAGGCGCAAGACCAACGGCGTTACGTGCTTTCCGAGGCACAGGGGTGAAACACTGCCGAACTTCCTGTCATTTTACTCAGAAAATGCCATTCCTTTTGACCGACGCAGGAATCGAACCTGCGACACGTTCCACAGCCGGTCACCCAACCACTGCGTCAACCGTGTAGTCAAAGTATCTTAAAACCAGGGTACTTACTGGCTATCCTCATCGATAGGCACGTTGCCATGAAGGAAGAGATCGCTGCGGACAGTGTACACGTCGTTAACTGAACCTTCTATTCGTTCCACCTGAAATAAAACATCATCATCAACAGTTCAATAAGACCACTTCAGAATAGCCAAAACGTAGTGGAACACGGAATGTGTAAAACATATGTTTTTATAATAGTAGCGTACCTGAACGTCGTCATCAAGTACGAGATGCGCTTGCGCACGCGGTAGTGGCCAGGTGCAGTGCGTGCGCGCAGCGTGCCACTCTCCCCCCTCTCCCTCCCCTGCCCCGTCCTCCCCGTCGACACCCACCTCCTCTTCCTCCTCCTCGTCCTCCCCACAGTCCCCGCCCACACCCTCTACTGCTAATTGGTCCGCGTCAAGCTCACAATTCATGGACGATACTTCTCTAACAGACTCGTCTTCTCCCACTGTATCCGCGCTAGGCAAATGAACCTACAATTTTTAAATTTATTTAACGTTACTTTTATTATTCATTTTTCCCCTGACATTAATTATAATTATTCATACTAATTAATATTTTAATGTTGTAATACACACCAAATACACGTTCTCCCCGTTTAGAGTGACAGGCTCGGTGGAGTACTGGGCGGGATCCTCTACGATAGACGCGACGGCGTCCTGCTCAACCTTCCTATGAACTTTCTTCATGTGCATGTACAGGGTGCTCATGTTCGTGAAAGATTGTTCACAACCTGATGAATAGTCATTTCAAAATAATGTATTGCAGTTGTAAGAAAATAATTACTGGTTTTAAACTTGATTTACAAATGAAGTAAGGGTACAATTGCGAGCGTTTTAGGCGCACCGATGTAGGAGTAACCTAAGAAGGATTTTCTACTGAAAATAAACTTGAAGAACATTGTACTCTGTACACTAGTATCTGACGGGTTGGATCCACGTACCGGGATGCGTGCAGAGATGCGGCGTGCGCGCGTGCGGCTGGTGGTGCCGCGCGCAGTGGTCGCGGAGGTGCTCGCGGCGCAGGAAGGCGCGGCCGCACGTGGCGCACGCGTGGCGCCGCTCGTCCGTGTGGCGCCGCGCGTGCCGGACCAACTTGCTGGCTGAGCGGAACGCCCAGCCACACTCCTACAACGTTATTATACATGCTTACGACTGAAAGACTTATTAACTTCAAAAAGTGTTGTTAATCACGTCGGCAGCTGTAGCCAAATGCTATTTAGCGCTTGTCTACATGTAGAATAGAAAACCAAATTATATGGAATTGACGTAAATTTTGACACTTGTCTGTGTCATCCCCATACATTTTGATTTCTACTCTCTCTGTAGACAAGCGCTAAAGTGGCGTTTGGCTACAGGCACTGGCTTGACCAGATTTGGTTGTATGATAAAGAGAATTTTGTATTGTAACGGCATATCATTGGCTTTATTTTACAAAGATACAGGTGCAATATGGCAAACTGATGTCAGTACATATTTTGTAAGTAATAAATTAAATGCAGCCTGTAATGTAATAGTGCTATAAAGCAATTATTCAAATAACAAAGTAAGTACGTACAGGGTACCGGCACAGATAGGGTCGGTCCCCAGTGTGTGCCCGTGCATGTTCCCTGAGCCGACAGGGCAGGCGGAACACGCGGCCGCAGCCGGGCCAGGCGCACGCCAGCCCCCCGCGCGCACACACGGACGCGCCGTGCGCGCGCAGGCCCAGCGCCCAGAAGAAACGTCGCCCACACACCATGCACCTTGGAGAAATAATATTAAACTTTCATAATGTCAAGCAAATATGCTGTGTTATGGAAATGCCTTTTAAAACATTGAGAGCATTTGTGTAAATATAAGTACAGGCAGACAGCTCCAAACAGGATGGATTGTCTCATTCTCATTTATTGGTGAGAAATTGAGTTCTTTAACAACTAACAACTGGTCTTATCAATCTTTCTTTCTGCAAATGTGGCTACTAAAGTTAGAATTTTGACACATAAGAAAATGTAATTTCTTAATTTGTTGTACCTGTGCTGAGCTTCATCAATCGTGTGATCCTCCTCCAAATGTTTCAGCAAGTCACTCCGCACATTGTAGGTGCGAGGACACTTCTCTTCAGTTCCATCCTCAGCTACTTTCTTCACAGGGCACTCATATTTCATCTGTGTCTGAGGCCTATATACTGGCCTGTTGTGAGAGTTCTTGTGCTTCCTCAGTTTCTCTTCACTCCAAAACCCTTTATTGCAATTAGGATGGTCACACTGCAATAAAGAAATACAATGCCAGAAGTCTTGAATGTTAAAAACTGCCAATAGGTGCCCCTATCCATCTCTTGATTGGCAGTGATGCCATTAGTATTTATTGTTCCCTGATTCCAGAACCGTAAAGTAAGTTACCTTTAAGTGCACTTGAAAATAACGAAAGAAAGAAGAATCACAAAACAAGAAGCCTAGTGCTTGGCAACCACATATGCAAAAATTTTGTTAACACTATGATTATGAATGATTATTTATGATAATTACATTACAATATACTAATATGTTTAGTAGTCTCACCTTAAACTTAACAGCTCTATTAGTGTAGCAGTCGACTGCTACAGTTTGGGTTGGTTTGGCTAATGTCATCAGGTCGTGGACTACCTTTGGTTGTACGTCAGCGGACTCCAAAGCTGCTACTACGGTTGAATCAGGTTGTTCTTCCGATGGTTGCTCATTGTCTAAAACATTATTATTTTTATAGTTTTTATTTACATAATTTTGTTACAGTTTTTCATTCATCATTGTACCAGGCCTGTAAATGTCAGCATCATTTTTATGACAGAATTTTATCAATAAAAACATAAATATTATAAAGAACATACCTAATGTTAATTTCAATGTTGCAACATTATCATCTTCATGTTTTACAATATTGTCTAATTGTTCCGAGGCAGGTCTTCCCCTGGTTGTGCTGGTGACTAGAGTGAATGCTTCAGGAGATTCATGAGTACTGGCTACATTTACTACAGGAACAGTAACCAGCTGTCTCCTAAGAATATTAGGTTTTGGTAATGTTTTCTTGCAAACATTTTTTTCTTTTGATGCAAACATAATTTTATTGTTCTTGCTACATTGGAAAATAAGCCTGAAAGTGATAACACATTATCAGTAAATAAGGTAAGACGCATTCTTATATCCAAAATTAATAATATTCCATTTGTAGTCTTATGTGTAAAATATTAAATCAGTCCTAAATTGATGTAGTCATTTTTTTCAGGTTTTCAAATCATACAAGTAAGCAGTGAGACGCACTAAAAACATAATTTGTGCCAGATCAGCTTGTTTATAGATACAGACTGGTCTCAATAATAAGCCATTTTTTAATTAGTGTGGTTAATAAGATACAATTTTGATTTTGTATTCGTCAACAGATATCTAATGGAACTAGCCATTAGCTTGCACACAGCCTCAACATCAATCAAAATCGATAAGAAAATGCAATTTCTTAATTGGTTTCATGTATGTACCTGTGATGAGCTTCATCAGTCGTATGATCCTCCTCCAAATGTTTCAGTAGATCACCCCTCACATTGTAGGTGCGAGGACACTTTTCTTCAGTTCCATCCTCAGCTTTCTTTACAGGGCACTCATATTTCATCTGTGTCTGAGGCCTATATACTGGCCTGTTATGAGAGTTCTTGTGCTTCCTCAATTTCTCTTCACTCCAAAACCCTTTATTGCAATTAGGATGGTCACACTACAACAAGGACATGCAATGCTAGAAGTCTTGAATGTTAAAAGCTGCCAACGCATAGAAACTTTGATTGGCAGTGTTGCCATTTGTTTATATTACTCACTGATTCCAGAACCGTAAGGTAAGCGCTAGTTACCTTTAAGTGTTCAACTCACTTTTAAATGACTTATAAATAACGAAAGAAAGAAAAATCGTAAAACAAAAAGTCTACAAATACATTATTGCTTAGTGGTTAGCAACCATTTTGATAACAGACTGTTGAAGCAGATATTATGAATGATTATTTATGATATACCAAGATATTTAGGCTTCTCACCTTAAACTTAACAGCTCTATTAGTGTAGCAGTCGATTGCTATGGTTTGGGTTGGCTTGGTTAACGGCATTAGGTCGTGGACTACCTTTGGTTGTACATCAGTGGACTCCAAAGCTGCTACTACGGTTGAATCACTCTGTTCTTCTGATGGTTCCTCCTTGTCTAAAATATTTTTTTATAGTTTAATTTTAACATAATTTTTATGACAGAATTTTATTAATGAAAACTTTAAAAATTCATTTAAACATCATACTTAGATGATTTATATGTAAACAAGCATAGCAGTGTAAGTATAAGTACATTTTGATAATAAAGTATAGTATAACTGATAATAGTGTACTTACAGTTATTTATAATGATGTCTCTGGAATTGTTGGTAATGTCGAAACACCATATGCTTTTACTTTGAGAGGCCTTCATTTCTGTTATTTCAGTAGGGTTGTAGGAGAAACTCAGATCCTATAAAGTAATACAATAGGGTAGATGCCTAATTTTTATTTTAATGTCCGTCTGGTCATGAAAAGATTGATGACTGTTAATGAAGCGAATGTGTAAGAATGTAAGAATCGTAGTAATTGGCGTTCCTTAGTCTCTGCCTACCCCCATGGGAGACAGGCGTGAAGTTATGTACGTATGTATGTCCGTCTGGTAGATTATTTTAAATCCTGACACATATTTTTTATTTTCTTACAGAAACGAATACTTTCGACGATATAATATGAAATGTCGTGTGACGTCACTTCTACGTACATTTTGATTCGTTTTATCTAAGTATTATTTTATTATACAACAAAATAAAAAAATGTGCCTAATATTCTTAATATTCTTTCATTACCTAACTTACGGACTAATTATAGTTTTAATTTTCATACCCTGTCATCATTTCAATTAGAAAAAATAACAATCACAAATCACACCTTTAAATAATTTCAAATACAAAAAAGTGAAAAGTTTTGAGTGACTAGAAGTTGTAAGATTACAAAAAATTTTGTCATGACTTACACATGGTACATACCTCTTCAATGCTGTCAGCACTGTTTAAAAACGATTCAATATTGAGTGCATTCTGCTCAAAGCTTTTACTTTCATCTGAAATATTTAAATAGTTTAAACAGTTTTTTAGCCATAATACAAGCAATTACCTACCTACATTAAGCTGTCAAACACCGAGCGGTCACCCGTGACCGCAACCTACTGTTCTTTAATTGTGTCTATAATAACGGTACTCAATGAGTTAATTCACACATTTTGAAAGGTCAAAAAGGAATGGCAAGACCTTACACAATACACATAAAACTTTCCACCTAAATCTTTATTATTATTTTTATATCTACTGTATCTAGTAAATACTATGCATATTCCCCATAAAAAGAGAAACAATGAAATATGGACCTCTGTTCAAGAAACATCATCACAAGGTCATTTCAAACAAACATAATTTGCTTACTTTTAATTTCCATAATAGATGTATTGTCGCTTATATTGGCATGTATATCAGTCTCCTTCAATATTTGTATATTATTGTGCTTGTCCTCACAATCATTCCTTAACGTTAACTTCCATGTCGCTACATTGACATCTTCATGATTCACAATATTGTCTAATTGTTCCGAGGCAGGTTTTCCCCTGGTTGTGCTGGTGACTAGAGTGAATGCTTCAGGGGATTCATGAGTACTGGCTACATTTGCTTTAGAAACAGTAACCATTCCCTTTCTCCTAAGAATATTAGGTTTCTGGAATGTTTTCTTGCAAACATTTTTTTCTTTTGATGCAAACATAATTTTATTGTTCTTTCTACATTGGAAAATAAACCTGAAAGTAAAAGTAAACACAGCATCAGTAAATAAGAGGTTAAGATGCATTCTTATATGTATGCAAAATTAATAATATTCCATTTGTAGTCTTATTTGTAAAATATGAAAATAGTTCTACATTGAAAGATTATATCATACCAAGAAGCAGTAAGGCACACTAAAAAACAATTGTTTAAAGCTATGCCTTTCTTTAGGTTATTAGTAACTTAGTCGGTAATAACTACTAATGCTATCTATGCCTGTGTAGGTACAACTTGTTTTATTTTTCTTGTACACCAATTACATAGATGTCTACATGCAGAGATTAGAAAATAAATCTGCAAATCACTGTTCTTGTAAAAAAAATAAAGCAATACTCACAAGGTGATCAGTTCAAATGGATCGGATTATTTATTGACGCGTAATTCGTCCAAAATATATTTTTCCATTTACTCCACCTATAGCGTCCAGGCACGTTACCTTAAAACTAGTGTAGCAACTTAAATATGCTACAGAACATTTTTATTAAATCAAAATGCATGGGTAAGTAATTGTTTCTTGATGAACCAACTCAAACAGTCGTACTCTTCGATCTCCATGGAGCTGTAATAATTGCATCACAACAATTACAATATTTCCATGTAACTTCTCTTGGCAGAGTGTTGATCGTAAATATTTATTGCTACTGCAAAAGTGCCCAAGACGGAGTAAATTGTAGTTTAGATTAAAACTTCTTTGAATAAAATTAATTGTAGCCAAGCAATTTCATGGCGGCGTTACTTTACATCGCAAACTCAAAACCAAAATGTCAAATCAAAAATAAATGTCAAAATGAAGTCCTAATGGACGCTGGCAGATTAGTCAACAAAAGTACTTAGAGTCCATTTCACGAAAGAAGTCCCGCAGACGCAGCGCTGTATTCGCGCGACATAATGTTGCCACGGTTAAATTTATATAGTATGGGGAAATCAGGAGAAATTGACATTAGTTTGATTAACTACGTACTCGAACAGTTCGAGGAATATTTTAAAAATAATGTCTTTTTATATAGGTATTTATGTTTATACTGCTAAGGTCAGATTAGTGAAAAATTAATCTTCCTGTAATTTCTAAAATATAAAATGGAAATAAAGATGTTCAACCAACATCAAATTAGAAACATAAAATAACATTTAAAAAGTTTTATTAAAGTTTTATTGAATAATTATGATCGGTCATACTATGATCACTGTCAGAAGAGTGAATAGAAACAGAATTAGATTCTGTTTCATTATCACTAGCCGTAGATATAATAAATCGATGCATTTCTTCATCCATAAGACCATCATTTTTTAAATATTCTTCCTCCAAATGCTGTACATGTTTGCATTGAACTGCCCAATCTTCCGCTGTAACAGTCTCGAACGCCTCTTCTGTTAGGCGTACAATTTCTTTTGGATCTTGGCCCACGTTTTTAACCGCTACCCGTCTGTTTATAACACACGACTCTCCGACACACCTGCAATAAAATGAACAATTAAAAAAAATCTAACAGTGACTTTTTCCGCATTTAATTATATTATTGTTGAATACAATTTTACAAATTTTTGTTGTGTTATGTTAATTCCTCATTAAAAAAACTTAAGTCTAATTGGTAAAAAATATGTTTAATATGGCAGCCCCAAAATTTACCTGTTATGGCGGCAACTCTTTTGCGAACATTGTCTAATGGTATTAAAACGGTGCGATTCTTCTGTTCCGCTTCACAGAACTCTTTCACTTTTAATATCATTTCTCGACCTGCACTTTTTACAACTTTTGGCATCGTAAATAAACCTTATAATGCACTAATTTAATAATAAACTCACAAAATATCTACCACAACAAACCCACCTTGACAACATCGACAAACGACAACATGGCCGAACTCCCCATTTGTCAAATTTAGTTCCACAATTGTCCGCGGGACTTCTTTCGTGAAATGGACTCTACACTACTATTTAATGGAGACTCAATTGCCATAGTAGAAGAAAAAAAAAAGTCCTAATGTCCGAAATTTTTAATGCCATTTAACAAAAAAAATAGTTGTTAATCAAGTTTTATTTTGAAACTGGAGTTACAAAATTAAAATTAAAAGTGGTACATACCTACATTACTTTTTGAATTACTAGTTACTTCCGCGCAGTTTAACTCGCTCTGCTCGGCGTTTATTAATCGTAGCGTGATATTTTATAGCTTATAGCCTTCCTCAATAAATGGGTTATCCAATACAGAAAGAATTTTTCAAATCGGACCAGTAGTTTCGGAGATTAGCGCGTTCAAACAAAAAAACAAACTCTTTAGCTTTATAATATTAGTATAAATGTGTGACCTAGCATATGTATCAGACTGGGGTCGCTAAATAGGCATGACTCGGTCTCACGGAACCCCCAAACTAATATACTCTTTGACCCACGATCCCACAGGCCACAAGGCCTACAAGTCAGACACACCGTTACACTTCATACTTCATATCAGTGCATAATAATGACTTTTTCTTGTATTTTGTTATGATTTTAGAAATAAGAAAAAAAAATATGTACCTTTTGCTATTTAGTTCTTTATATGTCCCTCTCTGTGAAAAATTTAGTCTATGCCTGAAATAGTCTATGATGTCAATAATGTGTCAAGTTGTCAACTGCACGTGTTGTTTTTTTTTTTATTATCAAAGACAATACTAGACACAGAGTAGATGTCAGTCAAATCAAATCGTCAAAGTTACGAAATGATACAAAAACATTAACATAACCTAAAATTGTAGACTAAAGTAGTGAAATATATTCTCAGTTTAATAAGTTTCGTGAGTATTAATATTTAATTTAATCGCATCAAAATGCAAGTTTTGCATCATGTAATCTTAAAATTAAACATTTAATGGAAATTTTAATTCATTGCTAATTTTAACAGGTTACATTATTATAAAAAATGATTAATTTTCTAATCTTCAGGCGATGAAGTCTAGCGATGAAGAATCAACGGTCGGGAAGAAAAGAAGAGGAAGTGAAGGCAGTGAAGTACAAGACGAGCATGATATACCGGTTATAAAGAAATTAAAAACAGAAATACACTCAACCACAGAAGATAATATGGACTCGGATTCAAGTAGTGATTTTGAAAGGCCAACGATTAAGGTAGAAAGACAAATGGAATTTGGAGATATCCTAAAAGATTTTGATGATTTAAATGAACCAGCTTGTATGGACAGAATACTGATGTATCTAGAAGAAATCAAAGATGAAGATTATTTTTTCATGGAGGTAACTAAATATTGCAGTATGTAGCACAAAAAAATAGATAATTATACCGTGTGGTTTTTTTTCGTTTTCGTATTTAAGCATTTTTTTCGTGTTTAAACTGTCAAACACCAAGCGGTCACCGGTGACCGCAACCTAATACTAACACTCTTTTTTGCAGTTATTAGTGGATAAATTAAAAGGTGAGACTATAACATGGGAACAACCGTGGTATCAGCAGTCAAATTCTCTTTCAAGGCCATTTAAAAATAATAAAAATGAGAACCATGCAGAGCCTTATAGAACAGACACAATCTGCAAAGCTGAAAGTGATTTGATAGAACACAACTGGCGTCAATTCAAGAAGGTAAAAATTGGAACAGTACTATTTACTTTTAAAAATGCCCAGGCCATGGTATTTTAGCTTGACTATTCTAATAGTTATATTTTTATTCTGTAATCGTCATATTGTTTAATTTGATTTTTTATCAATTGCTCATCCTAAAATGCCAACTTTTGAGAAGTAAAATAAGTGATGTCATATTGTGCCCCAGGAAATTATTGCTAGATTCCATTACCTAACTTCTCACTTTTTATTTTGTCTAACTTACATTATATTCACCTTCTCTGTACAGCTATATGAAGTTCCTGACAAGTTAATATGTTTGGCTCGCTGGAGAAATAAAGAAAAAAGTAGACTACCTAACACACCTGAAGAGCAGGCAAGACGTTTTGTAGTTGCATTTTTGGCGCGTGGCTTAGAAAGAACAATATATCAAGTGTTCAGGCATATTGTAAGCCATTATGGTGGGGCTGTGAAAGGTCCCTACTCCTCTGATGAAGAAAAGATCATGAAAGTCTGTTTCACCCACCATCCTAACCATGCAGTCACATTATTGTCAATGGTTTTGAGTAGAGAACCTAGGGGAATATACAAAAGATTGCGGCAAATGTTCAGTGGTATGTATTATTAATCAGTCACACAAAAGATTACTGAATGATTAATAACTAAAATGTAGAGTATATTATTCTAGTGTATAAATAAAAATATATACTTAATTTTCTGAAAAGTAGCAAATACTTTTCTAATAATAATGTATCATTTTGTTTGTTATTTATTTTTAGGAAAACCAGAGAAGAAGAAGATTAAATGGTCATTGTCATTGGCAACTAGATTTGTGAAGCTTTTGCTAAAGTACACAAAATTGCCTTTAGAAGAACTGAAATATAGGAAAATTGATAAAGAAGTTTGGTTGAAACTAGAAAAGAAATTTGATCAACATTATATACACTTACAGAGCTTTTGGTACCAGACTCTTCATGTCCAGATTTATGTAAAAGAACCTCTGAAAATAAATAAACTAAGAAAAGGCGTATTTCAAAGGTTAGTTAAGTACATGTTTCAGATTAAACTGTCAAACACCGAGCGGTCACCGGTGACCGCAATCTATTGTTCTTTAACTCGTCGAGTACCGTCATTATAGACACAATTATAGTAGAACAATAGGTTGCGGTCACCGGTGACCGCTTGGTGTTTGACAGTTTAATTGTGTCTGTAATGACGGTACTCAATGACTTAAGAGTTAATTATGAAATGGTTATTAACAAAAATATTTACTTGTAGCTGACTTCCTTCATCATAGTTGTTTTTATTTTAAAAAATACTAGCAGCCAGTTAAACATTCCTAAAACCTCTTTAATATCTTGCTCGCGAAATATAGCAAACTTTGGTATTATTTATTTATTTATTTAAGGTATATTATCACATATTTTATTTTTTCAGCCTACTGTCATCATCTTATCAAGTATGGACAGACATTCGATGGAAAGACCTAGTCAAGCAGTTTCCTGATGGAATAACACACAAGTTTTTATATAGTATATGTCGAAGTGTTGTATATAAAATTCCAGAATATTTGAAGAAACCTCTACCTGAAGTTGCACAATATGCAATAGAGAAAATCAAGAATCATTCATTTCAGAAACGTCGTTTGAAAACTTTACAGTTTGATGAAAATGGAGAATTAGAAATAGCTGGATACTAACAAGAACATAAAGTATTAAGATGTTATATCCAATGTGATATTATTTTATGAATTGATTGCTTTATTATGTAAGTTATTACTTGCTGAATGTGCTTCCAATTAACACTGACTATATTCCGCGTTCGACATTGGACGTGGGGTCACCAAAAGTACAACCCAATATCTATGTAATGGCAGTATAGGTATGATGACCTATACTATGTATCAATAGACGTCCATATAGCGCAACCAACAACTTGTGTGGTGATCATGGTTAATCAGAAAATAGTCTTTGTGAAATCTGTTCAATTGAAAGGGTATCCAGAGTTCAAATTAACTCATAAGACTGTTGTAATGTGTATAAGATGTTAATAAAAAGATAATAATATCACCATACCTTTTGCAGCAAAGAAGTCTTTCATTTTTATAAAATACCTTTAGTTAAGTATGTAACTAGGTACTGGTTATTAGTTTAAAACTTCATATATTATGTATTTGTTTATGTCGTAAATACGCCTAAAAACAGACTGAAAATAAGCAGGTAGGTAGGTAGGTACAAATAGATACGGGGAGCCTTTCTCGCCAAAAATAATGGCACAATGCGCAACGTAATAGATTATTCTGTGGTAATAGTTTGTGTCTAATAGGGTTGTAAATGGCACTATTTGTAAGTATTCGCTTTTACCACAATACTTATTTTGTAATAATAGGTAGGTATTTATTTCACAGACTTAGCAGCTAATAACTATCGTGTTAGAACACGGTGCTACCAAGGGCTGCTAATGTTAATTCAAAGTTTCCTTCCAATTTTATTTTGTTTTATCCTTTGCAAGTCAATTTAAACAATAGATATCATATTAACAATCATAGATTTAAAACTCTTCGGTTCGCACCCCAATATTCGATTTATTCCCATCTAACCCCACATATCTTCTATCTATCGACTCCCCTTTATTTATTCGGTTACCTAATTAATATGCTAAAACCTAAATGTAAAAAATACTTTTCTGAAAACCGCATCAAAATCGGTTCAGCCAATCGCGAGATAATCGCGCACAAACATATATACAGGTCAAACCATAGAACATATATACCTGGGTCAAACTGATGAAACTGAGAAGAGAATCTACTGACCTTCTGCCAATTACTCTACTCTTTGTATAGTAATTGGCAGAAGGTGAACAGGTGACAGAAGGAAAGGAATGAACAAAGTATACCTCGACTGGTGTGAAGTTGGCTGACGTGACATTAATTTTCTTTGTCTCTTTCGCTCGTCCGTACTTTGTGCCTGTCACTGTAACGGCCGTTCCCAATATTCAATCCATAGGTAAAGATAGATAGCTATCGTCGATAGTCAGTTAAAAGCTATCTATCTTTCGATGTCGTCCCAATAACTAAAATGTGTCTTTGCTATCTCTAGATATCAGTAGATAGGGTGCCTATCTGAGCCCTCCCATGTGTTTCATTGTATGCAGAGCCCCACAGAGTGCCACTAAGTTACAATAATGTTTTCAAAGCATCTTGTCATGTTTATATCACAAACATTTTGAATTAATTAACGAAACCTTATATTTTGCACAAATTTTATAGTAAACAATATTTTTTTAAGTTAAATATTACGAAAACTTCATGTTTGCGACTGGATGAGTGCGCGACTTGTAACGGAACGTGTTTGTTAAAACATTGACATTTGACATTGTTGTTTGTTGATTTTGTTTACAATAAATTATGATAATATAACAAAGAATTGTTTGTTATAATAAATGAGCTCAGTAAGTATTACAGTTTGTGCTTTTCTAGCTTTAGATTGAAGCTATTGAAGTTTAGTTCTATGGCTTTCACTGAACTTTTATACTTGGATTGTTGAATATTTTTTGTTGTTTGCATGAACATACATGTGACTAATAACTCGTGTTTGGTGCACTCATTGTAGCAAAAGAATATGCTATTGACGAAAGAAGAAGTAATGCAGCTGGTACAATTGGTGGAGGCAAATCCATTGATGTTCAGCAAAGTCACAAATGCCAGCAATAACCAGCTCAAGGATGCGACTTGGAGGATTAGGTATCACAGATAGTTTCTTGTATATTTCATTTTTGGGGTTTGGTATTGGTTATGACTATTTACTTTTCAATACTGTTTGGTTATAAAACTTTTATATGGTGAGGAGCAAAATGGAATAATACACTATAAATAATATTATAATTATAAATAATATTTTTCTAGGAAAACAGAAAAGACGAGCTGATGCAGATGATATGAGTCAATAACAGATCGAAAAGAAATACATGCATTAAAGAAACGGAAACTCTAGCTAGATATACTGGAGAAGGAGAAACAACCCAATAATAATTCATATAATTAAATAAAATAAAACAGTTTATTCTAAACCATCTTTTTATTACACTGTGCATTTTGCACATTCAATGTTTATCTCATTTCTCGTCCACTGGAACACTTAATTAAAATAAAGATGTAGGTATAAATAACGGACAAGTATAAAATTCTCTAATTTAGTCTTCTTAGCCTAAATCTATACACAAACTCGTAATCGTCATATCTGTACATGTAATTAACACGCTCTTGATATGGTCGTGTTGTGGTAACCACATCGTCCTCGTCAGATTCCCAGTTCCTTATTTGTTTCAAAATATCAATAGCACTTGAACTACTACATACTTGAACCGGAGTCCGAAATGATTTTTTGTTTAAATTGATGTATTTTTAAGAAATGGAAAAGATATATATACTGATCTTCACTGATAACTATACTCCTATCCCTCAAAATTCTGCGATAGAGCTAAAGCCTACTAGGGATAACCAAAGTCACTGACAGATAGCACCTTTGTTATTATTGGGACGCATGAACTGTCAATTTCATAGTAAAAGCAATCTGTAGATAACCTATCCGTCCTCCCACAGGTAATGACAACCATAGATTAGTTTGCCTATCGCCAGTAAGTTTATTGAGACGGCAAATTTAAAGGATAGATTTTTCTATCTCCAGTAGGGCAAAACAAGGGATAGATAGAATATTGGGAACGGCCGTTAAAGGATAGATTTTTCTATCTCCAGTAGGGCAAAACAAGGGATAGATAGAATATTGGGAACGGCCGTAAGCCTGTCTGTTTGGAGGGCTTGGCGGCCATTCCTCATCCCCGATACTTATTATACTCTTTGCATTCCTCCCCCGCGCTAAACGCCTGCAACCCCTATACTTATCATACTCTTTGTCTGACGCCTGCTGCCTAACTTCACAGTGCAGACCGGTCGGCTTAGTGGCTCATTTTATTATTTGTTTTGAATAATTTGAATACATACATAGTTTCTCACGTTTATGATTCTCGTTACTTAGACAATTCCTCTATTAAAGGACTTACTTACCTATTTAAAAATACCTGTGCAATATCTAACAACTAAATACCTACCTATACGATAAAGAAGCAAAATGACTACACGTAACGTGACCAATGTGCCGCAAAGAAAAATAGCAGATATTTTAGATAGTGACGACGAATTACCAAGTAAGTTTAAAAGTAATTTAGACTGTCGCACAGTATTTTCACATCATTACTTACATTAACAGCCTATAAGTGGCCAATGCTGATGCTCTTCTCACTATCTCACATGCATGGACAAGATTTGAGAATTAATCATTACGCTTGCTCAAGGCGGGTTCAGGATTTCAAACGTATAATTTTATTAAAAGTCCAAGTTTACTCACATCCATAGCCATCAGACCACCACAGATGGGGCCCAGTAGGGCTGATGACTGATACGGAGCCGCAGAAGGCCAAACCACGGTAAAATTATCAGGAGTAGGAACGGGGTGGTTTTTAAATCAGTAAGTCTGACCTGAATCCCTCTCGCCATACCTAAGGCTTGACTGCACAGTTGGCACTGTGGCTGGGCAACTAGCTGCTGCCACGCAACGGGTTCGATTTCCGCTAGATCCACAGATTCCTTCACCTTTTGTCGGTGGTGTCTAAATAATCTTAGAATGCACATATAACCCAAAAATGTTACATTTGTTTTTGCCGTTGGTAGGTTTCGAACCCGCGCCTTCATGGATGAGAAGCAGGCGTCTTAACTCTCCGTGCCATTCCCCATTTGAGGAAAATGTAACTTGTACCCAACTATCGGTACAGCTTCATGTACCGAAAGTGAGAAAAATCATGGCCACATACTAATTCTTTTTTGCATCACTGAAATCAAATCCGCCTTGATCCACTGCTAGCATGGTGACAAATCGTCATTTGCCATCTGTGTGAGAATAGGTCTTTCTCCTGCAATAGGACAGTTACAGATTACCTACAGCTATTTATATTCATGTTTATTTTCAGATGAATACATAGACCTACCGAGCATGCCAGCCTATCAAAATGACTACCGTTTTACTGAGCAACAACAGGAACAAAAAGAAGAATTTTTAGAAAATGAGATTTTAGAAGGATTATTAAGCACAAAAGACATATTTTCTTTTAAATGTCTTGAATACACTGCAGACCATACAACAGTTATATGGTTTTTCAAATATCTCATGTTGAAGGATTTGCAATCTAAGTATACATATTATCTTAATACATGTTTAGTGCCAGACTACAATAATTATCATCTTAGTGAAACAGATAAGTACAAAGATGGAATAAGTGAGAAGCTGTTTGAAATCAGACTAGAACTAGAGTATACTAATAGAAAGCCTACACGGTGACATTAATTAATCATTTCGAAGATTTTACGAATTAGGGCCGATTTTTCAATTGTCTGTTAATTCTTATAGAATAAAATAAACATTTGACAGTTTAGTATGGAAGAATAATTGCCAAATTGAAAGGAAAGGACGTATGAAAGTAAATGTGAACAAGAAAAAAGTGTTGGTGATAGAAAGAAATGAGGTGATAACAGTATGTCAGGTAATGATAGGTGATGAAAAATTGGCTAAGTGAATGAGGTTTCACTAGTCACGAGAGGTGGAAAGTGTGACGGGGATATTGAAAGGAGAGTGAAAGCAGGGAATACTGTCAATGCTACCTTACACTCTGTAATGTCCAGTCAAATAATATCCAGGAACGCTCGACTTGCTGTAATGTAGTGTGCATTGACACCAACACTTATGTATGGTAGTTAATCATAGGTGTGGCAGAAAAAGCTTGAAAGCAGGATTAATGTGGTAGAAATGAAAGACCTGAGAAGTATGTGTGGAGTAAAATTGAGTGATTGAGTGAAAAATTGTGTTAGTAGAGAAAGGTGTGGATTAAAAGATAATGTAGTGAAGACAAGAATTGAAAAGGGTGAAAGTGATATGGGCCTATGAAACCTGAAATAAATGGATAATTAAATAAATATAATATCATGATGTCTTTATCACTGGTAATTACATGAAGGCTTTTGTAGTTTTATGTAATTATATTAATAACAATTTATTAGTTACAATGCTCTATAAAATTGATAGTAACAATAAACAATAAAAAAAAAGTTTTAAGGAATGATTGCACTCTACTGTTTTAAGCTATCGAGAAAACCTTTAGAACATCTAAGTGATTGCTGGTAACACTTTTCAAACCCTTTTGCATCGCTGTCCTGAAATAAACAATTATAGTAAGTAAATGAGTCCATTATTTAAATCTAATATCAATTAAATATAATAATTTTGTACACATACATAGTATGGATCCCTTATAATCCTATCACCTTCAGGATCAAATTCTCCAAAGAGAAGAAGTTTAGCTTTGCTTCCTTTGGGAGCCCTTTTGTTAAGATCTCTCATATTAGCTTCATCCATACCAAATATGTAATCATAATGATTAAAGTCCTCCGATACTATCTGAAAAAAAAAATGAAGTGTGATGATAAAATAGCAGATTTTGTAGTTATAGGAACTTGTATATTTCAATTTTTGGGAATTTACCTGTCTTGCATGATTGTTGTATGGAACATTATGCTTTTTCATAGTATCCAATGCTCGCCAGTCTGGCGGATTACCTACATGCCAACCTCCAATAGCTGCACTGTCGATTTCCCATTGATCACCCAAATTCATGTCATTTACAGTTTTTTGGAATACACCTTCTGCTATAGGAGAGCGACATATATTTCCTAAAAAAAAAGAAAAAGTCGTAACATATAATTATTACACACTATTTATATACCTAGTAAGAGTAAATTAATTGTTTATATTAAAATACTTACCTATTTCAATGATTCAAAAGTAGTTTTAAGTACATTTTATATTATAAAAGGAAGTTGATAGTAGATAAAAATAGATAATTTAATTTGCAGTTGACTTGTCGTATTCTTTGTATGTATGTTCAATCTCGAAGAATAAAGAATACTATGTGCTAATAATATTAACGTATTGGTTACATACCGAGACAAATAAACAATGCTTTTTTCTTTCCTTCTGACATCTTGCGTCTTTATTAACTATCACTTGGCCTGAAAATAATGCTATTCACTTTCCTCTTATAATATTATATTATTTCTTGAGTAAAAAAATTAGACCTTTTTCTCAATGTCCTTGCTATCAGATTATCAAATGAAAGTAGCACATAGTAGCAATACTCAGCAATAGCAATGCTATTCGAATTCGAAATAGGGATGGCCATCTGAAATCGATTAATCAAAGAATCGATCTTTTGGGGTAATAAATCAATCCTTTCAATCGATTCGATTTTTAAATCTGTTCCGTTAATTCTAATACTTCTCATGTTGTTTATAAATTTGATTTATAAAAATTCATTTGAAAAAGGATCGATGTTTTGGATATCGATCTTTTAGACCTCGATTTTTTTGTGAATCGATAAACCAGGTTACAATATAAAAATTAATATATACAACTTAAAATATATAAAAAAAAATTTAAAACTAAAATATTTACACCTTAATAAAATAATAATAATAATAATACATCATAAGGCATCAAAGAAAACATTTTCCTCATCGCTACCGTGAGGTAGGGTGCCCAAAAGACTGGCAGCATTGCCACGTTGAATGGCAATGCTTAACCTTTGCCCAAGGTAGCAGCCAGCCCTTCGATCACCTGAAGTGTCAACCATCCTCCTTACAATATCTTTGTAAAGAAGATGTGCACTTGGGCCCCACGGCTCTAAAGTTTCAACCCCAAACGGTTCGAAAGCATAATTGCCAATCAGGCTATTATACTTTCGCCGTTTGAGGTTCTCGGCAGCAGCAGCGGCAACACCGGCTCGACACGCTGAGCTTGGAAGATGGGATGGCGCCAGAGTATCAACGCAAGTGGCGTCCCATACTAAAGCCCTACCCATCTTCCAAGGGAATAATGACATACCGTCGGGTCTCTTGCCATCGTCGCGTACCAAGCCTTTAGGTTCTAAAGTAGCTGGCACGCCAACGGAGGCAAGAGCTCGACGAATTATGTCATTAATACTTGCGTGTCGAGCAAAACGGCCCGCACTACGGCTACATGACAAGCCGTGGTGTCCAAGGCTGTTGACATCTTCACCACAACGACAACGATGAGGTGAACAAAATCGAATTCGGTTACAATTAGAATCGATTTAAAAATCTCTATCCCTAATTCGAAATTGCGAAGTAGGTATGACATTGAAAAAAAAAAAGGTATGACATTGACAACGACAAATGAAATGACAAACATTTATGACATAATGTCATTTCACCACTCGACACTGGCAGTATAGTCGACAACACCATTTTGGAGACTCAGTTGCCAAGAAAAAAAAAAAAAAAAAAAAAAGTCATTTGACCTGACGTTGTTATCACAAATCACATCAGTGTTTCAGTGTTTGGTCGTGAGAGTCGTGACAAAGGATAATAATTTATATATCGTGATAATTCAGGTTTCTTTAACACACTATAATTGCCTGACAGTAAAGAATGAACTGTTCTATGTAAATGTATTACAATTAAAAAACGTCTCATTATTTGAAACTAATAAAAAATCCATAGTTAATGATAAACTATACGATAAATGATAATGATAAACGTATGGATAAAAACTACAAACGATTTAATTTCAAAGTTCTTCCTTGAAAGATAACGATATTATGCATAGGGTTGGTAATTAAATTAATCTGCTAGATACCAGTGTGAGAGCCTACCGTGTGCTAGATAAAATTAAGGAACAATACTCGCAGGAAATATGAAGAACGAATTCGTAACACTTAACCATATACAAACCCATGTAATAACGTATGGTGATCCTTTCAATTGCAATGGAAAAGATGTAATTGTCTGTATTACTGGAAACCCAGGTATACCCGATTTTTATATAGAATTTGCTGATGAATTACATAAATCCACTGGGCTGCCCTTGTGCATCATTGGTAAGTTAATATTTTGGATGTTTAAATGAGTATTTATTTTATATTATAATTTTGACCATTATTATATTCTTTTAATCACTCTCTTGTCAATAAAAAGATCAAATACTCTTTGTATGTTTCATGATTTGACTTGATTTAATATATACTTTTTGATATTTCAGGACATGCTGGTCATGATGTGGTTCCAGATGAAGCATCCTCTATTTTAAAAGGTCAAGAGCATCTGTTTGACCTTGATGGTCAAATAAAACATAAGCTTCAATTAATCGATAGTTATGTAGATAAGCAAAGCAAATTACACTTAATTGGCCATTCAATTGGAAGCTGGTTGATTTTAGAATTGCTAAAAGATAATGAAAATTTAACCATGAGACTAAAGTCTGTTAATCTTTTATTCCCAACATTGCAGAAAATGGCTGAAACCCGAAATGGAAAGTTTTTAAATGGCTTTCTTAGAAACCTCCATAATTTTGTATTACTTTTGTTTGTCTTGGTACATTTACTACCTAGTGTTATTGTAAAATTTTTAATAGCCATCTACTTAAAAGTGTATGCATTGCCTTCACACTATTCAGAATATATTTTAAAGTTTTTAAATCCAAATGTTGGGGAAAAGGTATTATTTTTAGCTTATAATGAAATGGACAGAGTAAAAAGTTTAAATGTTGAAGCAATTAACAAAATAAAGCATTTAACCAATGTCATTTATAGTAAAACAGATAATTGGGCTCCTATCTCATATATGGAAGACCTATACAAATATCAACCAGAACTAACAATGAAACAAGTAGACATTGACCATGCATTTGTTTTGAAATCATCAGAAACAACTGCAGAAATGGTGATGCAATTTATAAAGACAAAATTATAATTACTGTTTTACAGTTAGACCAATCAACTCGAGTAAATTCAAATACCAAAAATAACTTATCACACCCTTTCCAAATATGTTTAATAGATAATAATTGTATATGCAGCAGTTATACTGCTTGCCAGTGCTTGCATGTAATATGAATGTATTTGTTTAGCCTTCTATTTTTAAGATTATGGGAGGAAGTTATTTCCAATTTCTTTGAAAATAAGTGAGTTTAAAAGTAGATATCTATGTCAGTTCTAAATACAAACAGTAATCCTATTTCAGATGGGACAATATTGACATGTAAAATAGCTTCTAGGTATTATGTAGAACCTTTTACTAAATTGATGACTTATTTATTTTTATTTATTTATTTATTTGTTCATGTACACACAGTACTTATTCTGCAATTTGCTCCAACATGCAGATGCATGTACAAATTAAAACAGTTTGCCTTTATCATGACATGACATATTATTATTCAAATAATTATACATAATTTTAACCTGCAATTGTTGGCTCCTATAAAATATTCTGTAGTTTTAAGTTATAAGTGGTGATGAAATCTTGTTAAGGTTATTTTTTTTTTTAAATATTCAACTTTGAATGTTAATTTATATTTCTCACTAGCTAATCATTCCAGTAACAATGGCTAGCTACAAATTATGTAGATATTATGGTATAAAAAAATGTGAAGAATGGAATAAATAAATAATTTAAATCATACCTATCGAGGTTTTATTTGCTTCAAAATTTTGTAATGGAATGTTTTTTTATTATTTCTATGAATCAACATTTGCAGACTAATAGATATTCCAATTACGCCTCAAAAGTCAAATTCAATTACGTCGTTGCATCGTATAAATATAGTAGGTAGGTACCTACAAACCTACATACACATCAAACATAAAATTTTGCAGTAATCGAGGCTTTCCAAATAGCTCATTCATATTAAGTCCATCACATGTAGGTAAGGCCTATGTTCTACCTCTCACATCACCAGAAAAAAGTTAGTCGTAATTCAAATATTTGCATTAGGTAAGTATTATTGTGTAGGATGAGCAAAATTTTATTAAAAACTAACTCATCTATAGTTCAGTAACTAAAAACAATCATGTGTCCTAAATAATAGACAAAATATTTTAGATATGTGCAATTTAATTAGTTTATTAAAAAGTAATTTACCTCTTATTTTACAATTTAGAGATAACATTCATTAATCATAATATAGCTGTCGAGACCAAATAAACAACTTCACTGTATATCGTCGGTATATTATTACTATGATGTGGTTATGTTTTGCATGTTTGCTGTTGATCATATCTCCAACCATGAGGCGTGAAAAATTGGTCAACCGCCTACATCAGCATTAGCGTGACCGCTAACATTTTATATCATTTGGTAAAGTACATCAAGTTAAAATCATTAGCCAACTGGCATTCTCTAGTATAAAGTTATTACGTTGATACATAGAAGTGACCTGCTAGACTCGTACTGAAAAATTTTACTGTCAAAGAAATAACTGGTGGGTAGCTTCATAATATATTGGATATAGATGGGCGCAGTTATGTGGTAACATAAAATGTGAAATTACATTTGGGCCCCAGATAAGCTCCCCATAACTACTTACATCATTCTAAAATGTATATTTTTAGAATGTTATAAGTTATTTTTTGCTACCTACAATACATTTACATGATTATCTATATCTATAATCCGTGTGATTTAACAGATTCCGTACAGTTCTAATAACATTCCAGATTGAATTAACTTCATTTACCCAGTGCATTCATGTATATTTATCAAGCTTTATCAAATGTGTATTGCTTGCTTGATAAATTCTAAGTACAAATAATTATTAATATCTCCGACCGTGTTTATTTGACCCAAGACTTCCAATGTCAATCGCAGAAAGGCTAATACTATAGTCAGAATTTTAATTCGATTCCAGATTTGACGTTAGCTGCTGTCATTTTGTGAAATAGTGATACCACATATAATAGTGTAGTGATGAACACAAAAATCGATAAACAATCAGTGTGAGTGTTTTATAATAAATGTTACAGAAAGTGACAGGATAGCGATAGCGATGACGGCGACAAATTAGAAAATAACTCATTACCATAATACATCTATCTGTTTTATTTGTCATATTCCTTCATGATCACATTTTTTTATGTATTTCACACACAATTATAAAAGACAAGTCTCAGTTCGTTATTTAATCGTCAAAACTAAGTTATCGGTTCAGAAATATTCAATTTCCTGATATACATAGTTTACGAGAGTAAAATTATAAACGAGATGAATCGATCCAGAAATATTCCATTTCCATATCGAATAATTTCGCAACGTCACTATTTAGTACTTGTCATAACGTTGCAACACTGAAATTGTCAAATCTGGAATCGAATTAAAATTCCGAGTATAGGTATATAATGGCTTAATAACCGATATTTAAAATGTTAAAATATACATATATAGTTTTATAACATTTTGGCATTCCAACATTAGAAACAAAGCAAAAAATTGGTAATAACTACATATCAGATCACAATTACTTGTTTGGTCACAATTTGTCCTTCAGAAGGTAAAACCTTTTCATGGACATCGGCACTTCAACTATAGAAGTAGATGTGTAAATCTAAGTGAGATTAATTTGAATTGAGTAATGCATCGTTACTTATTTGTATATGCCTCTTTTGGCTGATTTCACGTAGATATAAGTAAATCCAGCTCAAACTATGTCTAAAATATTAAGTACTGAGTTTTTACATTAAAACAAATAGGTACTTTCTTAGTGAAAAAAGCATCCGCTTTTTACTTACCTGTTTTATATCCATAAAACAAGTAAGTAAAATGTATTTATATATGTCGATAATGAGAGTGCAAAATTGGAAATGTAGGCAGGTACCTCTGCCTGTCGTATTTTTGTTATCAGCGCTATTATTCCACATGAGTATGCATGCACTATACAACCAATTAGATATATGCATGTAAGATGTCTAGGTACCTACGTTATATAAAATGATCACAGTTCCGACAGTTCACAACATTATCAATTACTATTTTATAATGTGAGCGATTTCTTTATAAAGTTCAAAAGACGGCAAGTAAAACAGTATTAGCTAAGAGATTACAATCCTTATAAGCTTTTCACCAGTAGATTAAAGGAAATGCCAGAGAATAAAAAACATTTGTAGAAGTTACCGGTTTTCAGTCTATAGTGTTGATAACTCTCTATAGTATTGATAACTACATTGGTATTTTATTATAGTTTTGTAATTTATAGCTATATTTATTTTTGTGAACCATAGATTAGTACCTATGATCATTAATTTATGCATAATGAAGATTTCAATAAATTATGGTTAAAATAGACTTTTTTAAACAAAAAGATTTATTTCATAATAATTAAATATATTTTAATTAAAAACGTACTCTCACTTATATATAAAATAAATTCATCTAGAATCCATTCAACAAGTACGCATCAATTAAAATTGACGAATAAAATAAAATGGTACTAAAAATAATAATAAATTTATAAAAAAAATCAGTATAAACAAAGTGAGAAGATGATGCCCACATTATAAAATATTTAATCCATTGACTTAAAATTTGGTAAGAAACAAAAATGGCATGCTTACATCATTACAGCCCACTTTTATTTTACAATGTTTTTATTTTACTTATAATTTGAAATCAGATATTATGTTAGTAGTGTTTTCTATAAATTGCTCTTGGCCTATATTATTGGAACGTGGAAGTACCTACTGTCTAATAATTAATTCTTTCGTATAGAGATTGATACAATGACGTCAATACGCTTCAAATCATAAAGAGACCAATACATTAAGTGCGCCAATGAGAATGAATAAGCTATTAATGGATGACGATTTATTATTGTAGCTGTTTCATTGAGACTTGCATCGATATGACTGTATATTTTTAAACACCGTATGATGGAACCCTATTACTCACTAAACTTATAATTTAAACCGTATCTCCGCGTGTCACAAGACTCAGTCTTAGCAACGATTTATAGACATGAAGACCAATAAAATGACAAAAATTAACCTAAACGATAATTATAACTAAACATTACAATACATAAAATGTTGGAGAATGTGTGTGTGCAAATAGTCCAGGTCTAGGCACAACCGGTCTCAGAAAGTCAACTAACTGTTCAGCTGTCTCTTGTAACGTGATTGGTTGTTAAGTATTTCGGTCATCCAATCACAAGAATTAACATTAATTCGACTATCAAATAAAAACCTTGGATACCTACATTAACGGGGCGCTGGTAGCTTCGGTATTTAAATGTTTACAGTTTCAATAGGTGCATGCGATAAGGAAGGTACCCAGTCAATAGTATAAAACCGTTAAACGTTTTCTAAAACTAATATTACTGAGGATAACATTTTCTTTTTTCGTTGACACATACCGTGTTCAGGCAACACATTCAGTCACAAAACAAATTATAAACTTCTAATTTGAAACATCGATTAGCTCATAATGGCTAATCAATCATATTCAAGTTGTTAATGGTAAAGAACATAAGAAAGCATTTTGGAATCTAATACGAAACAGTGAATTTAATTTTAAAATTTGTTTGTGGAATGTATGACAGAAACTGACCATGCCTATCAAATTGATTTAATTTCCCAATAAAGTATTTTATTCGTATTACAATCAGATTTTGACATTACAACTATAAATATGTTTACTTCATACCTAAAAATATTTACATTTTATGGAAGATGCATGGATAGGTTTAATATGTAAGAGAACTACTATGGTATTGTGCGTTAACATTTTGGTGTTCAATACAGAATAAAAAGAACATTATAGGAACTGGATCAATCAATTTAAACGATCAAAAGTTGAATTACAAAATCAAAATTTTAAATACTTTTCAATGATGCAGAATTTCTAATTACGCACAACCTCCCGAAGTAAAAGATAATTATACAATATTCATGAAAAACATTCATATTTTATCATATTATCATAACACGAGCATACTTTTATATTTATCAAATATTAATATACAGTACAATAATAAATTTTGAAATCTTATTTACTAAAGGGATACAAAATTCGCACTAATAATACTCATACATCAAAAAGGGACAACACACACCGTACACAAAACGATTCCTCCCAGACGCCAAGCGTGACGCGGCGTTGCAGGCGGGATCCTCGTGTCGCACTATCGTCGTCCACCACCTCAGCATGTCGTCTCCAAAAGCGGGTCAGCGAGCTTTTTCACTCGATCTCCGTCGATCGAAGTGCATATCATCTTCTGCGAGGCAGACTTGTAAAGACGTCGCGGCCGATCCTCATCGTCGGACAGAGTGCGTGGAGGAGCGCGTGGTCGCAGCCGAGCGGGCGAGGGCCGCGGCGAGCGCCCGTCGCACGTGCACTGCGCGCCCAGCGAGCGCGCCGCTCTCGCGTGCCGCGCCCAGCCCGTGCGCCAGCACTCGCAGCTCTCGTTGCCGCACGTCTCGCACACTACAGGCGATCGACGCTCAAGCTTACCTCGTTTGAAAGTAGGCACCTCTCGTTTTTGTTCCGAGTCTGATACCGCTCGAGTTACATCTTCTCGTGATTTAGGTACATCACTATTTTTGTCAGGACGCAGAGTAGGATTCCTTACCCAAGGGTCGAGCGCACCACGACCTGCAGCACGACGACTACCAGATGCGTTCAAATCGACGTCACTCATTTTACGCCACGGGTTACCCAGGACGGTGACGGCATCGCTGCCAGATCGATCACGAGTGCGTAAGCGTGTTTCTGTGCCATCGTCGAGTGCAAGCGACGACGCATCGGGCGACGAGCGCTCGCTGCGCACGATGCGCGGCAGTAACACGGCCGGCGCAGTGGCGGGCACAGTAGCGGGCGCAGTAGCGGGCGCGGCCAGCACCGTGGCCGGGGACTGCGGCACATGCGACGGGGACGGCGCGGGAGAGGCGCGCGGACGTTCCGAATGAGACCGAGCTCGCGGCGTGTGGGTTCGACTGGCCGGAGTCACATCGCTAAGAGATCGTAAATGAATCCGCCTTCGAACGCATGTGGGCGAGTCTGTGTCAGTCACGTTAATGCTGATGTTATGAGCGACTGAGGGTTTCAGCTCGGTAGAACCTATTTCGTTATTGTCTGTTTTATTGTTTTCTTTATAATTGTGTGGACTCACAGAGCCGTTAGCGTTTGCTGAGTTTTTGTTGGGGCCGGCCCGGCTGGGCCCGGCCCCCGCTAGCTAGAGGAGTCTCTCTGTCGCTGAACTGGAGGTGCCGGAGCTCAGTGTCGATGCGGGATTTTGGTCGTCACCTAGAAACATTTTTGATAAGCAGATTTAGTGAATAGTCTACCTAATGGAAGTTAGTATGTACTCAGTAGTGGATATTTCTACATTTAAAGTTATTCACCTTGAGTTGTCTGGCCTGGGGCCGGCAGTCTTTGTCAGTTGAGCAATTCTACTGAAACAAAACGCTTCAGTCTTTCCAAATATTGGTTGAAAAGTTCAACATCATTATGTCCAGCACCCTGAAATTTAAAACAAATTATATAAGTATGACATACAAATAAGTTTCTCATATATAAAAAATGCAGTTTATATTTTACCTCCACCCATAGTGGTTCGACAGCACGGGGACAGCGTTCGTATATTGCTAGTCCGTGAGAAAAATCTATCACCTCATCTTCAGTTCCATGAATAACAAGAACAGGAGAGGTCACCTTGGGAATTTTGTCGATACTGCAAAGGAAATACATATAATGTAATCGCGTAACTATTTAATGTATCAAATGGTCATAATCATAATATGTCACATCAAATTTTTGTTTTGTTTTGCTTGTTTGTTTACCTTTCGGTAAGAAAAGTAGGTGACGTCGTTTATCTCATTGTCTCTTGGATATTGATCGTCGGCAGAGAAATGTAGATAAGTATTTGCAATTTTTATGGAAACGATAGCGAGTAAGGTAATTGCTTATGCTTACACAGTTGCGCAGTACAATATAGGTATGTTTCTCGCCCGCGCAACGGTTATGCAATGACATTCGTTTTCGAAATTCAGAGGCAAGCAACTGTATTTTCAAACATAACGTATGTTTAACTTTTACTTAGTCGGAACATTCCTATAAGTAATATTCTTTGATTAACTATGATTAATTGACACGTGATTCGAGTCTAGTTATCGATGTAACGACTGCGTATTACGCATGTACCTATCTAAAACATCTAGTATTTCAACGCTTTAGTGATTATTGAGGGCTTACTGCTGAATAAGTAAGCATTACAGTGAAAGCAAATTAGCAAACATGCTTTTATACCAACAGCCGCCAACAGGGCATGTTTCATGCTATTTAACTTTTACACAGTGGAATACCTGCAATTGTTATTGTGATGCATGATGTTAAAAGTTAATACATTTGTAATCTAATCTGGTTAAACACAAGTGAATGAAAGTCAAACAATGAATAAGTAGTGCTAAAGAGGTGGTAATAGCAGTAATAGTAAGAAGATTGTTGATATTGATAGAGGTGAACAATAAAACAATAAACAGACAACACTAATTAAATTAGGATACTTAAGATCAGAAATCCTTCTGCCCTTGTACTGATTAACCTCAATTTTAGCGACAGGTCGAAGTAAACGCCTGCTTATTGATTTGTAGAATTTGTAATTATTTAACATTTATCTAATTAACTTAAAAACAATATTATTTCTTAGCACCAAGACTTATCTATGTACTCACCCACCAACATGTACACAAATCCACCAAATCCAAATATTAAAAACCTGGAAGAAGGCTCTTTAAAATAGCAGAACATAAATCTGTTAAAAGAATGAACTCTTATACTTTTGTGGTAGTGGTAGGCTTTGGTGTCATTGATGGTAGAAAGTACACTGATACTGCTAGTTTGGTCTGAATCATTTGCGGCTTCATAAGTAACCGTTTTTTGTGTGACTACAGTTATACCCATTTCATTTTATTCAAAATAGATTATAGAATAAATAGATCCTTTTTTTCATAACTAGGAGTCCCTTTACCTTTCAATAAACAATGTTTTTATAATGTTAATAGTTTTAACAAACAGCAACAAACTAATTCATTACAGTTTGTTTTTAATCTATGTTTTTCATTACAAATTCATGAAAGCAGCTCAACTAAAAAGCAAATATCCTAATTACTTTGTTAATGACGTTATCTCTGATGCGTAGATATCAAGTAGAGTATGTATTATGAATAATGTTATCAAGCTGAAATCATGACCCGGCGGTACTGATAAAATACGGATTCTAGGCGAATACACAATATTTTGTTTCATATACAGTCATAATAGCTTGTAATGTTGTCTGTACACTAGAAAAACATTCATAATGTAATACAAAATATAGTCTCAACATTATAGTATGAAAAATACCTACAAGGTTTTAGTAGAAAATTTCACTTTTTACTAAGCCCAGTGACATACATTTACCCAACATCCTACATTCCATGAATATCTAAAGTAACTAAAATAAATTAGTATGTAAATACTATTAGTAGGTTAGAAGGAAATGTTTATGCCTTCTTTATTTTAAACCAAAATGTTAATTACAAGAGCAATGATAAGGGTGTGTTGAAATGAGAAAATATAAAACAATATTGATTAAATGAGTCACAACAAGGTCAAAATAACGAATTGGACATTAACAAGATAATTTGTTATATAACCTATTTACTTAATTAGTGGCAAACAGGTAAACTATGTATTGATTCCTTAAATCTAAATACAATTATTAACACAAGTATTTAAGTGTATTTATTTCCTTATAATATTCCAATGATTTTTCATAATACATTTTACTTTATTTTATAAGTACAATTCACAAAAAATTAAATTATGTAATTCGATAAGAAACAGAAAGAAATTATAAATATTGAAATCTTATTGGAGATGTTTATTCATCGCTGTTGTCGAAAATATAGCTACCATTGTACATTCCGTTGTTTATTTAATAAGAAATTATTTAAAATAAATAAAGAAAACTAAAAATTCTACCCACATATTCATTTTATAATAATAAGTCCATGAAAAATGATAACAAAATGTTTAATATTTGAATTGGACAGGCATACACACAATCCAATTAACATACATAACAATATGGCAACCAATGCTACATACTCATAATGAGTCACCATAACAAGTAACAACTACATATGAATAATGCATCCTGAACCATTAATAAAGGAATTTATTGGGTACTGACCTCGGGAAAGCATCAAAGAACCATGTTCTCTTAGTGTTGGGGAAGGCAACTCGCATTCCAGACATGAGAGGAGAGTGCAGCACAACAGCTCCCACCTCATAGCGAGCAGCCAGATCCACAGTAGGTACTGTTCCAATGCTTTGTCCATACAGTATTATATTCTCGGGGCTGATGCCGTACCGAGTCCGCAGCGCCTGCCACGCAGCATCAATATCCGCATACAAATTCTTCTCTGACGGTTTTCCACCACTCACACCATAACCAGAATAATCATAGCTGAATATATTACAGTTTATTCTAGTACCTAATCCTAAGTAGAAACTGCTCATTTGACCGAGATCTACGGCATTTCCATGTGAAAATAATATCGTAAAACGGGCATTTGGACTACATCGAACAAAGAGGCAAGCTATTCTGTTGCCTCTCGTGGTTCTCGAGTAAAAACCTTCGATATTTTCTTTTTCCCGTTCCGAATATTGCCATTCTGCTCGTTCAGTTAATGTCAATGAGAATTTCGATCCTGTCTCATCAGGTGTGAATGCATACGTAGGTTCAGGAGGCAGAAACGCGAGCTTAGCCGCGATTTTCCCCGGGCATGGTGGACAACAAAACAGGCAACAGAGTTCACTGAAACTTAACCCGTTCATGATGAATTTTAACTAATACTCATGAGAAAATTATTGAACACTATCCATTACAAAACCACAACTCACAAATTCCTATTCCTGATCATGGCGAAAATAAAAGATTTCACAAAATTGACAGATAGTCAACAGTTTCGTTCAGCCATGACGGCAATGTTGCCAACGCCATTAATTAATTTTGATTTATTATCATCACACAAAATTATTTTCATGATCAATATTTTTAAAACCACAAGTCTAACTTGAGTGTAGCTTTTTATCTCAAAGATTTGTTGATACTTTCGGAATATTTTATACACTTGATATTGCAAGCACAAATCAAATAATTATCTTAAAAAGATTAGCAAAGTTTAGCTCACACTTGCCGAATACATCTATTGTAAACGGCTCGTCATCTGATACAACATGACAACCCAGAATCTGCTTAGTATGTAAACAAAATAAAGTACTTATTATGTAGGTATTATATAAATAACAAACTTTTAAATAAGTAGTTGCACTGACGCAGTTGACACTTGACAGTTATTTATGATAGATTGCAAGGTTGTTGCAGTGGCTGGGTGAATATGTAGGTATGTACATAATATACTCTCTGCTTATGTGACCGGCTGGTGTACCGAGTGTCGCGGATTCGAATCCCGGACAAAAAGTGTAAATGATTTTTTTCAGCTTAGAACCTGAAAATTTTGTGATGGTGTTTGAATCCCGTACCATACAAATAAGCAAGTGATATTAAGAAGCCTCTTTTGATAAAAATAGACATTGAACAACCATTTCCATTCCTGGGTCAGGCAGAATATTGTTAGTTTCCAATTTTTCTCAGAAATAGGTGGTATTTTTTATGGGAGAAAATCATGCTGCTGTTCTTTTGTGGAATGCACTGCCCAAGGAGATCAGAATGGCAACAAATCATACCTCTTTTAAATTTAAAGTGAGCGAGCATTTATTTAAGCATTGGCAGACTCAAAACAATTGAGGTAACTATTTTGACAAAGTTTTGTACAATGTATTGTAATATCTAAGTAGGTAGTAGGTATAAGTATTAAGTATTAGTTTAGCATTATAGGTACAGGTGACTACAAGTCACCCCGTACTTGACGTATTTCTCTCGGGAGGTAATAATACAACAACTTTTTCCTACAAAATTAGCCCTGAGGTCTCTGGTCCGAAAGTGGCTAGTTCCTGAGATATTCAACATTTTCGGTTTTGGTGAAAAAATCCCGATCGAACTACAAAAACATCAGTAAATAAAAAACTATGTACCTACTGGTTTGATTTAAGTAATTTTTGTTTTAATTTGTTGTCAATACATCGAACATTTATTAATACTAATACTTTCAGAAACATTTTTCGTTTCAAAATAGCAAGTAAATTAGTATCAAATTTTGTTTTGAGTCGAGAGTCAGAGGGACAACTGCCTATGTTACACTGAGCTTACAAACTATTAGACAAACTTCCTTGGTTTGAGTATTCGCTACCCAAATCCAAAAAAATATTTAAAAATTTCTCAAAACTGAATTAACAACTTGATGATAAGTTAAGTATAAGGGAAAACGGGCAATTTCAAAAACATTATTATTTACAAACGGTCGAAGTAACCTTCTCTATGATGAATACATAGGGTGCATCATGTACATCATGTACACCTCTGTGACGGTTCTATATCTATTGAACTGAATGAGCGTTTTATTTTAAACCCGTAGTTTTTTATTTAATGATGTTTTTGTAATTCGATCGGGATTTTTTCTACTAAAACTAGCTTTTTTTATTGGTATATTTTTATTGCTCGTTTACCGGCAGACGAGCAGACGGATCACCTGATGGTAAGCAATCGGCGTCGCCCATGGACATTCGGACCAGACACCTCAGGGCTAATTTTGCATGAAATTAGTCCTCCGTCGAGTTACAAGTCTGTTTCACTGTTATCTTTCGTGAAGAAGCGAAATAAATAAATAAAATCATCGAATGAGTTCTCCCGCCTAGGTGAGGCAAGAGGGAGTGTCAGACTCTCACTGACTAAAAACCGCCGCGTTCCTACACCTGCCGTTCGAGCCGGAGTTCCGGCAACTCGTTAAGTCCTCCGCGTGGCGGTCTGATGGCTCTTTCGAGGTACGCGCGGAACGCGACGTGCCGTACGCTCGGGTCTGCTTCTGGTCGGGCGGCGAGCTACCCATGCTCGCCGTTTGCAAGCCCGTGCTTATGGTGGCCGGAGATCGTCCCGCGATCCCCAACGCCCGAAGTGTCCTTCGCTACGACTGGGTTGTGAGGAGGCAGCTAGGCTCCTTAGCTAGCATGACTGCTTCGCAAAAGGAGTAGACGGCATCCAAGTCCTCCACGCTCCGCATCATGGCCCCAGGCCCGCCGCTAGCTATTAAAGTGCCGGCGTCCAACAACCGATTATGCCGCTCTCCTTTCTTTGGGTGGGTAAAAAATCATCAAATGACTCTTACAACTCTTACTAACTAAAAAACCTCCTCATTCCTTTCAACACTTGCTCAAAGTCTGGGCCTCAGTACCCATATGACAACCTACCCTCCAGCAAGGCAACAATCATGGTGGGCGCCGTCTATAGTGGTCTGATGGCATTTTATGCAACGCGACGTACGCTCGGGTCTGGTACTAGTCAGGTGGTGAGCTATCCTTGCTTGCCGTCCGCAGACTTGCACTTACGGTGGCTAGAGATCCCGACAACGCGATACTACACCCAATGCGTATCCTGCTACCTCTCGAAAATGATAAAGGATATTCGATAGAATTCGAGTAACTCTAGAAAGTAATTGAGGAGGCTCGGTAGATTTCGACTAACTCTTGAAAGTGATCGAGAACGTTCGATGGTATTCGAGGACGCTCGAAAGTTTTTGAGAAACAGTCTAAAGTGATCAAAGACGCTCCATCGTTTGCAGTAACGCTCGATAGACTTCGAATTTAGGACCAGTAAAGGGCGTCAAGAAGTAAGCTCATAAGGATTTTTGTATCGGATTTGGAGCGCCATCAACCAGAGGGCTTACTCTTGAATCCAATTCCGATCGATCGACATTGATATTATGAAATTACGAACTCTTGAGTAACAACACTACCGCCCATTGCATTCGTATTGCGTGGATATTGAATGAACTAAATGGTACTGAGTTTGGCTCTATGTTCCGTACTCTTAAATGCTATTTTATTTACCAGCTACGATTGGGGTTGTATAGGTTTGACATTGAATAATTATTGAGATTTTATTGGATTAAAATTGCATTGACATTGAGATTGGTTTCAAGAGTAAGCACACAGGAGTGGGCGGCGGGTAATTCTCCTTATTAAAATACTTGTATACAATTTGGGGCACCCCCAACTGGTATACTACTCTGTCAAGAAACATAACATAACATCACGCTTTTTTATCCCCGAAAGGGGTAGGCAGAAGTGCACATTTCGGCACCTAATGCCACTGTACAATGTAACACCCAGTTTTCACTATTTATGTTGTGAGTCCCATGTAATAGGGGGTGAGCCTATTGCCATATACCGGGCACAATTCCAAACTCCGTGATATTACTGAATTTTTTAAAAAAAACCCAGTAACACTTTGCACGGCCCGCGAATCGAACCCGAGATTCCTTGCCCGGCAGTCGCACTTGCGACCACTCGGCAAACGAGGCAGTCTGTCAAGAAACTACCGGGAAAAGATCAATAGGTAATACACAAAATGTCCGTTATTCATCCAAATTTATTTTATCACCTTCAAAGCATGCTCCTTTAGAAACGATACACTTGCGCTAACGAATAATCCATTCATCAAAACATTTTATAGACGCTGCTTCCGGAATTGAGTTCAGTTCTTGTCGCGAATTCTCTTTATGTCTTCTATCGGTTGAAAACGGGTGCCACGAAATGGTAATTTGAGTTTAGGAAAAAGAAAAAGTCAGCAGGTGCCATACCTGGTGAATATGGTGGTTGCTGGATGGTATTTGTTGAATGTATGTGGGTAGGTAGAGGTTCGTACTCGAGGTGACTTACTGTTTCACTTAGTTGAGAGCACTAGTTGACTGTCAAGCAAGAGGTTTAGAGTTCTATAGGTTGGGTCTTGGGCATAAAAATTTTTTTTACAGTAAAATCTGTGTAAAACGTAATAGGCACACCACTCATGCTCATAACACACCAGTGAAAAGACAATGTGACATTGAATAATTATATATGAACGGCTGCTTGCCCTTCTGAGACTAAAATTGCGTTGTGACATGCTTTGGATTAGAACAAAAATAATGAAACAATTGTTTAAATAAAAATGTATTTAAAGGAATTAGACAGGTTTATTACATGTTTTATAGTATGAGTACCTAGTGTATAAATATTATTTTAGTCTTTATTCTTAGTAAAGTTTTAGTTGGTAGATAATAACCCGAAATAACCATTATAAACTAAGTATAGGTAAACATTGTATTTACTGTATTTAGTTACTTGCTCACTTAGGAATAAAGACTATATTTTTGTAATTAATATGACAAGTCCAAATACTTAGGATATAATTATGAGACGAATTTCAGACCATTTTATGATAGGTAGAGTACCAATTTATAACTTAGGTACGTTACTATACGCACAGCTGGAAGGACCATCAATAGGCAGAGCCGTAATATCCTAATGGCAAACTAGGTAAATGCTTAAGGTGCCAGTTTGCAGATAGCGCGGGCCCAACTGCCCATAGTGACGCCAAAAATAATTAGGGACGCCTATAAAGTGCTTGCTAGCGTGGTGATTAATGCTCAAACCTTCTCCGTGTGAGAAGAGGCTTTGCTCAGCAGTGGGCACTTATAAACTATTGATGATGAGGTCTTGCCTATGCCTGAATGTTTATAATAGAATATTTAGATAATCTGTCGCATCAGTCCAAGTCATTCTAAAGTTTTGAGCTTAATAAACCATATAAATTAATAAATTATTATTTACTATCATACATAAGTGTCAGTAATTTCTTTAAAATTTACTCCTTACTTAAATCACATAAAACAATTCTAATAAATTCAATTCAAATAATGTTTGTTCATAGCCACAATGGCTTTAGGTCCCATGAAATAAATAAATTAGCCTGCATAATTATTGTCCAATTGACGATCAGATCATTTATTAATTTAATTTCTTATTCCCCATTTCTTTATTTCTTATAAGGCCACAAGTTATCCCTGACCAGATGCTGATTTCAGCTGTGCCTTAAGTAACTGTTAAAATAATGAAATGAAGATGGTCTGCATTGTGGTGTTTACGTTATTGCCAACTCTTTGTCTTCTCTCCCATTATACTAGCACCAGATCCACGTCTTTGTTTGTATGAATACTTAAAATTTAAATAATCAAAACATTTATTCTGATTTGTTATACATAGATACATAGGGGACTAGCAGTAGAAATGGGAAAGCTGATCGATATGGGTTACGCATTTTTTTTTTACATTAATGACATACCTACTTACAAGAAATCAAGAATGAGCTACAATGTTGGCGAATAAAAATAATAATAAATGACCAAATGACTACTTATACAAAATAAGTCAACATGTATGCTACATAACATCAGACCAATATACGGAATCACTTCTTGTGCAAGAGACGTTTTAATTCACCTGTGAGAAAAGAAACTGATTAACAGATTATAGTTAGTATTCTAGGCATTTTAGAGTTGAAATCTAAATGAATTTTAACATTAAACTATGTAAGGAATGGCTATAAAAAGAATGGTACAACCAAACGGTACAACCTATTAATTTCATTTTGTTATTATGTCTTAAATTATTAATATATTACATCGTTAATACTTATAGAATTATCCCTAACAAAATTTCGCAAAGGAAATAGGAAGAAATCTTTCCCTCTAAGTAATATAAATTTTGTAAGTATGATGAACAATACTAGTTTAAAATAAATGCATTTTGGAATAATAATTTGATACAATAAGGACAAAACGTAAACGCAACATGTGTTGATGCATTGATTATTTTTTTACTGTATAATAAAGTTAATTTATACAAATATAAAACCTTCATAATTAGGACAAATTGAACGAGGGTTAATTAAATAAAAACGTTTCTATAGGTATCAAATAAAAATACAGTCAATAATTAAACGATTCATGACTTTGGCTAGTCAGTACAGAGATTTTAAAATTCATTAGTAGTTTCAGACTACTGGACTGGATAAGGCAAGTTTTTTTTTTATAATTTAGCACACATAAGCCTGCCACTTAACGACCAGTCTCACAGTCTCAATAACATAGATGACACTAGATTTCGCTACAAGATAAGCCCTAATTTCTATCTCAACAAGCCGGAGCCACCGACATAATATTATAATTATATAATTTGTAACTTTGTCATGGACTTTTAAACCGGCAGTCAAAGAGTACTTCGTCGTTAGGCCGATTGCAGTGCAAAATATATCTATTTAAAGAATACAATACCTACTTTACGCATCTAGCTAAATATTGTAGAAATAATTTCAGTGTGTTTTCATAGCAGCCATGTTAATGAAATAAAATGTGATATTATAGTTATTATGCTATTTAATTATTATTGAGACATTATATCACAGAAAGGATTGCTGAATGATGTATAGAATATAATATAATATGTATAGTCCAATCTTAAGAATTATCAGAACCTAATTATAAAGAAATAGGCATCATGAAATTATTTACTTGTTTTAGTATAAACTTAAATTGTCATGTCAATCTAATGTTAATATAAACATAGGCAATAGTTAAATATTCGTCATAAATCTTCACATAAGTTAAGGGCGAATACTTCAAATTTATATACTACCTGCCGGTAGCATTGTTTCAAGATCAATGTGGTGTGTACCTTTCTTTCGGTACCCAAAACTCCAGTGCCGAGTCACATGTGCCAACCACTAACACACCATTCAAATATCGTAACTGAAAATAGGATAACATAAAATTATTCAAACAGGAGAGGTAACATGGAATGTGACACTGACTCACACAATGAATGAAACTTAGACTAGTAAAGTCTAATTAAGAATTCAGAAAATAAGTTTTATTCATAAAACAAAATGGTTACCTGGGTCACATCAAATGTACTACTCTTCACATTTGTGTACTCTAGTGGTGGATAGCAGTTATACATGAATTTGATTTCTCCTCTGTCTGAACACACAATCATATTGCCAGAACTCTGATAGCAGCCTGTTATCTTACTAGACGGCTTAATTATGGGAGGCTCTGGCCATATTTCATGTGTTCTTATATATGTGTGGTCTTCAGGGTTAAAAAGATGCAAACAGCCTTTGGAATCCCCAACATACAAGGCAGATGGGCTCCAACTAATACACACTGGATAAGCTTTATCAGTAGGTATCTTCACATCACTCAATAAGAGTTTACCAGCAACTCTATCCCACACAGCCATGGTCTTATCTTCACTTAATGATGCAATCATATTATTGAATGTTTGCAGAGCCAAAACTGGTCCCTTGTGTGGTTTGTAAGCGTAGGTTGGACTTGGGCCAGCACGCAAGTCAAATGACAGAATTTTTTTGGAGTATAATCCTGCAATTACTTCATTACCAACAGTAGCAACGGATAATGCTGACATGCCACACCTGAAATATGTTTTATTACATTACTATTATTTGTTTTTGGAACTGATCTATAATGAGTTTAGATAGAAATTTACCGGAATGACTGTTTGCATTCAAATCCAGCCTCAAGATCCCATGCTTTCACAGTGTTATCCCATGAAGCAGAGTATATAGTTGAAGCAGAGTTTATATTATCTGCAGCCAGGTCCCAGACCCAGCCAGCATGAGCATCATGCCTGATTTGTTTTGGTTTGGCGTCCGTAAAGGTGGTGACATTGTCACTCTCATCATGAGGACTAATTTCCAGGACATTCCATAACGCCATTCCTCGGTCCCTACCACCTGATATACAAATTTCGCCATTCTAAAAAGTAGGATCAGCATGAGAGGACGAAAGTCAGACTCAGTAGTTATATACATTTAAGTTCATTCCAAATCATTTGTTTGCAAATTATTAGTACTTACATTAACTAGTAGAACAGTATCCACAGAAGCAAAATGAACATCCTTCACCACTATGTGTCTTGTTGTCTCTTTAACATTAGTCCATTTCTTCATCTCCACATCCATTTCAACACAAACTGCTTCCCAGTCTATTTGTGTTTCATCCCATATTTTCAACAGAGGCAATGTTGGGAAACAACCATTAGTTTTACTGTGCACCCAGTATTTCCATAAGTGATCATCTGCCAATATGTCCTCAAATCGCTGACATACTTTACTCAATGTATATTTTAAAAAATGTGCATCCAGGCATGAGCATATTTTCAAAATTATCTGTAATAATATATTAAAGGGTATGTTTATTACTACAGGACTAGTTTCTTTAAGATGATTAATATATCATTTAGACACAAAATATTTATGACTAAATGCCTTACCTCAACTGGCATATCCATCAGTGATGGCTTACTGCTGTCATACATACTGCAACTCTCTGTATTTGTTTCCAGCTCATTTTCAATTTCTTTCAGTTCTTCTTTAACTGACTCAAATATTTCAGACATGGTAACTGAGCTTGCCAGTCAGTGAAATCTGTAAATATTTTCAATATTAAAAGAATTAACTGATAACTGACTAAATTAGAATTTTGGCATGTAAAAACATGTATGAGATTTTCTAGTAAAATTATTTTTCCCTCATGACTCATATGGCTCAGAAAGTAAATAAGGCTTTTAGTCCTTTGTTTGACCTCTGAATGTTGCATATGTGTTGTATAAAAGTCACTGTACTGTGGCCTAGCCTTATTGAGATCTGACATTTAAAGTTAAATTAGACCCACATTTATTACAATTAGACCAATCAGACACTGGCAAGTCAATAAACCAAATAAATTATAATTTTTGCATTAATTTTAATGATTACTAAATATTTGATGTTGTTCTAGGAGAAAAACTTCAACAGTGATAATAAACCTTGGTGATGATGTCAAGGGAAATAATAAAGTAACACTAACATATTTTTAAAGGTCTATTTAGAGTAAATTATATCAACAATCAATCTAATTTTATTTACAATATACAATCTAGTCGGATGATGATACCAATTGCCCATTTTGGTATAATATTCAGACAGAGTCAGGAAGACACCTTTGTTTTAATAGCGTCTATTTATAATCATTATCACTTCACATCTTTTCGTAACTATTTTGATATTTTAAAACTATACATAGATAACTAAGTGTATTTGAAACTCAAAAAAATAACAATAACAATAATTAACTACAAAAAACATATGTTTCATTATTGAGTAAATCTCAGTTGATTTAAATTTTAATTAAGATGGTAGTTTTGACACCATTACCGTTTTTTATTAATATACACGTTTCCTCTCCAGGTTCTGTTGCCCCAAATTTTAACTTTATCATGAACCCACGTACCACTGTGTACTATTTTGGTAAAATTTTAAAACAAAACAGAAAAAAATACAAGTCACACAAAGCTGATGAACTGTCAAATTTTATGTACCTTTCAATTTCATTGGGTAATATTTTAAAAATTGGGTACTAGTATTTCTGGACATATACAATTTTGTTTTTTAGTTTTTATTAAAGTATAATATTGCAGTATTTAAAGATTGCACTACCCTTATCAATAAAGTAAACTTATCACTTTACAGCAAGGACATACGTCGACCGCATTTTCATAACTCACCATTCTGTAAAGGCGGCCACACACGCTAGGGTTTGCAAGATGGATAATATAATATACTTATATCTTTGCATGCACCATTTTGCCACGAACTCTCAGTTGAGGAAGCTACGTACGTCTACGTAGTACATGACGGTTGGTGTAGGATGCTAATATTAATCAAACTATTGAGAAAATAAAAAAACTGTGGCAGGCAAGCTCGCTGGACGCCACACACGCTCGATTATGCTCGCGCGCAAACATAACCGAGCGGCATAAAATATGAATTTTAATATTTGGTCGGTTACATGTACATGCACCGATAACACACATACAAGCTAGGGCTTGTCTATCGGTTATGCATGCACGGCTAAAAACATCATGCAAAACCTAGCGTGTATCGCCTCCTTTACTTTACATCACGTCGCGACATGTCAAAACTAGCCACTACTACTCACTAGACAAGTGACACTGACAGAATCAGATCAGACAGACAAATAAATTATATTTCACTTTCACAGTAATTCACAGTTTCACACACTATTTTTCTAAACAGCGTGTACTATTTCATGAAATCGTGATATTTTAGAAAATTATTAATTAATTGAATTAATACCAGTCGTGAAAAAGATAGTATGCACTAACAAGCAGATAAACTTGAATGGGATGGAAGAATAAGAAATACAAAAGAATTAAATTCCCTTTTGTAAACAAGTAAGTAAAACACATTCAAGCCGCTAAATTATCTCATTTTTATAAGAAATAACCATTGAATAATTTTATTACACGAAGAATTGAACCTGTGAAGTTTTGAGAAAACGAAGTACTAAAAATAACTTTAAAAATGGAGTTAGAGAATGATCTAACCAGTAAGTTCTTGAGTGGTGAAATGTCTTTTGCTGAATATTCCAATGAATGGTACAATATGGATGACGAAGAAGACATAGATGATGCAAGCAAAAGAAATGACGATGAACCTTTTGCTTTGTCCGGAAAAGGCATGCAAAGGCGTCGTAAGTTTGCAAGGTTGCCACCAGGCCTTTTGGGGTTAATGGGCGAAGCAAATTTACGTTTTGTAAGAGGAGACAGAGACACAGCGGAGAAAATGTGTCATGAAATAATTAAGCAGTTTCCAACTGCCCCAGAGCCGTACCAAACTTTAGCACAATTATATGAGCATGATATTGAAAAATCACTACAGTTTTCCTTACTATCGGCTCATCTGAGTCCTCCAGATGCTGAAGAATGGCTAAGACTTGCTGCCATATTTAAACAAAGAGATGATTGCAGGCAAGAGATGATTTGCTACACACAAGCAATAGCAGATGACCCACATAATTTTGATAGTCATCTGAAAAGAATAGAACTTCTTGATAAACTAGAAGCCATAAATTTTCCAATTAATACTTTACATATCACAAAGCTCAAGTGTTATCATAAGATTGTAACTTCATTGCCGGCTTCTGAAGGAGAAACCATAATGAAATATGCCAAACTGGCTGTGACACAATATCATAATAATAATGAAATGGAGCGAGCACTTGCTGTGATGTCTTCAGCTTATAAAAAGTGCCCAACTTTGTTCAATTTAGAAGATCTCAATATATTTTTAGAGCTTCTCATAGGACAGAAGCAATTTCAAACATGTATTGAAATATTTGTTGCCAATGTTGGAGTTGAAATTGAAGCAGAAATACAAACTGTTAAAAATGCTGATGGAGATATAGAGGAGCAAACTAACTACTTGAATTGTACTATTCCTGATTCTTTGCCTATAGATTTAAAAAGTAAGCTGTTAGTCTGTTTCATACATCTTGGTGCTGTTAATTTAGTTCAAACTTTGTTAACTGACTTTTTAAACAATGATGTGGAAAATGCAGGAGACTTGTATATGGACATAGAAGAAGCACTTTCTTCAACTGGACAGCATGAATTAGCCATACAACTTTTAGAACCATTAGTGAAGAACAATAGCTTCGATCTTGGAGCAGTGTGGCTAAAGCATGCAGAATGTCTGTACATGCTCGGCAGAGAAACTGATGCTATTAATTCATTTTACAAAGTATTAATACATGCACCACAACATCCTGATGCTCGAAGAAAGTTATACTCCATACTAGAGAAGAAAGGGCGTATTGATGAAGCTTTGCAAATGTTAGAACAAGATTTTAGGTATGTAGTAAATGCCAATTTATTATATGAACAATGTTTGGCACTGAAAAAATATAAAAAATGGTTAAAGTATTTAGAGGTGGGTGAAGCTTTGCTCTCTAAAACATTTGTCAAGTTTAGACACCAAGATGAGTTAAATATAGCATGTAAGGTACGATGTGGAATTGACCTTATTCACAATTTCCGTACAATGCGAGGAGAAAGCCAATATCATGAAAATGATATTCACTTTGATGAAGATGAAACATTTAAATTTACACCACAGGAAGAATGGGACTTCTTTCTAGAAATGTTAAAAACTGCATGCCAACTTAAAAAATACTTTGTGATGCAAAGATTGACTTTTGGTGCAATGATGTCAAAGAGTTTATTTCCTCATCGACCAGATATTGAATTCTACTGCTTGCAAGCCTGTCTGTTAAGCAATGACAACCAAAATGCATTCCGTTTCATCAGAGAATTCTCTCAAAAGCATCCAAGTAACCGGTCATGGAACTTATTGAATCTTATTATTAATTTCATTGATAGGAATACACATTCAAAGTTCTTACTAAGACTATTCCAAAGAGATAGTACCAATTTCACTAAGAACTTATTTTTGGGGAATCACTTCCTAATTTCAGGGAGATACTTAGTGGCATTGAAGTACTACTTGGAATATCATGAAAGATGTGGTGACTCTTTGTCTGCATTTTTAATTGCCATTACTATTTTAGTGATGGCAGCACAAAGAACTGTGGACAAACATCACAACTTGATTCTCCAAGGAATGGCATATATGCAAACTTATCAGTCTTTAAGGAAATGTGACCAAGAAGCTAATTATAATATGGGAAGAGTGTATCAAATGTTAAGTATCAATAATCTTGCTATTGAGTATTATGAGAGGGCTCTTGCTTGTGACCATATTACGACATGTGAACAACATGGAGTTATTGATCTGAAGAGAGAAACAGCCTACAACTTGTATCTTCTTTATAAAGACCATTCGCCAGTCATGGCCAGAAAGTATTTGCTGAAATATCTTGTCGTGTAATATTCTGATATGAAAAATAAATGTTATTTATAATGAATATCTAAGTTTCAATTATAATACAACCCTTTTTATATTAGAGTAATATTTTTATGCTGATAAAATATTCGAAGCTTTGTATACTTAATCATTCATTTTTACGACTAATAAGTTAAGTAGCAACTAACTTATACGCCAGTAAATCAAGCTCCCCAAAACTACAACTAAAAGATTTTCGACTTTATATGAAAGCAATAAAGTTGAAAACTTAAGAAAGTTACAATTTGAGGAAGCTTGTTATGGTGGCTTCTGTACCAACAGCTATTTTTTGTTTGTTTTAGGGAGTCCATTTTATTATTTTGATCCCTATCATGGCCAATGAAGTGATTCCTGCAAATGAAATTAAATTTGAAAAGTTTTGTAGCATCTTAGAACAGCTGCATAAGAGGAAAAGGCAAAGACAAGAACAAGATAAAATATTGGGAAACTTTCTAAATGAATGTAAACTAAGTGCGTCACAAGTGGTAGGGAAAAAGGTAATGATTATTTATTATATAGAATATAAAAAAATCTAGTACTTTCTAGTGCTACCTTATTTGTAGGCCAGACGCGTGACCATTGAACTTTCCTTGTTTCATTTCGTATCGGGACGATAGAATAAGTTAGTTAGTGTCTTTTGAGTTTTTATTTTGTAAAGTTCAGTATTATAACGGCCATTTTCGTAATTATCTTTTTTTTTTAATTTGGCGCACATATTAGTTGTATAAATATCCACATTCGTTGGTTATGTTATCGTCTCTTGGTTTTCCGAACTCCCTGCTACTGCTGGAAATTTTCTGGAACCGAAAATACCAAAAATATTTTACTCTCTAACTCGACCAATGAGGCAGTCTGTTAATTAAGTAGGTAGTTTAGTTGCAAGGAGTGTGAAGTTTAATATTTATAGATGTAGGTGCCAAGCATTACATAAGTCTAAAATTATCGCAATAGGACCACAATCATTCACTGTAAGACTAAAGGGTAAAATGGTAGCTGAACATCTTACGTAGGTACCCTTAATAGGTGTTATCAAATATTTTAAATACAAATAATATGTATTTCCAGAATGCTACTTTATTCCCAATTCTAAGACTGCTGCTGCCAAAACTAGATAGTGAAAGGAGTGCTTATAATTTAAAAGAAAGCAAACTTGGCGTGTTACTTGTAAAAGTTCTATCACTTTGCAAACAATCTCGCGACGCGCAGAAGTTACTGAATTACAGATCAGTAAATAACTCTCAGGACAGCGATTTTCCTGGAGTTGCATACTTTGTTTTTAAAAGTAGAATGAAACCAAAATCTGAGGACATCACTGTTGGTGATATTAATGGCATCCTTGATAACATCGCCGCAGCTGAAGTTGGGATGAAGGCGTGTAAGTCTCTATATGATTTTATTTTGTTATTGCACTTATTGAGATAATTTGAACTACATGAATGGCGCAGTAGTTGATTTAGGTAGTTAATCATAATATATCGTCGTCTCATCATGTCGTCGTCCAAAGGTTACTGGGTTCGATTCCTGGCGTCATACACCAGACAGAATTTGATTCTCAACTCCGTGCTGATTAAGAATTTTTCAAAAAACTACATAGGTACATATATCTCAATTAGAATTGCCGTCTCGGAGATCAACCCCGAGACTTCTTGTTGGTCAGTCACACTTGCGAATCTTACGCCAACGAGGCAGCAATCAAAACCTATCTTCCTATCTATACTAGGCAGGTTTTATTTTGACTTATTTCATATTTTCAGCGGTTCTCGATGAAACGTTCAGCCAAGTTATAAATAAAGTGACTGCAGACCAGATGAAGTGGTTCCTCAGACTGATACTCAAAGAGCTCAAATTGGAAATGGGGAGTAATCGCATATTGGCTCTATTTCACCCTGACGCTCCCGAATATTATGAAACCTGTGGCCTATTGTCCAAGGTTAGTCGACGACGCCAATCATTATTATTCTTATGCTGTTAAAGGACTTTTTAGGTAGGTACACACCTACCTGTGATGTCGATGTGTAGCCTTGTGTGCTATGTTCAGTTTAGTTCAGTTCTATCTTGCAGAGAGCATTATCATCAACCGAGTAAATAAAGTGAAAACACTTTGTATAAGTAAGGATTAACATAAGAAACTACCTAACCTATTTAAGTTTTAATAGGTTAGGTACTATTACCTATATTCCGTATCTATATACCTCGGTTTACCATCTATACTATAACTTCCAACAGGTGTGTGAAGAGCTCGGTGAGGGAGATTCTCGTCCTTTGGAGCTGGGAATAGAGATGTTTCATGCAATTAGCCCGATGCTGTCCGAACGACTCGACGTCAAGAATATCGCCAAGCAACTGTCCTCGAACAAAACTTATCAGATTGAGAACAAGTTTGACGGTGAAAGATTTCAAGTAGGTCTTTTTTATCGTCTCGATTGCATGGTACAAAAACAGCAGCCATTATTGTATTGCTATAACGCAGTAATTTAGAGATAATATTCCTAACAGATACACATGCTAAACGGAAAATTTGAATATTTTTCGCGAAGAGGTTTTTCATTCACCAAGAACTATGGAGGCAGTTATGAATCTGGCCTGTTGACGCCTCATTTAAAGGACACCTTCTCATCTGATGTTACCAGCTTTATTCTAGACGGCGAAATGATGGGTTGGCATAAACAATACCAGTGCTTTGGGTGTAAAGGTAACTAGCCTACTTCTGTTCTGTTCCAATAAATATCTACCTCTGTGAAGTGTACAAATAAGTGTATTATGTATAACTAGATGTTGCCCGCGACTTCGTCCGCGTAGAATATGATTCCTGTTTTGCCCCATAGGAGTATTTAATCAGGATAAAATTATCCTGTCGTCTAAGTCAGCCCTTACCCTGCCCGTGTAGTTTCAGTGTGATTAACGGACAAACATCTATACAAAGAAACTTTTACATTTATAATATTCGTGTGGTGATATCGAGTCGTGGGTGTGTTTACAATCACCACACCCGAATCCAGAATAACAATTTATGATTTACACAAAGATTTGTTCCGCGTAGAACTCGAATCCGAGACGCGCAGCTGCCAGTCGGCCCAGCCACTGTGACAACAACAACAGTCGACTGACTGTCGAACCACAGATAAAATAAAACGGCTGCATTATTTAATAAGTTTGGAATGCAATGTTCATATATATATATTACAGGCATGGCTTTCGACGTTAAGAAAATAACAGAGAGTTCGAGGTTCCAATCTTGTTTCTGCGCTTTCGATATTCTGTACTACAATGGTAGAACATTAGTTGGGCCTCCAGAGAAAGGAGGGTTGCCACTTAGAGAACGACTTCTTATTTTGGACAAAGTGTTTACTGACAAAACTGGAGTCATAAAACATAGTGATCGGAAGACATTGTCTAAGGAGTGAGTGTACCTTTTTTTATTTAATTTTTAAATGACTCTTATGCTACATTGATCCTGCGGTTTGACTCATGTGGGAAAGCCATGATTGTACCAAATGGGCCAGCTTTACCGCACTGAGACGGCCTCACAAAAAAGTAGGGTGAAACAACGCCTGCGCTGTTACCAGAGGAGGCCCAGTCCCCCCTACTCCCACAGGCCTGCTTGCTGAACAACAAGTGACCTGAATGCACATTTGGCATTTTAACAAAAAAAAATAAGGATTACTTATTATAATTATTAATTTGTGACAATGTAAAATAACATTTATTTGGTTTTCCCCAAGGACCATTTTCCCTGAGATTTTGGATGCTCTGAACAAGGCGATAGAGAATCAAGATGAGGGCATAGTGGTAAAAGATGTGGATTCGTACTACATTCCCAATCGACGCAATGCTGGATGGTACAAAATTAAACCTGAGGTAACAATATTTTGGTACATTACCTATCTATCTAATGTCCAAATACCGTTGAAACACTTTGTATTTATGGTTACTTGCTTAAGTGAGTTCGTGATATAGAAATAACATAATACTTTCTTTAATTTTTTAAGTTATCTACTTAACATTATTTTTTGTCAATACCAAACTAGAGATGTGACCTAGGTTAGCTTCATTTGTGGGTAAACATTTTTTTTATGGCATAAGCCGGTAAACGAGCAGACGGATCACCTGATATTAAGCAATCGGCTTCGCCCATGGACACATTGAACACCAGAGGCGTTACAAGTGCGTTAACAGCCTTCTGGATTAGGAATTTGAGGATTGTTGAAGATTCAGGGATTGGGAAAGGGGGGGGGGTGGGGAAT